AAAAAAAAATTATAAAATTGAAGAATTAAAAGATAGAAGACTTTTTTATTATAAGGAATTTCTTACCCATATGTGAAGAATTTTTAATAAAAAATCACCAAAATATTTTTTCTAATTTGTTACAAAAACAACAAGAAGAAAAAGATAATATAACAATTAAGGGAGAAGTAGGAGATGATGCTTTGGGGAATCCTCCTGGAACTAATGGACGACCTCATCTAGACAGATGCCAAATAAAACGAGGAAGAAGATGGATGAAAAAGAAAAAAAAAAAAAAAAAAAGCAGGATCCTTAGAGGTGTAGACGGAGACGATAGAAAAAACAACATCACAGGTGACAATTCCGAATGTGATAAATACATAAATGATCTAACTTCAGAAGAAGAAAATGAGGATACCCCTAATGATGAAACAACTATTGCAGAGGATGTTATGCCAAAGTCCACAGAAAAAGAATCATCAAACTTATACAGAAATTACGTAAAATACACAAAAAAAACATTGAAAGAAATGGATTTACCATATGATAGAGCTGTGCTTCTAAACATTACAGACAGAAAAGATAATTCAAATAAAATTATGAAAATAATTAATAAAAAAAAAGTTTTAAGTGCATTTGGAGACACATGGGAACATATGATTGAATATATTATATCCCTTAAGGAACATAAAAATCTTATGAAAATATATGATATATATGATGATGATAAAAACTTTTACATGATTATGGAAAAGCTACATGGAAAAGAATTATTCAGTTTTTTAGTTTACAAAAAACAAGTCAAAGAAAATGTATGTAAATATATACTTAGTCAAATATTTCAAGCCGTTAATTATTTACATCATCATAATATTATTCATAGAGATATAAAACCAGAAAACTTAATGTTCAGAAATAAAAAAAGAAAAGATGAAACATATGAGTATAATTATGAGCTAGTTCTCATAGATTTCGATACCTGTCAGTTTATATCCCCATATGAATCGTATCATTACCAACACTTGTGCTCAACTGTCTCTGCTTCTGTACTGGCAGATGTGGGGGTAAATCTAACAATCCCTGCAACACATGGTACAGCACTGGGTACCGCACCGAGTGCAGGAACAAATGCAGCTGCATGTGCAACTCCTTATGAATCCACCCAGTTGTGCAAACAGACGCAGGCAAGAAACATAGAACACAAGCAAGCTACTACATCTGTGGAATTGAGCAAATTCCAACAAGGGAAAAATGTACACAAATCAGGATACACTACAATATTAGGGAATAATGCAAAAAGTGGTAATGCATGCAGTGAAGAAGTAATAACTATACATTCGACAAGTGCCAAAACACGAGATAGTAACACTCCAAGTGGAAATACTAACTTTTCACAATGTATTCATGTTCCAAAAAAGTGCATCAAATCCACATTAGAGAAAAAACAACTAAAGCTAGTTGGTACCTATGGGTATATAGCACCTGAAATCATAAAGGGGTTCAAATATTCAGTGTTATCAGATATGTGGTCTATAGGAATAATTTTCTTCATCCTAATGACAGGAATTACTCCGTTACCAATGTGTCTCATGGTGAACTATAAAAATACAAAAGATATACTTTTAAAAAAAGAGAAAAAAGGAATTAATTTTAGTTTATTATCATTTAATAATTACCCTTTAGCTAAGGATTTATGTGAGAAGCTGTTACAGTTTGACCCAAGTAAAAGGATGCCAAATTCATTGATCGCTTCACACCATCCTTGGTTAAGATATTTCAACATGCTACGAAGAAATGTTAACCTATATGCATCTGAAAAAAAATACATAACATGGATTCTAAATCAGAACCCAGTGCAAGATTTACCCCCACTCATGCATAAAAAACCATGTTATGCGTCAAGGGAGTCAAGTGAGTCAAGGAAGTTAAGAAATTATAATACCATTCTACCAAATCACATGCACGCCCATGTACATACGCATGCACACACACATCCAGACACATTCGAAAAGGAAGAAAACTGCTATTCACCCATACCACTTTGTAATGAGGAAAAAAAATACTACTATTTTAACAATCAAAGAATAAAAAATGATGGCAACAGCAGTAGTAATGCCGTCATACCTCATTATGCAAAAACTGCACTCCTTGAAAGATTTCCAAATCAGCAATCAGATAACATAAATAATGTTTTTCTACCTGTGTGCTGTGACAATACTAATACGACTTCTTTCATTGGAAATATCAAATTCGAAGATAATTACAAAATTGTAAATTCCTACTTTAGAAATTCTAGCAAAAGTCTCTCAAAAGAGCCATTGAATGGATCCCACGATTTAAGAAGTAGAAACAATTGCGTTTTCATAAAATCAAACGTGGGAAAATCAGCAGATGAATATGCAGCTGCCACTACTGGAACTGCCACTACTGGAATTGCCACTACTGGAACTGCCACTACTGGAACTGCCACTAGACAGAAGAGAAGGCCATCTCGAAAAAAAACGGGTGATGCTTCGTCAAAAGTGAAAAAAACACAAAATGATGAAATGATAACCCTTCGAGACAGTGTTGATTTCAAGAATGTAAACTCTCCTTACTCAATTGGTACGAACGAATTGATTCACCCGCACCAAGGGGGAGGTACAACAACTAAAAATTGCAACAGTTATATAGACCTCTTTGAACGTCTAATTGAAAATAAAAAAAGAAAATTCAAAACATCAGTATGTATTTTTGAAGAACAGATGGTTCCGTATGGAAAAAATATACCCATTTACAACTTAACAAATAACGAGCAAAGAAATGAAAGGAATGAAAATACTGTCATGCTAATAAAACAAAATGAATACATTAACTTGCAACAACAGAAGATGGAAGATTACCTACCAACACAAAATGTTTCTGAAATTTTATCATCCCCTATGCATTTCATTCCACATAATGATCTCATGAAAACTATGATTCAACAGGAAATAGAAATTCCATATGACTTTACTCAAAGTAGGAAAATACATGTAACAAATAATCATATAAACTTATCACACACACCAGTAAGGTCCAATATGCTTTTTTTCCCTACAGTTCCTTCTTCACCCATTTCGCTCACTTCACCCATTTCGCCCTCTTCACCCATTTCGCCCACTTCACCCATTTCGCCCACTTCACCCATTTCGACCTCTTCACCCATTTCGACCTCTTCACCCATTTCGACCTCTTCACCCATTTCGACCTCTTCACCCATTTCGCCCTCTTCACCCATTTCACCCTCTTCACCCATTTCGCCCTCTTCACCCCCTTCTCTACCACCACCACCTGCTCCTCAACTTCATTGTATTCCTCTTCCCTTTGAATATTGCCATTCAAACGAAGTACTCAATACTAGTGATGATATGACCAGTTCCATTTACCGTAACAATAAAAACTGTTATAACAGTTGTTATGCAAATATCCCACCAAATGTTTATAAACATTGCGAAGAAAGTTTCATGTATGATACACCATTCAGCTATACTACTGAAGAAAGAAAAAACCACTTGAATGTGAAAAATAATAAAAACAGTTTATGTACTGAATACAATATTCCTAACACAAATTTGATAAAAAATGGAATCCATAATAAGATACAAAGGAATCGTTATAAGGAACTTATGAATGTCAACTGTCATAATCTGTACAAAAATAATATCAAAATGGTTCCAAACTTTTTCAGAGATCATTAATTTACAAATGATTATGATTATTTTAAATTTTCTTCATAACTTTATACAGTATAATATATTAAAAACATATTCTCATCTTGGGAAAAAAAAAATTTGTCACGAAAATTTACTCACTCCCCACTTCTGTGATCTTTCTTTTTTTTTTTTTTTTTTTTTAGAACATTTTTTCAAATCAGCACTTCTCGCTGTTTGTCCAATTTTAATGCTTGCACAATGGAACATCATACATATCCAGACAGCTTGTCCTTTTTCACACGTCTACATACACACCTCAGTTGTTTCCTATGCATGAACGGCAAGTATACAACATTTCTCATTTATCATTGTTTTTTTTTTTTTTCCCCATTTTTTTTCATTTTTTTTCATTGTGTTATTTGGATAACTCAACCGGAGTTTTTGCAGTGTCGATGTTGCAGTGTCGATGTTGCAGTGTCGATGTTGCAGTGACGATGTTGCAGTGACGATGTTGCAGTGACGATGTTGCAGTGACGATGTTGCAGGAGGGTTGTGAGACTTGAACTTAGAATGACCATACGTTATAATTGTGAACACCTCTGAATATGTGCCTCATTTGATGTGAAACACAAATATTCTCCTAATTAACTAGTAATTAAAATGGAAATCCATGAAGAAACGATATGTGGAAGGGTTATGCGTTCGTGTGCTATAAGTCTCTTTTCCTTGTTTTATGCTTTTAGAAGTGTCATAAAACTTTGATCTCCATTAGGGAGCGAGTATTATCACGCCTTTTCATTCTAAAGCATAAGTTTATTTTATTTTATTTATTTTTTTTTTTTTTTTTTTTGCGGGGAGTGGACAGAAGGGATGTCTCAAAATTTTTAACAGAATTTGAAAAGAAATATCTACTGTTATTTTTTCTTTTACACATTTCCATCACAGTTATATGTCAGTTCTGTTTTCATTCTACCATAATCGTTTTCATGTTTACAGTTTCTTGTTAAGAGGTGGCATATACGCCTATCCATATATATATTTGTTCTTTAAAAAAAAAAAAAAAAAAAACGAAAAAGACACACACACATATATACATGCGTGCCACAGTTTTAGTTCCACATTTTATTTTACCAATCTATATGATCAACATATCTATACTTGTGTGATTCAAATTGCACTCCCTGTATATCTTCGTCATATATTTGCCTTTATCTTTATTTTTATATTTTTCTTTTAAATCGGATTGTATTATTAACTATTTTGTTTGTCCTGTCAATATGGCTATTTCTCGCCTTTTTAACGTACATGTCGCTTGTTTCTATGCTTGCTCATTTTGGTATACCCTGCAACGTTGATATTCACACACGCCTACATGCAATCATGGATGATCCATGCCTTCTAAATTTCATAGGATGAAAAGGAGAACCTTGAAAGAAAGGATAAGGAAAGTTCCCTCTTTAGACTTTCTCACCCGCCTCTCCCGCCTCACCCGTCTCACCCGTCTCACCCGTCTCACCCGCCTCTCCCGTCTCACCCGTCTCACCCGCTTCTCCCGTCTCACCCGTCTCACCCGCCTCTCCCGCCTCTCCCGTCTCACCGTACACAAGTGAAAGGACGCGATTCCAAATTCGACAGTGCATTTGTGCAAAGTATAAGATGAGTGGGGTTTCTTCTCCCTCCATCTCTACGCATTTTCCATTTTGACCTAAGCATTTATTTTCATATTCCATTTTCACCACACAATGTTTGTCCTCTTTGTTTTAGTATACATGTGTGTTTTTATGTGTGGTAACACGACATTTATAATTACATGGAATTACATTTTTACTTTACAACATTGCCTAATTTTTATACAAGATCTGTCATACTCCTCATCCCTGTTTTAAGAGCACGAGAAATTTCTTATACTCCCCGTGTATTAATCGTTGGAAATGATTTGGAGAGAACTGCTATATTTCTTCACCTTCTTTGTACTCTTGTAACTGCTCGTTCATTTTTTTTTTTTTTTTTTTTTTATTTCTTTTTTTTTGTTATCCCCTCTCAATGTTCACTTCAGCATTTTTCACAATGTTTCAAATATTCAGATACAATCTCATTATGCACAATTTTTACAGAATTACAAAATTATCCTCCCCATCCACCCTGAGAAAAGGAACATGTAGATACTGTTTACCTTACCCATGGGAAATCAGATGGCATTTGTTTGTGTAAACCCTCAAAATAAGTAGCAAAAATATTTCCATTTGTTGGGTTATACCACCTATTTTAAGGATTGCAAATCAGGTTTTCTATTACACTTTATTTCTCGGGTGGGGTTTCAGTCAAGGGTCATTTCACCCTCATAAAAATTAAAGAAAATTAAAAAAATTAAAGAAAAATAGAACAAGGTAAAACACGATAAATTATGATGAAGCATGATGGGATATGACAAATAATGACATAACATATCAATCGAATTTGATAGTATAGTCCAATTCTTTATATACCCTGTACTTTCTCAAACATTGTAGTAGACACAATAGGGTTAAAAAATTTTATTTTTTGCTTCTCCATTCCTTCACAAAATATACCGTAGAAAAAAAAAAAAAATAAAATAAAATACATAAAGCACGAATTGACCAATCAGATCATTTTATGTACATATGAATATAGTTAGTTCTTTTCCCCATCAATTAAAAAAAAACACAACACAATTAAGATTTTTTCTTTTTTCACCACGCTTCCCTCTACAACAATCGAACGGGAAAATACTAATGATCACCTTTTGCCAACTAACAAAATGGGATGTTCAAACATGTACATATATATATATATAAACAATTTCATGGGTTTTTATATTTTACCTTTGGAATATGTATATTTTCCTAAAATTAAACAAAAAATGTGGACAAAATAAAAACCTCCTTTCCCTTTCCCCCTCTTATAAATATTTACTTTTAATATAGCTATAACTTTGTCTCAAAATGGTAGACAAAATGAAAGTTTGTCTAGAACGAAAATAAAATAACCAGTTTCACATATTTCCTTTAATGTTACAAAACTAGTTTTAATTTGATGAAAAGGAAAAAAAAAAAAAAAAAAAAAACCCATTGACAAACACCATATATACACAAAAAATTTGCATATATAAAATTCTTACAAATTAAATAAAAACTATTCAAAATTTTTTATTTTAATTGTGTGCAACTAATGCAAGAGTAGTTTTATTGTTTTGTTAAATTGTTAATAATGAATGGCTTCTAGTGAAGCCTTAAAAAAAAAAAAAAAAAAAAAAGAATTCATACTATTTATATAACCATAGATTATATATATAATATTTGTGTGAAAAAAAAAAAAAGGAAAAAAAAAAAAAAAAAAAAAAATTTTTTTTTTTTTTTTTTTTTTTTTTTTTTTTTTTTTTTATATTTTTTTTTTTTTTTTTTTTTTTTTTTTTTTTTTTTTTTTTTTTTTTTTTCTCTCTTTTTTAAACATATATTTATTTATATGACATTACAACCACATTTTTAACAGAATATGAGTGTAAGGCTGTATAAATAAAATATAGTAAAAAAAAAAAATAATCCTTTTTTTTCTTCTTCTTTTGCTCTTCTTTTCTTCTTCTTCTTCTTCTTCGATTCTGGAAAATTTGCAAAAACAAAGTTTTTGCATTTTTCGCACTTTTTGCACTTCTCGTGGGAAATATCCTATTTAACCACCAAAACCATATAATGTTCTTCCTTGTCTTTTCAATGAGTATACAATATCCATAGCAGTAACAGTCTTTCTCTTTGCATGTTCAGTATACATGATGGAATCTTTAATTACATTTTCTAAGAAAACTTTTAATACTCCTCTAATTTCTTCGTATATTAAACCAGAAATACGCTTAACACCTCCTCTTCTTGCCAAACGTCTGATGGCTGGTTTTGTGATACCTTGAATGTTATCTCTTAAAATCTTTCTGTGCCTCTTGGCTCCTCCCTTTCCCAAACCTTTTCCACCTTTTCCTCTTCCTGACATTTTCGATTACGTTATTTAATTTATAAAATAAAAAAAAAAATGGTAAATTTGAAAAAAAAAAAAAAGGAATATTTTTAATTAAAATTTAAAAAAAAAAAAAAAAAAAGTGATTTTTTTTGAAAAAAAAAAAAAAAAAAAAAAAAAAAAAAAAAAAAAAGTAAATATTTTTGTTAATTTTTTTTTTTAATGATAAAATATTTTAATTTATTTTAAATATTGCTTTTTTTTTTTTTTTTTTTTACATATGTAATTTTATATTATATGTATATATTTTTTTTTTTTTTTTTTTTAAATTTCATCGACAAATTTTTTTGGAAAAAAAATAAAATTTATAAATTTGTAAACGGCTCAGAATTTTATTTTAATTAATGCTAAAATTGGGGTTTTGCATTTCTTTTTTTTTTTTTAATTTTGAGATATTTTTTGAGTGTATCAATTTATTCCTCCTCACCTCGCATCAACTTGCATCATATCGCAATATTTTTTTGCATCACCTCGCATCATTTCGGAACACTTCTCATCATTTCGGAACACTTCTCATCATTTCGCTACACTTCGCATCATTTCGCACACTTTCTTATCGCATCTTCCTTTTGCTACGTTGCGTATTTTTACGTCACGTTTTGATTTTTTTTTTTTTTTTTTTTTTTTTTTAAATATGCATTTCAGCTTTCCATTCCGTATGCTCGGTATGCTGTATTTTTTTTTTTTTTTTTAAATGAGTTTTGAGTCGAAAAGGGTTTCAAGTAATTTATATATAAATATATATATATAAACCTGATACACGAGTCAGTACATAATATTTGCAATAACATTATGTATGCATATACATATATAAATACTTTTATATATATATATATATATATTAATGCAGAATGTACATATTGATTAAATTTTATCTTTTCTCGGGGAGCAGATTATTAAGGAAATGCAAAAATAAATAATATAAATATATATAATAATAATTAACTGCATCAATGGCCTAGTTTCGCGCCATTCCACTTGTACATACACATATAATATATATATATATATATATATATACAAATTTGTACATATGTAAACGTGCATATTTATATCTGCTTTGCTCTCTCCGGCAAGCTGAAATGCAATTCATGCGAATTTTTCAAAAACACGTAATATGCAAATCCTACAGGCTGAGTGACATGCAAGGGGAGAAAAGGAATGAGAACACTCCTTCCTCTCCCCTTATATATTGCCATAGAAAAATTGCAAAATGCACATTCGCATGTACATATCATGCATATATATATGCACATATATATGCACATATATACATTTGTGCATACCGTGTGTACATATATCGTAAATGCATATACTAGGACATGCGCAAAGTCTACTCTCATGCATGCACGTCTGTAATAGCCAAATGGTCATGCTGAATGTACATATTTCTTCACATATATAAAATCACTTCACCGCGAGAGCAATTATTGTTTATTTTAGCATCACTGGTAAATTAAAAAAAAAAAAAAAAAATGAGAAATGAGTTTAAAATGCACACAGCCTCCTTATAATGTGTTTCGGATGGGGGGGTGTCATATTTTTAAAATGCAAAAAATTCTTGAAAATATGGTACATGGGAAAAAAGAAGTTAAAAATCATTTTTCACGCGAAAAATAAGTTACAACATGGAGATTATTCAAATCCTATTAAAAAGCCATCGCAATATAGCACATTTATGTATATATATTTAACATTATGTACACATTACATACGCCTTTGGGTGTGTGTGTGTGTTCATTTTTGCTATAAATTCAACACGTGCCCATCATATACATTTGGACACACGTATGCGCGACACAATGGCAATGCCTTTGCTACTCCGTTCAGTTGACATTTCTACTAATTATTTCCTGTATCTTAGGAAATTATTTCTACATCTTATGTGTAGCCGGACTTGTCCCTATTTTTATGCCCGAATTAAGGGGTTATATACATATACGTACCGAATTTTACTTTCCTATACGCCTTTGAATGAACTAACTGGCTCATTGATAAATAAAATTTAAACCAAATGATTAATTTGGGAACATTTTTAATTGCACAGATATATAATGCAAATTTGTTTACCCAAACAACTGAAAAATGTTTATCTTTGTAAAAGGTTTCAGTTTTAGAATTGTATTTTTTTATATATATATTTTTAAGAGAATATCCAAAAAGGATATTATGTAAAATGAACACTTATAAATATATGCATGAAATCACATTTTATGCATTTCTTTTCAAAGGTATTAAATTTGGGTACGTGCATATTGGACACTCTTGTAAAATTCTCTTTTACGTTCGCAAACTATTGTAAGCAAACAATACGCTAACTTTATGATATAGCTGTCATCACCTTGGGCTCGCATTCCTTTATTCTTATTATTCCTAACATTTAAAATTTAAAGAAATATCTGACATCGTAAGAGTGTCATACCTTTATGTCTACTCGAACTAATGAAATGCTTGCTTTTCCCTCCCAGCACAACCCTCTTATTCGTGTAGTGTTTTGTCGATTCATACGAATCAGAGTTGTACTTTAACTCTTCCGTTTTTAAACATTACAACTTTCATTTTTTTTTTTTTTTTTTTTTTTTTTTTACAATACTTATAGTGCACAATTATTGAACAGACAAAACAGTAAAGAACATAGGATGTTATTCATGTGTCTAGTACATATATATTTTCCCAAAAATGTATAGAAAATATGTATGCTGTTTTTCTCACGGAAAAAAAATATTCTTTTTTTGCCTAATTTCCAGTGCATTCTTGTATGTCCACAATATATATATATATATATACATATTTTTGTGAATGTTTTTGCAAAAAGAAATGGGTGTCATCATATGGATGAACAGAAATTTCGCCTTACACCAATAGAAGGATATATGTATAAACCGGAAGGAGCATTAATGATCCTTTATCTGTACTTTATAGTATTAACCTCGTATGCTACTTTGCAATTATATGCTATATTTTAAGGGGGAAAAAATTATAGTGTAACTCGAAAAATTTACTAAAAAGGGAGTTACGGATGCCAAAAAATGCATGTACAAGGCCTTTTCTTTCTGGAATGAGTTCTAAATTTGCAACAAAATAAAGGCATAAAATTGGAACTTTCTGATGTTCACTTTTCTTTCCATTTATTTTATTTTTTTCTGGAGTAAATTTGTGTATACTCGGTTTGACACAAAGAGTGGAAAAAATGGAATGCTCTTTGTTATATGTTTATATGTAAGCACGTGTGTATACATAAAAAATATATATATATATATATATATATATATATACTTATATACGTACTAATTTGGTATTCCTTAAAGATTCATTTTAGTTTTTTACAATTATTCGCAGAAGGGATGCTACCCGCGAATAACAGACGTGTGTTATACATATATAATGATCAATGATCTGCATTAAACAGTTTTCATTTTAAATGAAATGGAACAAATAATCAAACATGTTTATCCTAATGGAAAATATGAAACCATTTTTTTTTTTCTTCTTTTTTCATATTTGTACAAATACTACTTTATATGATTAAGTATAAATGGGGGATGGGGGGATCGATCCATCTCACATATAAGTCATACTGACTAAACAAAATCCTAGCCCATAGTATTGACGAAAACAGGAGCATACACTGTGTTTTGAACAAAAGGTTCAGAGAAGTAAATTTGTGTGCATACATGAGTGTTTGTGAAAGCGCTCAAATATATAAAAGGGTTTATGTATATTTAAGCACACAAGTGTTTATATATTTATATATAATTTATACATGTAATGCATATATTTTATGCATATATGTAATGCTTACATGTAATGTATATATGTGATGCATATATGTGATGCATATATATGTTACATGCACACAAAATGATGTACATGCAGCGAAAACTGCCCACCTGCCCGGCCTTGCGCATAGTTACATGCACACGGAGGAAAATACATCTACGCGCATAACAAAAATACAAAACACGAAAAAGTTGCATCGCATTTTTGATCAAAGTCTCACAACACAATGGAAGAAGTGCATATATACACGTGTGTATAATTGCGTATTCATTTCCAAGCAAAGGGCAAGTTTTAGAATTATCAAAAAATTATGAACGGGTCAGGCGATATTATCGCGTCATACAACATGAGCAACTCACATAATATATATATTAATATCAATTTATGTGATACACCAAAGGGCGAGCATACGAGGTGGTGTGAGTCCATTTTAATATTATCAATTTACGTGACATGAGCGGGGCACACAGCATGAACTTTTTTTTTTTTTTTTTTTTTTTCTTTTTCCATCTTTTAGTGTGCTGGTATGCATAAATATATAGCGAAGAGCTGCCATTATTTGTCATATTCGCGTGTGCATACAAAACGCATCGTTAAAAAAAAAAAAAAAAATACCATATTATATATAAAAAATTATTGTTTGTAATGCACACATACATGTACATATGCTTTTTTTTTTTTTTTTTTTTTTTTTTAAATGGTCATATTTTTAATTACTATTTAAAGTGCTCATTTATATTTATTCATTATTTTATTTTATTTTTTTTTTTTTTTGTTTTGCTTTATTTTGTTTTTTATTTTTATTCCTTTATTTATTTTATTTTTTTTTTTCTTTTTGCAATATTTAAAAATAATATTTAAAAAAAATATATATTTTAAAGTATATTTTAAGATTTTTATAATAAAATTCCAAATTTATTTTTCATAAAAAATTTATCAAATTTTCTTCGTTCAGTTTTTATAATCACTTTTTTTTTTTTTTTTTTTCATTTTTCCACAAAGTAACACGTTACACTTTATATAATACATTTTTTTTGTATCACAAAATGGTATCGAAAAAGCCAGCTAAAGCCAAAAAAGCCGCAACAGGTGCAGCAGATGGAAAGAAAAAGAGAAAAAAGTCAAGATATGACAGCTATGGACTTTACATATTTAAAGTTTTGAAACAAGTTCACCCAGACACTGGTATTTCAAGAAAATCCATGAACATTATGAACTCTTTCCTTGTTGATACTTTTGAAAAAATTGCAACTGAAGCATCAAGATTATGCAAATACACACGAAGGGACACTTTGTCATCACGAGAAATTCAAACTGCCATCAGATTGGTATTACCGGGAGAATTAGCTAAGCACGCAGTCTCTGAAGGAACAAAAGCTGTTACAAAATTTACATCCAAGTAATTTTTGTCGTAGTTTTTTTGTGCTTTTTGCTAGAATAGGAAGATGAAGAAGAAGAAGAGGGAAAGAAAAAAAAAAAAAAAAAAAAAAAAAAAAAAAAAAAAAAGAAAAACCCATTAAGTGAAGAATTTAATGTGATATATCTAAAAATGTTATAAAAAAGAAAAAATAAAAAAAAAAAAAAAAAAAAAAAAAAAAAAAAAAAAAAAAAAAAAAAAAAAAAAAAAAAAAAAAAAAAAAAAAAAAAGAAAAAAAACAGAAAAACCCATTAAGTGAAAAATTTAATGTGATATATCTAAAAATGTTATAAAAAAAAAAAAAAAAAAAAAAAAAAAAAAAAAAAAAGTGACATAAAAACGTGAAAAAAAAATATATATATATATATATATATAAAATATTCCCAAAAAAATAAAAAAAAAAATTGAAAGAAGATAACAAAAATGTAGTATATATAAAGAGAAGAATATAATTAGACAAAAGGACAATAAAATGGTATTGTAGTGGAAGGAACTTTTTTGGTACTAATGAAATAGACATACCTGTTTCATAGACCAATTAGCTTTTCTTCTTCTTCAAACCCACTGAATAATTGTCCTTTTATTTATTCATTCATAGTGAAAAACTGAATTTTGTACATGTTAAGTGTGTATAGTTATGTTTGCACAACAGAGAATGCTTATCATATTTTATACCTAATTAATACGAATGCTATAATAAAAAGACGGAGGCGTTATGTACAAAAATGTTCATGTCTATATGTACATGTCCTCATACCCATATGTGTATGTATATATATATATATATATATGTGTGTGTCTGGACGTGCACATGTCATGAGAGGCACATTACCGCGTATTTTAACGGTTGATAGTTTTAAACAAATGACATAAATGTATTGTCTTTTTAGGACAAATTCGTTTATTTTATTCTGTTTTAAGATCTTCACGGAAAAAACATATATATATGTGTTTGCCTTGTGTAATATACATATATATTTGAACAAATTTCGCAGTATGTTTAAGATTTTCATTCCATATGTAGTTTATATATGTTTTGCTATATATATTCTTTCAGAATTTTTTTTTTTTTTTTTTTTAAGTTAGATTTAAATAAACAACTTTAAGAAGGCTTCACTAGAAGCCATTATATTTTCACATAATATCATTTTTACAATAAAGAAAAAAAAAAAAAAAAAAAAAAAGGACACCACAAACACATACATGGATATGTGTTCATATATATATGTTTATATTTAAACATATTTGTTAAAGAATTGATGTGTAGTTATTATATGTTCTACAAAAGAATTGCAAAAATTTTTTGCAAAAGTTTTTTTTCTTTTTTTGACGAGATATAATATGCGTAATTATTCGTTTGTATATTAATTTATTCTTTCATTCGAAAGAACAATATTTTTTAGGCATTATTGGTTTTTGTTGAAAAGGTTTTCTAATGAACAAAAGGGGTTACTTTTTTTTTTTTTTTTATTTTCTTATGTCATCATTTCGAAGGCTTAAGTTTTGAATATGTAATTTCTTTTTAAATTAAATCATGTTAGGAGTATTTTTCAAACTGAGTTTTTCAATATTGGTTCTTTTTTTATTTTTTCACTATTTTGTTATAATTTTGCCAGGATTTTTTTTTTTCTCTCGAATGGAGGTACTTGAAATTTTGATAAAACCACTTTTCTATGCAGATGCATACTAAGGAAGTAAACTGTACTAGCAATTATACTTTTTGTTTTTCTAAGAAAGTTGCTTATCCTCAGTTATCATATATCTCATCGTGAATAGGTTCTCATGTCCCCTTCGCTTCTGCAAAATCCGTGCCTTTCAAGTGAAATACTACAAAGCTGTTCTGTATACGTCAAAATAAATCAGCACTTGTTGTACTTTTCTAGTCATCTTCACAGATATATATAGAAAATATATATAATTGGGGGTCGACAATTGTTTATATGAATATATACATGCACACAGCTCATATGTTCACAGTTCTTATGTACTTTGCCATGCGGGCAGACTTGCGTGCAAGGAACAGTACCTCACTCTTAGACAGCAGGGCCATCCCATCGCAATTCCATTTTGCCTCCTTGCACTTGAAACCTGAGGGTTAGATAGAGTAAAGGTTGGAAAGAGACAGGTAAAGTGAGCTGAAGAATTTGTGTGCTCATGAGGCCGTGCATACATGAAGGCATATAAGATGCTTTTAAGGACATACCATCATATGGCATTTCAAGTATTGTGCACTCGTGCGGTAGCCACACAAACAAATGTGGAGAATTTGTGCAAATGAGAAGCCTGATGAAGTTAAAGTGATAACATATATCCCCATGATATATTATCATATTAGTTCAACATAAAATATGGGAGGAAATTGACCCATTTTTTTTGTCATACTATTTCAACATAAAATATGGGAAGAAATTAGCCAATTTTTTTTTTTTTTTTTTTTTTTTTTTTTTTTTGCCATACTATTTCAGCATATAGCAAGGGAGAAAAATCGTCTTTTTTTTATTTTATTATTTTTAACCTTGCCTTGCCGAGAATATTATCCCATTGTGCACTTGTTATTTTTTTTTTTTGTTGCAATATGGCTACACAGGTATAACTTTCTGTTTTGTAAATCCTGATTACGTTATTATGGCTTTCTGAAAAGGTTTGCATTTAGGAATGTGTATATGTTCATTCAATTCATAGTATTGAGGTAGCGATAACTTTTCAAAAGCCACACCGTACAAGCTATTGCATGTTCTGGAGAATATCATCTCCCATTCGACACAACCTATTATTTATATTTCTCTTTGGGGAGGGGGTGCTAAAAGGTATAATTCTAATGACATGAAACAAATGAGTGTTCTTCTCAGGATCACATGTGCAAATCTTCACAACAGTAAGCACACATTCATAGGCACAAAATCATGTTCTCCCACTCGCGTCTCATCACTTTGGATACTCTGAACGACCATCTCTACATACCACTTATGATTGACATGTAAGTTCCACATAAACTGAAAGATAAAAAAGTAATCCCTATTTTGAGACACATGTCCGTTATCTCTTCCTGAACAAAATAATTGTATTTGTCCTGTGAGATGTGGTTATGAATATTTTTCAAATTTAGACAAAAATAACTTCTATTTTTTTTTTTAAAAGTATACTATTGAAAACTCTTAATCTTGAATAAAAAAAAAAAAAAAAAAATTCTTTTCAAAGCTGGAATACCTTTTCACACTTTAATTTGTATTCTCCTTCTTTAACACCTTCCGATACTGTTAAGAAAAGAATTAATTTATATACATGTTAAGCGTGGAGGGGGTAATACACAACCGAATCAAGGTAAAGAAAATGGAGAGAAAAGGAAGCTTTTCCCCAACACACATTCTCATTCATTTCAGTTATTTTATTTTATTTTTCTTTTTTACCGTTGCTGTAAAACGAAAAACACGCTTTCCTTCCGCTTAGTACATTTATCCTTAGGAGTTAAAAGAACCAATGGAGGGTGATGACTGATAGAAGCAGCCAGGCCAATTGGACGAGTATGCATTAGCAAAAGACTTGCATAAATGTTCATACACTTGTGTGAAGATATATCATCCATGCAGAGGTTCTAATACAGGTGTCATCATGACATCCCTTAACAAAATTCTCATCTAGTGGCAATGGCAAGGTGGGATATGTCACGGTTTTTTGACATTTCCTCATTAACACACACGAATATAGTTAGACAACCTTTTTTTTTTTTTTTTTTTTTTTAAACCCAATATAGATGTAAACTAACTCATGTACTAAGTCTCCTCTGAGAACATTCCTCGTGGAAGTATTTTCTTTATAAATTTTCTGCATAGTGATAATGTGTTCATTGCAATTCCAGCATGTGAATTTTATCTCATAAAACACCTTCACGTAGATGTAGCATTTCTGCACGTGTCACCCGAAAGTGGACGTTTTTTTACTGCTTTATTATTATTGCTGCTTTTTTATTATTGCTACTTTTTTATTATTGCTGCTTTACCATTTGCTCATTCATTAGGAGCATGTCGCTCAAAATTATTTTTTTTATTTCTCTTAAATTGTCTAAACTTAAAAGGGTAACCTTTGAAAACAAAGTAAAAACGAAACATATATGCATACACGTATGTATGTACGTATGCAGGTACGCCTGTGTGTATATGGCTTGGTACAACATAGTATGTAGAGGAATGCTCAGTACCAGTTTGGACAATTCAAATGTGTGAATTTTTTTTTTTTTTTTTTTTCCTTTCTTCCCTCTTCTACAACCACAAGAGTATACTCTATTATCAACTTCTGCTTACAACTCCATCTTGCATTCCCATAGAAATGACATTCCGTTCTTCATTTATTGACAAGATGTTTATGCCTGAAAAATACCGAAAAAAGTTTACGCTAATTTCTATAAAGAGATAATGAGGAAAAAGTTGTGCTTTTAATGCATGTTAAAAAAATGCACACATGCGATATGTAAATCAAACTTTTGTCATTTCTCCAATTACAAGAAGAACAAATAAATAAGAATTATGTGTAAAAAAGAAACAGAATCTTGAATAATTTTATATCTCCCTTACATGCTAAATGTGAGGCAAAGTTATGCACGTGCAATAACTCTCCATTGGAATTATATACATGTACGGATTTGTGTTTATTACTATAAGTTAGAATATTGTTCAATTTAGTTATAAATATAGCACTAGGATTAAAGTTGACGCAAGTAATTAAAGTTTTTATTTTGTAACTCTGCAAACATAGTAAATTTATTTTGTTATGTTTATTAAATTCTGTTATACAACCAAGGATATCATTTCCTGCACTAAGACAATATGCTTTTTTTTTCGATTTCACATTTTCTATAATTACTAATGGTTTTTCTGTGTTCTTTATTTCGTACACACTTATGCACATCTGAGTTAGGTGAAAAGAAGAAAAAAAAAAAAAAAAAAAACGGGATAGTAATGTCTATCACAGCGATGCAAAGTCACACCAAAGTGAAAATCATTCACCATTTTAAGCACACTATATATGGGCAAAGTCGTATATATGCATATACATCTGTATGGATGTGTCCATATTTTTTTTTTTTTTTTTTTTTTTTTTTTGCACCCGATCTTTCCTCATCTATGCCGTCTTTTCATAAATGCTCGGAGAAAATACTCGCCATATAAAAATGGCAAAGCAGAAATGCAATCAAAACACTGGGTAGCATAAACATTGACCCAATTGTCATCCACTCCACTGCTTATAAAGTTAACCGCTTAAGAAGTTAACCGCTTAAGAAGTTAACCGCTTATGAGGTCAACCGCTTATGTGTGCGTTCTTCTTATTACCATCTCGTATTTGTGGATACATATGTTAGACCCCTGTCCCAAAAAGAAAGCAGATAAATATGAATGAAAAGGATCTTGAATTTTATTAACAATTTCAGTAGTGAAAAATGAATAGACACAGACATATCCATGACTCTTGACCAACGCCAAAAAGTGAATGTCATCATTAGAAAATTCAATGGAATCTATTTTGTAGCTGTTGATGTATATTCTCCTTAGCTTGAGGGATTCAGATTCCATTAAAAATATTTGATTTTTAATAGTATAAAGTAAGAATAGACCACTCTTTGAAAAGTAGCATTCATCGCATTGAATTTCTCTAGAGCTTTTCATTTTTGCATGTTAGTAATAAAAAAAAAAAAGTGCACACATATTATGCATACACAACTAGATGTAAGAAACATCCTTCATATTTTGTGAAAGCTAGATGTGTATTACATGCCACTTTTCCATACACACTAAATGTTTTCAATCTTGTTACGTTAGCATATCTGCACTTAACAACAAAATGTTGAGAAATCTTCTTACACACATACATACAAACATACACAATCATATGTATAAAATTATAACCATACATCTGCTGTTACTTCTCGTGCAGTGAACACCTCACCCAAGTAGTAAGACACTGGGAAATCTACACATAAATATGGACTTATAAAGGAAATTAAACTTGTTTTTCACTTTCTTCACTTCTTGTCGTGTTAGAAGTGGTCAACACTTTGGAGAATAGCGTTATTTTATAAAGTTTCCAATTTTGAAAAAATATAAAAAAAATATAAAAAAAAAACAAAAAAAAAATATAAAAATATATATACATAATTAAAAGATAACAAGGACGGATTCGCAGAAATGCCTCAAATAAGATGATTCCTTACGCAAATGAAACGAACTAAAACTAAAAAAAAAAAAAAAAAAAAAAAAAAACTAGAAAGAGAAAAAAGTGAGATGAAGAAATGATAACATAGCGAAGAATTTTTCCATACTTTGGTCCAAAATTTATGTGTACACACAAATTCACACATGATAAAGTTCAGGTATCATCCTGAATACCTATCATGTGTGATAAAACTCAAGTATGCACAAGCATTGTCTTTCAGAATAAAGTGTAATTTAACTGGAACACTCTTTTTTATTTAGACATGCTCCTAATGTATCTTTCCCTTTCGCCATAAGAAATTATGTCTTTGTTTGCGAGATGCTGCAGAAGTGGAGGTAGATGTAACTAATTCAGAATCTACCTCCCAATTACACAAACAAATTGGAGAATATGTATATAGACCACCTTTTGTCACATGTGATAATATTTCACTATTTGGAAATGACATGTGTATATTTCTCCATATGATGATGAGATAAACAAAAAAAAAAAAAAAAAAAAAAAAGAAAAAGAAAAAATGCATCAAAAGAAAGGGGCCGGAACGTGGGCGTGAAAAGCTGGGCAGAGATGAACACAAATGGATGAAAATTGATGAAAATTGATGAAAATGGACGAAATGATCCAAATTGGGGAAGCCTGAGACTTTTTTTTTTTTTTTTTTTTTTTCTTTCCTGTTTCTCCTTCATTTTCCTATTTCATCTTCCTCTGAACGTGACATAAAAAAGTCATTCATTGATCAACAGTGGACGGGCAGCTATTCTTAGTATCATCGAAGAAGTGATGCTTCATTTTCCCCACTTTCGATTTGCTGAAAAGTAGAAAAGGGATAGAGACATTATGGCAGAAATGGAAGATAGAAAATATCAAACAGTGGTAATTACCTCAGGGTGAAAAATCACTACCCGAGGGAGTGCACTCCTATGTCAGTCCTTTGACTCCTCATCGCAATAGCAATCAAAATTGGGATAGAAAATGGAATCAAAATTGGGATAGAAAATTGAACCCAAAATTGAACCAAAAATGAACCAAAATTGAACCCAAAATTGAACCAAAATTGAACCAAAATTGAACCCAAAATTGAACCAAAATTGAACCCAAAATTGAACCAAAATTGCATTCGTGTTATCTCCCCTCCTCTCTCTCTTTCTCCCATTCGAAGTTACATTCACAGTCGCGTGGTCGACGCTGCTTCTCTCTCCTTACTTCGTGAACAAGAGGCGTACTATAATGTAAACGCTGAGAATGATGCACATGATTATGAAGAAAAGCATAAATATGTCTAACAGTTCATTTATCTCAATTGTCAACTTGATATTCCCGCTGGAAATAATGATATTTTTGTCTCGTATCACGTGGTAGGTTCGCTGAATGAAGTGACTATTTTCAATAAAACTGATAAAAAGAGAGTTTTCAGAATTGACAAAGTGCTTGAAGTATGAACATGCAACGATATTTTCCTCCATATTTGTTACATTTTTTAAATATTTATAAAGTAGTTTACGTTCATACTTAGACTGAACAATGTAACAATTAATGTGTCCTATATATTCTTCACTTGGATTTTTGACATAATCAATTATTTTTCTATTGTAATATCCATCCTTATCTTTATATACTTTCCACAATTTCGTTTTTGTACTTATAAAAATGATGGGAATATCATGATTTTGAATGGTTGACATATATGCCACAGGTTCAATATCATGTACTATGCTTTCATAAGGAATGAAAGAAATTTGTCTGCAATTTATTTTGTATGAATTTAGATCACATCTGAAAAGGTGTACTAACTGTTTACTCTTATCAAAAGAAATGTAATAGAACCCAAGTTCATTTTCCTGATCTTCAAATAATATAATATCTAAAATGTTCTTCACAGTAAAATAAACATAAGTGGAGAAATCTTTCAAAATAGTTACATAGTCATTATTGTGATAATACATAATGATATACCTACCAAGAGAAGATATATTTTTAATTTGTGATTTTTTTAAATGCTTAATTGTTGTGTCTTTATAAAAAGACATCTCATATACATAATTTCCATTTCTGTAACAATTGTTAAATTCATTTTCATTAAAAAACACTGTATGACATTTTTTATAACTCTTCTTTATCAAATCTTTATTGGAATGTTTCCATAAAATGTTATTATCTCCTAGCTGATATTTATATTGAGGTATAGTATTATATAAAAAATTATTATTCGAAGTTACTTGGCTATCATTATATTTTAAATATCTATCTTCCAGTTCATTATTTTTACTTTCCTTTTTAAATATATCATTCATATAATATTTAAAGTTACATACAATTGTTTTGTTATAAATGTAATATGCTATATTTATACTCTCAAATTCTAATTTTACCAAACTGTTAAAATAACTTGCTATTTTTTTTAACAATATATTATTCTCTTTCTTCATATAGGATAAACTTAATTCGAAGTATTTATTGTATTCCTCATTTTTTAAAAAAACTGCTTTCAATTCATTTCTGCTTCTCCTTGATGGATAACACAGAAATTTTTGAGGCATGAATTTTTCACCATTCTCTGTGATATTACCATCCATGATCCTAGTATCACATATCGTAGCTCTCTTTACAAAATTGTAATCATCATAGTCATTATAATCATCGTTATCATTCCTACCTGTATTATACTTTATGCCTCCACCTCCACTAAATTGATTATAATTTCCTTCTGCATCAAATAAACCACCGTGGATACCAGATCCATCACTGCCACCATATCCATCATAATTATTATCATCATCATCATTATCATCGTCATCATCGAAACTGTACTTACTAATTTTTTTTATAGTAAATGGTTCATTCTTCACATAGTGATTATTTTTTTTATCTAAATATTTTATTCCTGATTCACTGTAAAATAAATTATTGATTTTACAAATGGTTCCCTTTTTATTATTTTTTAACAAAACCAAATCCCCATCATTATGTTCAAATATGAAATTAATATTTGTTGGAATTCTATATTTAAAATAATTGATCACTTTAGTGAAACTTTTATAAAAATATATATTGTCACCTATGTCCAAATCTCCTACATCAGAACTGTCTACATAATTGTTATCGTCACTTTCGTTTAAAAAAATATATTGAAAGTTACTCAGTTCACTTTTAAATTCTTTTGCATTTGTGTATGTAATACCTATTCGTTTGACACCATCACACAATACAAGTGTCTTGTGATCCAAGTAACAAACAGCCGTTACTAAGATACACAGTTTTCTCACAATCCTCATTTTGTCAAACAATTTCCAACTAATATATTCACATATAAATGGGTTACAAATATATACTATAATAAATTTATACTCCAAAAAAAAAAAAAAAAAAAAAAAAAGAAAAACGTATTTACAAAAATGGGAAAACAAATCGGATGAGGAAAATTCGTCAGAAAAAAAAAACCATCTTACAGAAAATTTTCCCTTTCTTGCTATGGTCTTTTTTTTTTTTTTTTTTTTTTTTTCTGTTTCTCCCTTCGTAACACCTAGCGTTCTTGTGCCATCAGATCAATTTTTGACAACCAATTAGCAAATATTATTTATTATACTAATTATATTAATGTACTAATTATACTAATTATATTAATGTACTAATTATACTAATTATATTAATATATTAATATATTAATTATATTTATTATGCTAATTATATGTGTTATATTTTTTTATTTTTACCTTGTTTTTGCTTCATTTTTTTCTTTTCTTCACACATTCGAGAACACCCTCAATGAAATCGAAAAAAAAATGAAAAAAATATTAACCTGGAGAAAGATTTCACAAAACTTGTGTTTTTACTTATTCTTAAATCATCCACTCCTACGTTCGAGTGAAAAGAAGACTAAAAAAAAAAAAAAAAAAAAAAAAATGCACTTCAAAAATGTGTAACAATTTGCGGGCAAAATTAAAGACACACATATGACCAAATTTTTAGCCATAATCTGTATCCCTTCGCAAGTGTGAGCATTCGGGTTCATCTTGTTTAGCTTCGGCTTAACTCAAGTGAGAAAAAAAAAAAAATTGATTCATAAATTGCACAAATGGAATAAGCTACAAAAATGGAGCAAGTTTCATAAATGGAACAAGTTTCATAAATGGAACAAGTTGCATAACTGGAACAAGATGTATAAATGGAATACGCTGCTTAAATGGCATTAAATGAGCAAATCACAATAATCTTTTCACATTATCACCCACATTATTGTATAGTGCTTCACCTTAACCCCTACTCTACTACTACCATGCACATCTTTTCTATTTTCTAACAATTCAAAAATTTCCCAAAACACTACGCTTTTTCGCGCGTTTTAAATTTGAACCGATTAATTTATTTTCCTTACCGAGCAGTGTACAATATATATACATACTTACATGTGTACTTTTTTTTTTTCTTTTTTATCTTTTCAGATTAAGCACACATTTTGAAATAATTCCATGTTAAAGAAGAAAAAAAAAAAAAAAATTAAAATAATTATTGTATGGTACACGCAGGCCCATTTTATATATTTAACGTTTGTTGCGTATTCACTTTTTTTTTCCTTTTTTTCCTTTTTTTCCTTTTTTTCCTTTTTTTATCTGAATTTCATGCACAGGGGGGGGGAGTAGGGAAAAAAAAAAAAAAAAAAAAATACGAAAAACAAAACTTTTTAAAATGTAAAAAAAGCATTAGCGTAATCTGTAACATGATAATAAAATATACTTAAAAATATAATCACATTTTTTCGATGAATAATTTTTCATTTCTTTTTTTCCAAGAATTTGTGGTTCATGAAGAAGGTTTTGTCTACGAACTAAATCGTGACCTTAATTTTATTTTATTCTACTTTTTTTCATTTTATTATTTTATTATATTACATTATATCATATTATATATATATTTTTTTTTTTTATAAAAATTGTTCTTCGTTAGTATATATTCTTGAATTGTATACCACATAGGTAAACAATTCAGCAAGTATATACTCTTATGAGTTTGGTCTAAACAGGTTAATTATTAATTTATTTAAAGATGTGTGTATGAACTGTTTCTTATCACTCACTCCTTTATACAACACTTTTTTTTTCTTATATATATATATATATATATATATATATGCCTTTAGCGATGCTGTAAATAAGTGCTGTTGGGGAAGATAATATAATTATTCTTTATCCCTAAAAAAAAAGGGTTGCCTAAAATTCCTTAAGCTTAAGAAATGAAGCCTAATTATTCTGTGCCTTCAATTTGTTTCTTCTCTCCTCAATGACATCCAATTTGATTCCTTTCTCTCGTGGCAAACTAATGTATGGCTTCGAATTATCCCCAATGACAAAAACATTGCTTAAACGGGTAGCAAATATTTTTCCTCTAGAATCTTTGACATGAATAATGTCATATGTTCCTATGTTCTTGTCAATTGATGAAATGATACCAACTCTTCCAACACTGTGTCCAGCAGTAACCATAACCATGCTACCTATTTGAAATTTTAAATGTTCCAGAACTTTTCCTGTTTCTAAATCTAATCGAACTGTATCATTTGCCTTAACGTCCGGATGGATATATGGAATGCTTCTACCATCATGTGTAACTGCAATAGATAATCTTCCTTTTCTTAAGATAATTTTTTTTACTCTGCACAATTTATATTTACTTTCCTCATGGGTAATTCTATGTGGTACGAATCTTCCTTTAATGTCATACAAAAGACGGAAATATTCATTCGACTTTGTTATATGAATAACATCCATTAAACCAACAGGAAATGTACAATCTGTTCTTATTTTATTGTCCACTTTTACAATTTTTTGAATTAATATCATTTTCACTTCATCAAATGTTAATGCATACTTCAATCGATTTCGTAATAAAATCACCAATGGGATACTTTCAATTAGTCTATGTGGACCACTGCTTGTTTTGGGCGCATACTGGCCACCCATTTTGTTCAACATCCAATGAGAGGGGGCATTTACTCTCTTCATATGTTTCTTTATTCCTTTACCCTGCGAGGAGAAAATGAATACAAAGGTTAGTAAGTTTTTTGAAATGTTCATACATAAAAAATGTCACACATGCACAAAAAAAAAAAAAAAAAAAAAAAAAAATGGGGAAAAATTATGAACGTTCAGAATTTTACATTGTCAAAAAAAAAAAAAAAAAAAAAATTACACACGTTTTATAAAAACACAAGAACAAGTCATAAACTTCTTATATACAATAGTAAAACAGTGTGTGACTAAAAATGTGTCAAATTGTTTCACAAATATTAAATAGTAGGTAAGCTAATGTTTCGCTAGTATGGATCGAACAAAGTTCAAATGTTTTCATGACGAACTTATTTTTATTGGAAACTTGAAAAAATTTTCACAAAAAAGTTCAATCGTACATTTTGTGGTATGCGTTTAAACGTGGCAAAACCGATTCGGTAGATATAATTACTTAACTCACAACAACATTAAGTACAGTTGGTGTATGTATATATGTATATAAATATATGTACATATTATATATATAGATATAACTCAGATATGCACATTTTCATGTATTATGCTTTTTGGTTGCCATATTCTCTCATGGGAATATATGACCATAGGTGGGTTGATAATATCACACCATAAATTTAGAGTTATGAAAATATACACGTGGCTACTATATTTTTTTTTTTTTTTTTTCCCATTCTTTCATTTCTTGTACATACCATTTTTCCAATTAAGATTCAAAAAATGATTGGCTAATTTTGTTCCTTAGAATGGCTTACGAATATATTACACGGGCCTTTCTCCCTTATCCCTTTTTTTTTTGGTAATTTGTTGAAAATGAAAAGCGTTCAATTTGAACAAAACTTATAAGTATGTATATTATATATTTAATCAAGAGGTCTGATATGATAAAATTTTTATATGCTTAATTATTTCAAAGAATTCGCGTATCTTCCTTTCTGGCAGTATATATAGCCTTGTATTTTTTATGAGAAATGTATAAATAAAATGGTAAACTTTTTTTCCCAATTAATCTTACATAATATTGTATGTTTTTTTTTTTTTTTTTTTTTTTTTTTTCCGAAACGAATTGTTGTAATTGTATGATTTATTTTATATATACATTTTTATTTTAACTTCTGCTATGAATGCATCTTTTTTTTCATTTTTCACAAACTTTTTGGGAAAAATTCCTCACAACGTTAAAGAATAAATATGTATCAAAAAATTAACTTTCGCTATGGGTACAATAATTCTTGTGCGGCGTGACACTTTTTTTTTTTTTTTTTTTTTTTTTTTTTTGTTCTTATTTTTTGTAGAATGTTTGAAGTGGGGATCACATATGTCAACATTATATGCATATAAACTTTGCACTTTTTTAAATTCATTCAGGTGTGATAAGGTTGTTATACTTCTAAACAATTCCAACAAAATTTTGTGCGCTATACATTTTATCATCATATAATGTATAGTATAACTAATTAGCACATATTAAAAGGGAAAAAAAAAAAAAAATATAATAAAGGTATGATTGCAAGGGTTAAAGAAAAAAAATTAAAAATATAATAATGTTTTCCCTTATTTTAAGGGGACTACGCACCCTGTATAAACCGTATATAATACACTTAAATCACTTCCAGGAATTCTAAAAATAAAAGCCTCCTCTCTCCTCTTTCTTTTCTTGAGGCATTTTGCAAATCTGTATATATTTTATACCATATCTTATTGCATATATATACACGCATTTCTCGTTCTTTTTTTTTTTTTATACATTTTGCACACAAAATTTTGTTGATGTTTAGAAGAATTTTGGACTATATTACATATACACAATGCATTATATATATTCCCTTACAAATAAGTTAAATATAATGCTGCTTATTATATTTGCATTGCAAGGTAAATTTTTTTTACATTTTTTCTACAAATTAAACCAAATTTATCATGAGAAAGAAAAATGATTTAATAACATATTCTAAACCCAAAGTGTTGTAAGAGGAGAACGAAGAAAAAGGCATTCATGTCACAAGGCAACAAAAAATATATATATATATATATATATTAACAGTTCCAATTTTTTTTTTTTTTTTTCTCTCCCGATTATGGGAAATGGGACCTTTCTTACGGGAGAAAAAATGGAAACACAAAAAAGCAAGGAAAAATAAATAAACAAAAATAAATAAACAAAAATAAATAAGCAAAAATAAACAAGGAAAAATGCATACGTATAAAATTCTCTACCCCTTCACCATTTTCTCTTCTCTGTGGTACTCTCTTATTTTTACTGACCTTTTTTCCTTCCAGCCATGTACCATCACAACACATTTATGCAACAAGCATAAAAGATAACAAAAAAATTATTTCCTCTGTAAAAAAAAAAGCTTAACAATAAATGAACTCTGGGTATTATTGAACATTCAAATCTGAATTGCACAAAAAGAACTCCTCAACCATGGTGTGAGCACCAACATCTTTTTCAAGTTTCTCACGTTAGTCAGCATGGCATAAACGACACACATAGAGAGGAAGAGAGGGGCTAATGTGTGGAGTTTTGTTTCATCTTCATCCTAGAAATGAGAAGACATATTGAAATACCATTAAACGCGAGGGAGACGGTGACAGAGAGGAGAACTGTGGTAAAATTTGGTACATACACTTAGTTCTATTGCGTGAAAAATATTTTCCAACTTTGCTGATAAATTTGCATAACAAAATTACGATAAAAAAAATGTGTATAAACATAAGTAGGGCGTAAAAAGCACATAAATATTGTATTTCCACAGGTTTCTATGCAAAATGGGTCACATTATGTAATATCCACATATGTGTGTCCGAATTAAAAAACAAAAATATATCATGCAAATGTTTACATTATAGGTGTTTTTCTTCGTAACACTTGGCAAGGTGTGAATTTATTTTTCCCTGCACAGTACAGCAAATTTTTAAAACAGTTGGCGCGAAAATATGTACACTATATATATATGTATATACATATATGTACATATCTGTCCAAATTTTTTCCTTAAACGAGCAAACTTGAGGAATAACTATGTGTTCATAATTTTATATATTCTCTAGTTCGTAATTAAGTTCGTGCATGTTCTTGTGTTGGTTGGAAATAGTAAAAAAAATAGAAAGAATATTTTCTCTTCCAATTTGAACTGCTCTATTTTTTTTTTTTTTTTTTTTTTTTTTTTTTTTTTTGCGGTGCAAGGTATCTTCATCTGAACACGCCACATTTGAAATTTCCAAGCAATTTAGAATCTCTCACACGGAGGAAAAATATATCTTCATGTAAAAACACCCCACCACCACCACACACACACATAGGCATGTACGCAAGCATAGAGGGCACATGCACGAACACACATATCCACACTTAAGAATATTCTCTGTCTTCCTCATCGACATGCAATTGAGGAGAGGCAATTTATTTATTCATATGAACAGGGTATGTGTGTGTACACCTAGTGAACCAAAAAAAATAAAAAAATTTTAAACAAACAAACAAAAAACGAACAAACAAAAAACAAACAAACGAATAAACAAAAAACGAACAAACAAAAAACAAACAAACGAATAAACAAACAAACGAATAAACAAACAAACGAATAAACAAACAAACGAATAAACAAACAAACGAATAAACAAACAAACGAATAAACAAACAAACGAATAAACAAACAAACAAATTAGCAAACGAACGAATAAAGCAAACGCAACTGGAAGGAAAAGTCCAGGGGCAAATAAAATGATACTCGAGAACGCTAAAGAAATAACAATAAATGAGGACATTGAAAAAGAGATATACGAATGCTTCTCCTTATTTGACACAAACAAATGTGGGTACATCGACATTCGCGAATTTTACTTCGCACTTAAGTCGCTAGGTCTTAATTTTAAAAAAGATGAAGTAAAACATATTTTCCTCCAAATAAAAACAAATATTGATGACAAGTTGAATTTCGATGAATTTTTTGAAATTGCGTCCAAACACATTCATAAGAGATACAACGAGGAAGAATTGGAGCACATGTTTTCTCTCTTCGATCCCAATGATACAGGTCAGTCCATTTCATACTTCTGCCCTCACCCCCACCCCCTATATGGGCTTAGACACGCATACATACGTACATATATACATATAGGTATGCCTGTACGTGCATGAAAGTATGCAATTATGCATGTATGTGTATGCATTACTGCTAGATCCCTGCCCTTAGGGGAATTGCACCCACCCAGGCAGGCATTCTTTCCCACGCGCGTGTAAAATTACTACTCATGGATGTGCATTCCATTAAACATAAAAGTACTATTTCTTAATCAACGCACGCAAAAAAAAAAAAAAAAAAAAAAAAAAAAAATTATTTATGACAAACTTCACTTTACAGGAAAAATAACACTATCCTCCTTGCGAAACGTTTGCATTGATATAGGTTATATTAAATAAATTCTCGTCAGTTGGATGCATGTATTTATATAGAACACAAAAAAAAACAATAATATATATGTTATTGAGCATTTTTTTTTTTTTTTTTTTTTTTCCCTCCCCCCAATTAATAAATGTACACATATTTTCTTATTAACATTCCATTTATCATTTCATGGATTGTGTCGATATGCATACATATCTGTTGTGAACATGTAAATATCCATATGCCGCCTGCACACAGTAGTACTATAATTTCCATTTTTATAACTTTCACATTCGAAGGGGAAAACATTGACGATGCTGAATTAAATAACATGATCGAGTTTGCTGACAGAAACAATGACAAGGTAATAGACAAGGATGAATTCAAAAAAGTCCTCCTGAGTGCATGGAAAAATGATCCACTAAGTGATATAGACTCGGATTAATTTTCTCTCCCTTCTCCGTGAACAAGCGTGTCGAAAAGTGCAAAATTGTAAAAGAAATGGACAAGTGGAGATGTGCAGAAAAAAAAAGAATTGTATGTTATACAAAACGTTTATCGAACTATGTTATTATTTTATATATTACTCCTCAATTTCATGCTGATTTGTTTCATTTGTTTTAATCGTCTTAACAGTTAGAGATTTAAAAAAAAAAAAAAAAAAAAATGAAGGCAGTAAGTGTCACATGTGTGGTGCACGTGTCTATGTGCAGAAAAAAAGAGAGACACACAAATCATAAATAATTAAAATAATAAAAAAAGAATCAAATAGAAATAAGAATCTTAATTAAAAAATTTCTCTTGCATTTTTAAAAGTTACACAATGGGGTTTAAAAAAAAAAAAAAAAAAAAATATAAAATCATATTGATCATATAATAAAATAATACTAATAAAATAATACTAATAAAATAATACTAATAAAATAATATTAATAAAATAGTATTAATAAAATAATATTAATAGAATAAATCAATAAAACATGCACAGTTACGTGCAGAATCAAAGAAAAACACACATGTATTTCGAGGGTGGATGGGAGGAGGGACGACATGCATATACACACACATACATAATATGTATATTTGATATTTACACAAATGACGTTAAAAAAAAGTGATGGTAGGAAAATACAAATATGAGGAACAAGATATTTTCTAAGCTATTGATAAAGGAAGAGGGGGAACGTGGGGGGGTTCAACCCTCGGACCTGCATGGGACTTTGTTGAGGCAAGAGTCCTTCAGACCCATGAGGACTCAAAAGGATGTCCAAATATACTTTTTCGTCCATGATACAAGTTTAACGGTGCAGGAGTGATGGTTTAACGGTGCAGGAGTGATGGTTTAACGGTGCAGACGTGATGGTTTAACGGTGCAGGAGTGATGGTTTAACGGTGCAGAACTGATGGTTTAACGGTGCAGAACTGATGGTTTAACGGTGCAGACGTGATGGTTTAACGGTGCAGACGTGATGGTTTAACTTCCCGCATGAAGTGCTGGACTCGTCATACCAGCGTCTTAATCTCACTGATCCAAGTAATAACTAAACTTCGAACTGTTCTCAATATTAAGTACTATGCTTCCCATGGAAAAGGATTGGTAATACTTCTCCTTCAGAACGGACGTGTAGAAATGGATACTGGATGCACTTTCTTCCCCATATGAATCATTATTTGATACAAATACAATGGTGTGAGATGTGGCGAGGAATATGTATCCATCTTCTGTTATATGAAGATCTTCCTCTTTTGGGTTTTGAAAATTTGCTAACAATTTGGACTGTGGATATTTACGCACGAAATTTTCAAGAACATTTTGTTTTACAAAAAAATAATTTATGGAGGTGGTAATAGGTCCAACTCGTTGATGTGGTTCATCTAAATTAAGCCATTCTTCAAAATTCCACTTCTCATTATGTTTTGTTAACCTGTATATATTAGTTTTGTTATTTGTCACGTAGATGTAACTCAATTTGTTATTATTATTACTGCTATTATTATTATTATTATTATTATTTTCTTCATACGTTATAAAGGATATATGTTGAAAATATTCATTGGATTCATTTTTTTTTCTATATATGTTATAGCATTCGTACGTTTTTTCCATCTTTTTAATTACACATTTATTTACATAATTCTGGGCATCATCACTTCCTGTGATGTAAAAAATGACGCTATTTTCTGTACTGTTGTAAAGATCCATAGAAATTCCAAATGGTTTTGGTAGATTAATTGTTAAATTGTCTTTATCCATGTGTACATAAACAGTATTGTTCAGGGGATATGTTAATACATGCACATTCATTAGTGACTTGTAATCAAATGCTATAAAATTTTTAAGTCCATCAAATAAAAAATTTCCACTATAATGTTCGTTATATTCTTCTAATTTGTTCAAAATGCTGACATAATTATTCACAGAATCGTAATAACACATCTGTTTAAATAATTTTTCTTTTCCAGAACACGTACTTGCAGATGTAACATGGGGTGCTAATGCATACTGATTTGTGATATCAACAAATGGTATTTTAAGTTCTTTATTAGAACTATTTTTTATATTCCTTATATCTATTACACCTTTGTTAACAGTACAGTTGTAATTATTCGTCCATATAATTTTTATCTTATATTTATTGTCTTCTTCTTGTTGTTTTTTCTCAGCTTCATCCAATTCTTCATCAATATTCACATTACCTGTTGTTGCACTGTTCAAATTTAAATATTTTGCTTTGTTATTATTAAGTTCTTTTGTTAAGGATCCCTTTTCATATTCCTCTTCTTCACTTATTATATGTGCATCATATATGGTAAAATATAATGGGTTCAAATCTTTACTATATAAATCTAATATTGTGTATACATCCACTGAATCATTTTTTCCTTTTATGGACATCAGATACATCCTTCCCTCCGATGATGGCTTGTCATTAGATACATGTTTTGTATTCACAATGAGGTAATCTCTTATCAACTTCTTATCCTCAGGATCTGGAAATGCATTCACACTTAACCCAACTATTTTGTCTCCATTCGAAAATGAATACATTTTTTTTGTCTGAACAGAACTATTATTGGTTCTATTCAAAGTCAATCTTAACACACTTTCTGCATTTTCTGTTATGTATAAATGATCGTTCACTATTGCTATACCGTTTAACACTCTTAAATGTTTTCCATTAACAGTATCTATAACATTAATAATTTCTATGTAATCATTTGTTTCATCATGTTTCACGTGTAAAATGAGATAATTTTGCTTAATTGCACAAATGATGAAAAACTGATTCTTAACTGAATCTGCTATAAGTCCAGTAAAAAACATTTCCTTATTGTTCATAATGTTTGCATATTTCTCAGATAGTACGTTCAAAATTGATATTTTTTTTTTTTTTACATCTATTTTGTAAATATCTACATCTGTTATCATTAATATGGATCCATTATTTGCAGCTATACCAACAATGTAATATCGGTCAGGAAAGTTTAATGCCATCAAATTAACATTATTCTTATACAAGTGTATAGAATTCTTAAATTCATGTTTCACAAAATAAAGTGGTTTTTTCTTCCTATCCACGTTATAATCAACAGCACTATGTGGGATACAGTGCACTGGAAATTTTATTATATTATTTAATTCAAGGCTGAATGTCTCTTCATGTGGTACCACTCTTACATTAACTAAGCTGTTTATATGATTTGTCAGTATCAATTCACCTGTATGCTTAATGCTGTATTCATTTGCACTCCACACTGAGGGCAAAATTAACCCAATTAAGAGAAGTAGTAAAAGAGGAGTTGTTCTTTTCATCTTGGGAGAAAATAAACTCTTCTATATCTCTCACTTGAAGTATGTAATGAAAAGACAGATGTGTGTGTACATTCACTAATTCGGCAAGTCTGCATATGTTTACAAAAATGGCCCGATAAAATGGGGGTAACAAAAAAAAAAAAAAAAAAAAAAAAAAAAAGAGGAATGCAGAAACGGAAAACAGAAAATGTGTTCGAATTTATTCAGATGAAGATATACATAAAAAAAAAAAAAAAAAAAAAAATCCCTATTTGGTATGACTCAACGAGGCAAGTTCAAATGAGCACGTGTTAAACGAAAAATAATTCTTCCATATTCATATTTGGATATATGCACAGAAATGCTCATCTGCATGTGTGTATATTCATGTGCCTCTACATTGGTGTGTTTTTCTCATCTGCATACAAAGCTAATCAAGCAAAAAATGATGATAATATGGTAATGATGAAAAGATGTGTCAAAAGTTCAAAGTCATCTCATATATCCCTTGTCTTGCTCGGATCACACAGAACAAACGTCTCGAGTGCTTAAGGTGTGCATATATGTTCTCGTTATGTTCATTTAAGCAAATCAATAAATAAAGTAACAACATGTGGGATATATACATATGTATATCTTCCAAATGGTGGGAGAAATTTGCGTAACTTCTCATTCATCCATAACACTCTGCTAGCTGTGCACTCATGTAGGAAGGGTAATATTTTAGCATAGCATGAAAAGTAATATAAAAAGGACTTTCCTCATAGGTTTTTAAAAAGAAAACATAAAATAAAAAAAAATAAAAAAAAAAATAAATAAAAATAAAATAAAATAATAATAAATAAAAATAAAATAAAATAATAATAAATGATGCTGTCCCTTTTTTTCTTCCAATATATACTGGAGAGAAAACCTCTCCACCTTGAATGGAAATCTATATATACAAAAAAAAAAAAAAAAAAAAAAAAAAAAAAATTACAGCTGTTATACTTTTATCATTTATTTAACTTTTTTTTTTTTTTTTTTTTTTTATATTAACTTGACAAATTTTATGAGCCCCAAAAGGGAAGATTTTCCTTCTTTTCGTTCAAAGGAGAGACATGCAGCTTTTAACAGCAAAAAAAAAAAAAAAAATAAAATAATAAAATAAAAAATAACAAAAATAGGAAAAACAAATATATTTACACATGTAATAAACATAACATATACATGCACCAACAAACTATTCATTGTTTTGATATACACGTGGCACGGCCTCACTAGCAAATTGTAGTAGCAGTAGCAGTAGTAGTAGTAGTAGTAATAGTGCTTATCACCCATGCAAGCGTGAATTAGAAAAACTTACACTGAAGTTTAGCAGGTGTAGAAGACCACACAACCCACAAACCCAGGTGCAAACTTTTCGGCTCTGAGTTTAGGGCAGTAAAGCGGTTAAAAAAAAAATAAATAAATAAAAAATAAATAAATAAAAAATAAATAAATAAAAAATAAATAAATAAAAAATAAATAAATAAAAAATAAATAAAGTATATAAATAAAATAAATAACCGCTATTTTTTCCCGTTATAAATTCATCGATGAACCCTCGACCTTCACTTCTTTTGCCAAACTTTTTTTTTTTTTTTTTTTTCATAAAAAAAGGGATTGTACAAAAAGTTCAACAAAAAAAAAAAAAAAATAAATAAATAAAATAAATAAACTTAATGAGAAACAAAAATTTTTTTTTCCTTTTTTTTTTTTTTTTTTTTTTTTTTTGTTGCTGCACCAGTAATTCTGTAGAAGATAAACAAGAAGAAAAGGAACTCGTGAACACATTGTTATGAAACATGTTTTTTCATTTTTTAATTTTTTCATTTTTTAATTTTTTCATTTTTTCGTTTTTGCCTTTTTTCGTTTTTTCATTTTTTCGTTTTTGCCTTTTTTATCGTGTTGTATTACGTTCTCCACATGTGAAATGTACATATAATGCATATGTATATATATATATATAAGCTTATTCTTTTTTCTTATCCTCCATTCGACGTTCAAGAAAACTCAAAAAGCAGCACCTTTATAATTATTGGTGGCAAAACGACATCTTGTAATGACTTCATGTTTTTTTTTTTTTTTTTTGTTCCTTTTCCTTTAATCAAAGGACTTGATCAATTCGTTTTCAATGTCAGAAAAATAAAAAAAAAAAAAAAATACGCCAATCTTGCACTATTCCACAATGAAAGTTTTGTTGACGAACATCTTACACGAAAGTAGTTTTGGATTCTCCTCAGTTTTCAATCTAAGATTGTATAAAGATGAGTGAATAATTTTTTTCTTGACCCAAGGTAAAAAAAAAAAAAAATGTTTTCCACAGTTAGAGGTTTATTTGTACAAGCACTTATAGAAATGCACTTGTGAAAATTATCCCATAAAAAAAAAAAAAAAAAAAAAAAATTTGCAACTAATTCAATGAACAACCAACTCGTACAAATAGAATAATCTAATTGTGTTAGGAATAATTCGTCTATCCTTCCCTATTATATCCTTTTTGTAATGTGTTTATACAAAATGCACACTTTTGTTTTTCTTTTTTTGTATGGAACATAAAAATGGGAGATATGCAAAAAAAATGTCTCAGCTGTTCTTGTTACCATTAGTTCGATTTTGCAAAAAAAAAAAAAAAAAAAAAAAAAAATCCATTCGTTAAGTTTTTAACTCTTCCAAATGTGCTTTTCACCGACCAGTGTAGTCCTAATGGTTCAAACGAGAAAGAAGAAAAAAAAAAAAAAAAAAAAGAACAATAGAAAATAAAATGAACAAAGAGGTGATTAAAAATATCGCCGCAAATATGATGCCCCCAATTGGAGTTCATAATGATTCTTCTCTTCTACAAACGAAATGTTTGCCCTCCCGAAAAAGTTTACATACATGTGTATCACCCAGGGAGGGAGTGGGAGGAAATGAAGGCTAAAAGAGGTTAATGAAATTGAGCAGTTCATATTGAGTAGTTAACATTGAGTAGTTAACATTGAGTAGTTAACATTGAGTAGTTAACATTGAGTAGTTAACATTGAGTAGTTAACATTGAGTAGTTAAAATTTGGACTCTCTCACATTATATTCTGGTTGTTCAACCGAATGCTTGTTTCAACTCTGTTTAATCATCCTTTTAACCATTGCTGCTTTGTCACTCAGGTCAGATTCGACCAGATTTACCCTTAGACGAAATGTTGCTGTGTGTATGTGTATATGTGTGTGTGTATATGTGTATGTATATATGTGTATGTATATGTGTGTGTGTTTATGTGTGTGTGTTTATGTGTGTGTGTTTATGTGTGTGTGTTTATGTGTGTGTGTGTATGTGTATGTGCATGCGTCTGTGACCCTGTTCGTCCGTGCCTGCATTTAGCAAAGTTCCCAAGTTAATATAATAAAGCGCCTCTAAAGTTGAACATGGAGAAAAGGATAAAAAAAAAAAAAAAAAAAAAAAGGAAGAAATTCTTAAAACACATCAAACTAATCTTGGATGGGATCAAGAATCGATTGGTTACTTCCTACTCACTGTGTGCATGCTATGTTTTCTTCCTGTTCAGGAAATGGACACATTGGTGCATCACAAATGTCAGCGAAACGCTTCACAACATCGAATGAATATTTGGATAGTGTGGTGTACATGCATATATTCATCCACACATGTTACATTCAAAGGAATGTAACAACTCTCGTTCCATGCTGAATCTTTACGTCGGTGAACCGGTAAGCCATGAGCTCCTCTACATAAAAAAAAAAAAAAAAAAAATCGTCATCCAAAATTGTTCATAAATTGTTCTTCACCCTTTTCATTTACATCCCCTAAATTGCATAAACTTTCTGAACATTCAGGTTTACATTTTTCTTATTTTTCTTATCTTCTTACGATTTATTTGTTTATCTTCTTGTTATCTAATTTTTTTTTTTATTTTTCTTTTTTTTACAGTTGAGTGAACCAAAGCCAACGGGGTATGCACTGTGAATAATTTATTTTTTAAAAAAAAGAAAAAAAAAAAAAAAAACCTAAAGCACACTTCCATATCCTCTACTCATCCAATTTTTTTACATCCATTTGATATACGAATAAGCAGCTTTAATACCATCCCCATAATAAACATCTTAAGAACTTTTTTTATAATAATTACCTCCTACCATCAGGAATGAAGTTATCCGCTTATATTTTCAAAAAAAAAATCATAAAAGAAAGGTCACAATAGAGAAGTACACATAACAACAAAAAAATTCGTCAACCCCCACACACACACCCCAGGGTTGAACTCGCATAGATGCAGATGTAAAAGCATATTTGCTCCTGATAGATATAGGAACAACATATTATTAGAAGTAATGAATTCGTTTCTAATTATTTTTGTTGAACATAAATTATTTTAAATGAAAACTATGAAATTGACAAGTCATTTTGTGAAATGAGCATGAGAAGCAGAGTTAGTCCATAAAAATTTCCTGAAACAAGGTTTTACACAACACATGGTAATATCCCATCCCCACAACAATTAGCAAGAAAAGAAGGAAAAAAAAAAAAAAAAAAAAAAAAAAAGGCCTACATTTTTTATCACTAATCAAAACACCCCATGCTTTATGCATTTAAATACAATCAGGTTAAGAAATAAAAATGTGAAAATGGAAAAAATTAGCTATTAAATGAGTTGCAGAATTGGCCAAAAAAAAGACGCAAACAAAAATCCACTAAGAGTAAAATTGCACCGAGATAGACCATTTTTACACACATCTCTCGGTTTCCCTGCAGATCTATTCACCATTCTATTCACAAAGTAAACTGAAGTTCCTTAACATGAACTCACTCTGCATTGATTAGAAAATCACCATTTCATTTCGTCTCGTCTGTCTGCTCCACTTCTAGCACATCCTTTCGCTTAACTTCCATCAATCGGTCCCCCTCTCCTCCCCTACAGAAAAATGAAGAACTTGAACCAAAGCGGACAAACGAGAGGGAACATCCACAGGTACATCCACAAGACAGATGAAAAGAACCTGTACAGAATCAGCAAGGGATTGGTGGCAGATATGAACGTAGAGGGGCATATATATGTGAACGAAAAATTAAAAAACTTAATAGACGATGAAATAACGACATATCAATTAAACAAGAATTCTACATTCCTCCCAGCAGTAATGCAAATAGCGAATGTGTCTACTCTTCCTGGAATTGTGAAAGCATCCATAGCATTACCAGATGTACATGCAGGTTATGGATTTTCTATAGGAAATGTAGCAGCATTTGATATGAACAATGAAAAGGCAATAATTTCCCCAGGAGGAGTAGGATTTGACATAAATTGTGGTGTTCGTTTAATTAGAACCAACTTATTTTATGATGATATAAAACATAAACAAGAAGAATTAACTCAACTACTTTTTAATAATATCCCTGTAGGAGTAGGATCACAAGGGTGTATTCTATGTAATCAAGAAAATCTAGATGATGCTCTATGTTTAGGTATAGATTGGTGTGTTCGAGAAGGATACGCATGGATTGAAGACAAATTAAATTGTGAAGACAATGGTAGAAGTTTATATGCTGATAGTAACTATGTTTCTGTAAGAGCTAAGAAAAGAGGAATAACACAAATGGGGACATTAGGAGCGGGTAACCACTATGCTGAAATACAAATTGTTGATCAAATATATGACAAAAGGAGTGCTAAAATAATGGGTATTGAAAAAAAAAATCAAGTTTGTATTATGATACACTCAGGTAGTAGGGGATTAGGACATCAAGTAGCAACTGATGCATTAATTGAAATGGAAAAAAGCATGAATAAATATAAAATCAATGTGATTGATAAGCAGTTAGCTTGTACTCCCATTAATTCAAAAGAGGGAAAAAATTATCTAAAAGCAATGGGTTCTGCTTGTAATTTTGCATGGATTAATAGATCCTCTATGACATTTTTAGCTAGACAAACATTTTCAAAAATATTTAATCAGTCTCCGGATGATCTAGATATGCATGTCATATATGACGTTTCTCATAACATAGCTAAAATTGAAGAACATATTGTCGATGGAAAAATGAAAAAATTACTAGTTCATAGAAAAGGATCAACTCGAGCATTTCCTCCCTTTCACCCCAGTGTGCCATTAGATTATCAATACTGTGGGCAACCTATACTAATAGGAGGAACTATGGGAACATATTCATATGTCTTAACTGGTACTGACAAAGCTATGCAATCCACATTTGGCTCTACATGCCATGGTGCTGGGAGAGCTCTAAGTAGAAATAAAAGTAGAAACACCTTAAATTATGTAAACGTTTTGCAAAAACTTAAGGATGAAAATATTTCCATAAGAGTTGCATCCCCAAAATTAATTATGGAAGAAGCTCCTGAGTCCTACAAAAATGTTTCAGATGTTGTAGATACTTGTCATGATGCTGGCATATCAGCCAAATGTTTTCGCTTGAAGCCGGTTGCAGTAATAAAGGGATAAAGAAAAAATACACACTTCCAAAAAAAAAATAAAAACCTGATACACAGTTTATATATCTCTCCATGTTGGATGGCTTATAAATTGGGGAAACACAAAGCGAAAGGTATGTATATATATATATATATATATATATATATATCTTTCTCTCACGATGTGTGTGTATTTTAAATAAAGCACAGTTTAACTTCTCTTCACAAAAGAATAAAACTGTTTTTTTTGCCTCATCATGATTCGTTTCCTTCATCTGCGGCAGTTCATCTAAGTCAGTCTGTTCTGTTCTGATATTTCTTTTTTTCTTTTTTTTTTTTTTTTTTTACACATTTGTGGTACAGACATGAAGTGCTCTTTTAAGCAACACAAATGAGTACCTTTCATGGTTTGCACCTTTTTCCTTCATCCAGTTTCTTCGTCTTTTTTCTTGATCTCTTTTCCTCTCCGTCCTACTCATGTGAGGAAGCACAAATTGATGTGCATGCCTCCCTATATATGAACCTACGAACATACTTCCTCGATTGAACAAAGCCAATATCTTTATGAGCACCCCTTGTGAACATTTTAAAAATTATTCATTAAACAAAAATATATATCACTAGAACATTCTTTTGTAGCAGAAATTGTTGCACACATATGCTTGTAGTTCCCCCCACCCCCCCCTTTATGGAAATAAAAAGGCATGTATATAATACTCTAGTGTGTAAAATATTTCGATTCTTGAACAAATAACTTTTGGAAAATTGTTTTCCAAACTTCGAACTTTTTTCTTTTTTCTCTTCCTTTCCGGTTGTTAACCATCTCTGCACTTCGTAACTTCGTCACTCCTTCACTTCGTCACTCCTTCACTTCGTCACTCCTTCACTTCGTCACTCCTTCATTTCGTCACTCCTTCACTTCGTCACTCCTTCACTTCGTCACTTCTCCACTTCGTCACTTCTCCACTTCGTCACTTCTCCACTTCGTCACTTCTCCACTTCGTCACTCCTTCACTTCGTCACTCCTTCACTTCTCCACTTCTTCCCCTTTTCATCTTTTTTTTTTTTTTTTTTTTTTGTACCTTTTTTTCAAAATTTTTAAAAGGCCTAAAACTTTCGGAAGGCGAAAAAAGCCCCCACCACTCCAACTCGACTCAACCACGAGGAATCAACTTTTTCTTTTTTTTTTATAAGAGCGTGGAAAACAAAATGTTGAAAATTTTGGATTGCATAATCATGTTATGCATGTAACCCCGCTGCCCCACACAACCCATTGGGTAGTACTTTTTTTTTTTTTTTTTTTTTTTTTTTTTTTTTCTTATACGCATATTTTTTTCGAAACAACTATAAAAAGGTTCCTGCCATGAATCGGATATTTTCAAGAATTTTTTATATGTACTGAATAAGAGCATTATGCATACATATGTATATATATATATATATATATATATATATATATATATATATATATATATATATATATATATACATATGTACGTATGTATGTATATTGTATAAATACGTGTTTGTATGTATTCCTAAGTATCGCTTGAACACATGATACCATAGTTTCAATTTCTACGCACCTGCTATATATCTGTATATCAACCTATATGTAATATTTTCATCTATTTCCATCACTTGAGAACGTGTTAGGTTTCGCAATCTCAGTTGACTTTCCACGAGCTCAAGTTTATATAACATTTTTTAGTGCAGGAAAAAAAAAAAAAAAAAAATTACATACATACATATATGCATATGTATAATGCCAATATATAAATACATTCCTAAATATACACGTATATATATATATATATATATATAACGTACATATAACGTATACATATACAGTTCCATTTGCTTATCTCCAATTGGAACGTACTTTTATCTGTATGTAAAATATACGACAAAAGTAAATGAACCAATTCCCCAGAGTCTGAATTTGCAAAAGTATAAAAAAAATTTCCTAACATATTCATATGTCACCCCACGCAGTACACAGTGTACGTATATTTATATGCTGACTCACGCTCTAAGTGCTATGTGTATCATAGTTACATATGGTGAATTTATACGTCATCCCTTCATTGCAATTTTTGTTATATGTCCTCACCACACGAACACTTGTGCGTAAATGAATTGTAAATAATTCCTGCAAAAAAAGGGAGGACGAGAAGTGAAGTAGTGGCGAAGTGGCAAAGTGGAGAAGAAGCAGAGAAGAACAAAAAAGTAGAAAAAAACAGAAAAAAATAGATGAAAAGAAAAGAAGAACTCACTTGCATGCATATAATGTTGCATATTCATATACTATATACATGTACAGAGCAACCCTGAATGTACATAAAAAACAAACACAACGGGAAAAGAAAAATTTGCCAACGTCATAACCTACATATACTCTCTGTGTACAACTGCACGACGAGTTTTCGGCCTTGCCATTTTGCTTTTAACCCCTTTTAATTATTCCCATATATTATTTTAAAGGAAATTAAGGGAAAAGTTTTTTTTTTTTTTTTTTTTTTTTTTTTTTTTTTTTAATTTATTCATTCTCACCTAATTCAGAAGAAATGAACTGGAAAAAGGCTTTAAGTTTGGCAGGTAAATATTTATATCTCAAAATGCAGAATTATTTTCTTTGCTTTTATTTTGTGTCCAACTTTGTTTCTTCAACTTCTCTCCTTTTTTTTTTTTTTTTGCATGACAATTTATATAGCCCCACCTATTCATATCGATTGTATCGTTTATAATCGGTTAAAGTTTTTACACACGCTGCTCTAGAATGGCACAATTTCGAAGCGTGTAATTGTTAAGCTGTGTAATTGTTAAGCTGTGTAATTGTTAAGCTGTGTAATTGTTAAGCTGTGTAATTGTGGAAGTGTATAATGGATTGTGTGAGATTTTCCAGGGAAGGGGTGGGGAAAAAAAAAATATCAGAGTGAGGAAGAGAAGAGTAAATTTTTAGTTGAACTGATCATTCAACTTTGTATCAGCATAACCGTGTCTTACTTAGCTACTCCCATTTTTGCACACTATATTTTATTTAATTTTATTTATTGTTTTTTCCCTATTTATTTTGTTTTATTTTGTTAATCTTCCCATGTACCGAAAATTTTTTCACAGGAGGGGCAGCAGCTGTAGTTGCCTTGACGTACATGCTGATGAAGGACGATGAAAATCATGATGACAAAGATGATGAAAATGATGAAAAGAAAAAAAAAAACGGAAAATTAAATAAGGACTCAAGTCGAATAATAAAGGGAGAATCGGTAGGTGCATGCCAAATATATTATATTTATTAGTTATCAGAAAAGAAACAACTTTTTGTGAACTTTTTTGCAAAAGTGTGTAGATTTTACTCCATTTTGTGTAACGTAATGTAACATCCTTATGTAATTTATTTCTCCGTCACCTCCCCACTTTCAGATGACTCGAGAAGATCTGTTACATCTCTTAAACGAAATGTTGAAATTACAAACAGACATGAAAAATATCGTTAAAGACTTAATTGTAGTTGCAAAGAATGATAGCTACGAGTAAGTTCCTTAAACATTAAGGCCTTTCATTTTGCTTCGCTATATCTGCTAATCCCGTTGTTCATAACATTGGAACATTGAAACGTCACGCAATTATGCAATCACACATGCACATATATATGATTTTTTTTTTTTTCTTCTCAGCTTCATGTCGGTTTATAACGTTGCCAAGACATACAACACTGTGGACCCATTGGGAAAATATCAAATTGAGATGCCAGAATTTGACAAAGTTGTAGAGAACTACCATTTCGATCCAGGTAACATTTTTTTCTTTTTTTTTTTTTTTTTTTTTTTTTTTTTTTTTTTTTTTTTTTTTTTTTTTTTTTTTTTTTTTTTTTTTTTTTTTTTTTTTTTTTTTTTTTTTTTTTTTTTTTTTTTTTTTTTTTTTTTTTTTTTTTTTTTTTTTTTTTTTTTTTTTTTTTTTTTTTTTTTTTTTTTATGATTTTGTTCAGGTCATTTGTCCATTATCCAGTTTCCATAATTTTTCCAATGCACGCTATACATATTCCCAATTGTGTTTACATACGAATAACCCATTTTTTCAACCTCTTTTTACAGAAGTTAAGGAGGCAGTCTCAAAGCTCATGTCATCCCAAGAAAAGTAATAACAAAATGATTGAGTGCATTCTTAGACATGCATATAATATATACAAATAAAAATGCAGTTTTGTTTGTTGTTTTTTCTTTGTTGTGTCTTTTTTTTTTTTTTTTTTTTTTTTTTTTGTATACAAATTTATGCACAACAAATATTCTTCCAATAAATAAGATTACTATAGTTGAATCCTATTGCGTGTGTACGAATTTAATATCACTGTCTACTGCAGAAAAAGAATATACCCACTCTTATTCATCACAATGGAATATCTCAAATTCTCTTTCATTTTTTACTTTCCCCCTCTCCCCCCCCCCCTTCTCAGTTACTATGCCAATATGAGCGAAGGTGCAACATTGAGTGTTGATAAAATAATTGAAATTCATCATTTCATGTTAAATGAATTGTATAAGATTGACCCTGAATTTAAAAAAATTCCAAATAAGCACGAACTGGACCCCAAACTAATAGCATTAGGTATAAGATCCATGCGTGTGTATATAACTGAGCTAGACTTTTTTTTCCTTTTTTTTTTTTTTTTTTTTTTTTTTTGACATCAAATAGGTGTTTGACGTTATATTGTGTTGTATTGAATTGAGTTGAATTTTTTTTTTTTTTTCCCCACTTTGTTGCTCATCTCAATAATTTTCCATCTTTTCACATCATGTGATATCATAAAATTTATCATCCACCCACCCCGTGTGCAGTTATACAATCCATAGTTAGTGCAAAAGTGGAAGAAGAATTTAATTTGACTTCAGAAGATGTGGAAGCTTCCATAGCAAACCAACAATACGCCTTAACTTCGGTGAGATATGGAGATATCCCATACACTCCAACCTTTGTGCATGTTTGGGCATATATATACATTTTTGCATGCCATCTAATATTCTGTGTGTATTTGTGCTAGGAATTATTATGTAACACAATAAATATAATATATATATATATATGCATATACATATGTATATTTTTTTTTTTTCCCGTATTTTCTTCCCCGATAGAACATGGAATTCGCCAGAGTTAATATCCAAATGCAGACAATTATGAACAAATTTATGGGGTAAGGACTAACCAAAAATTTTACTATGTAATAATTTAATGCATCTGTTGAAGTTATATCATCGTCTGGAAGCATTTCTTTAGCTGCTTTTGACCGACACATATGAAAATGTTCGAGACCGATTTATTTTTATTTTTTTTTTTTTTTTATACCACGTTTTGTTTTTCTTATATTTGCCACTAGCGATCACTTTAAATTTATGTGTGACAAGGAAGGGGCCTTCTAGGTAAAGACGGGAACCCACTTCTCTAGCCTCAACATTTTACCAAAGTGTGGAAACTAATTTTCAAGACACATAAAGTTATACACGCACCATATAATATATTTCAAATAAAAATAATTCTGGGAATGCATAATTCTACATTGTTATTATTTTTTGCTAGCATTTTTATTGACCTATATTGAGACACGCTTATTATTATTATTACTATTATTATTATTGCTACTAGTATTGCTATTGTTATTTATTATTGCTACTAGTATTGCTATTATTTTTGCTATTGTTATTATTATTTCTATTATTATTTATAGGAATAATATTGCAACCCATACACACAGCTACTATCCTTTGATACAATTTTCCCTTTTTTTTTTTTTTTTTTTTTTTTATTTCTGTTCTTTTCTTTTCTTTCCTCGTCAACGCCCCTTTTTCTTTAAAACGAGAAGGTTCTCCATTGTATTTACTTTTTCCATAAGAAAAACATATAACATTTATATATTATTAATTTAATATATATTTGCATATTTGTGGTTGTTAGTATATGCGCTTCTACATAGTGTATATTCACATGTATACGTGCTTATGTGTTATTGCCTTTTAAGTATTTACGCGTATAACATCTTTTGTTTCTTTTAGTTATTTCCAAACCGTTGTTCCAATTTTTAAATTTTAATCATACACGGTTGATTTAATTTATGTGCATATATGTACATGTACATGTATATATGTGTATCACAAATTTAGGTCCAAATTTAAAAGAAAACATGCTGTTTGTGCGCATTATAACCCCACACCCTAACCTCCATGCACACTTTGCTTTACTCATTATAATCTATCACATATGTTCACCCTCAGTTATTGCTCTTTTTCTCCATTCCATTTTTGTTCCCATTCTATATCATTTTATTGCATTTTATTCTATGTCATTTTATTGCATTTCATTTTATCACGTCTCATTTTATCTCCTTTCACTTTATCACTTTACTTTTTTTAATTAACAAAAATAAAAACATTTAGCGAAAGACAAAATCGTGTTATGCTTAACATTTTGTTATTTTCAATACTTTTTCACCCTTTAAATGCAAACAAGCACTCTTAATATAGTGTCTGAAAACGAACCTTTTTATAAAGTGTACATGCGAATTTTAAGCAGGAAAAAATAAATATATGTATTTATGTACCAACAAACCTGTTGCCTATACACCAATTCCAAAAAATGAATGATGTATGGTGTTGCGTTGGAAAGAAACTTCATCTGATGTGCCAATTTCAATGACTATTCCCTTTACAGTTAGTTCTATAATAAGTACTACTACACACTTCTTTTTCTTAATCTTCTTCACCACTACCCCGTTTAATGACCCCAACAAGTAAGTAATTGCTAACTGTTTAAGCAAGAACGCTTATGGAATGTTGTTCTTAAAACTGTGCAGGTGAAAATGTGTACATCAAGATTTGTACACTGTGGATCATATATTCATGAATCTTATTTTATTCTTACATTTATGGGATATTCTTTTTAAAAACTGTCTAAGCTTTTTTTTTTTTTTTTTCCTCTCTCATTCTCTCTACATTCTCCTTGCCCCGCATGGAGTGAAATATTAAAAAAGCATTCTCAAAGTTGCACATAAGAAAAATATATATATATATATATATATATATATATATATATATATATATATTTGTACATATATGTACATATGTGTGCACGTATTAACAGGTCATGCAAAACAGAAACCTCAGAATAAAAAATTATTAGCAGCCTAACAAAAAAAAAAAAAAAAGTACATTTTAAGAATGAAGTCACCAATTAAGAAACATTTCTTAACTATTCACAAGGCATACCTATTAATGAAAAGCGTAAATTAGAGACTTGTAGTTTTTGCAGTGACTAGTAAAAGCTGCTAAGCCTTAGACAAGCACACTACAAATTGTGCAACCTGGACAACTGTAACATGAACAAAAAGAAAAAAAAAAAAAAAAAAATAGTATTATTTTCTGCATGTTCATAAAAAAAAAAAAAAAAAATAGTATTATTTTCTGCATGTTCATAAAAAAAAAAAAAAAAAAAAAATTTATTTTCAAAAAAAAAAAAAAAAAAAAAAAAAAAAAAAAATATTATTTTTTGCATGTTCAAAAAAAAAAAAAAAAAAAATAGTATTATTTTCTGCATGTTCATAAAAAAAAAAAAAAAAAATAGTATTATTTTCTGCATGTTCATAAAAAAAAAAAAAAAAAATTATTTTTCAACAAAGAATATGAATATGTAAAACTTCTTATAAACCATAAAAAGAAAAAACAACAAAAAAAGGTGATACAATACAAAAGTGTTTATAGGAGTGTGTCTTAGAGAACTTATTTAAAAAAGGAGCTAAATTTATATATTGTACTACACATATTTCACATTTTTAATTATCTTTTCAACACATTTTCGCGTGTCCAATAATCACACCACTTTTTTTAATTTTTTTTTTTTTTTTTATTTGCTGTTTATCTCTGTTGTATACCTTTTTTTTTTTTTTTTTGTACGAATTGAACAATTACACATTCGCATACACACAACACGTAGACAAGGTAAACAAATAAAATAAGATAGAAAACATATTTATGGATTCGCTAAAAAAAAACTTCTTACAATTCTTCTTTCATTTCTTCTTACAATTCTTCTTTCATTTCTTCTTACAATTCTTCTTTCATTTCTTCTTACAATTCTTCTTTCATTTCTTCTTACAATTCTTCTTATATTTCTTCTTACATTTCTTCTTATATTTCTTCTTACATTTCTTCCTACATTTCTTCCTACATTTCTTCTTACATTTCTTCTTACAATTCTTCTTTCATTTCTTCCTACATTTCTCCTTCCATTAGATACCTTCATAAGGACTTAATTTTATTTTTTAATCCCTTTTAAGCGACAAAACTGAGGCAAACAAAAAAAAAAAAAAACAAATAAAAAAAGGGAGAGATATAGATATAGAGAGACAAAAACAAAGTAGTAATTAATAAACCAATAAGCAAGTAAACCAATTACCAAGTCATAAAAGTCAAACGAAAGAAATGGAAATACAAAGAGATATTGTTACGTTCCTATTTGGAATAGTAGCGTCACTTCTTTTGTTCGTTGTTGGGGGAATGTTTAACAACACAAAATACATTTTCGGATGTTACATCTTCCTAGGGTTCGTTTTAACTACCTATACCATACTCGCGTTTCTAATACCAAGAACGAAGAAATCAAAAAATTTTGTTTTTTCATACGCAGTGAGTACAGCCTGCATGTTTTTAATATCACTTATGTCACACATAGTAATAACTGATGCACACACTGCACCTGCATGTGCAGGGAACGTTAACCATTGCACAAAATACATTTTTGCATCCATTTTTGGATTTGTTTCAACTTTATCTTTCCTAGTTGCATCAATATTGACGTTTAAACTTGCCAATGTTTGGTAGGTGCACCTGCACCTTTTCTATCAAGATATAATTGTTTACCGAACTTACACTTTGTTTCTACATGGATAACCCAAGTGACACACTTTTTTTTTTTCCCCCCCCTTGTGCCACAGTTAGATGTGTTTTCCACATTATATAATTACACATGCATACATACATATATACGTACATGCATACATAAATGCTTTTTCCTTCCACAAGGCCAGTACATCATTTCCACACGTATTAACACCCATCAGGATTTATTTAATTGTTATGTCTCATTTATGTGTGCATCTAAACCTTTTGAAAATATTATATGTCGATCTACTGTGCTTTGCAATGATACTTTAACTTTGATTAAACGCTCCCCTATGTGCAGCCAACAGTTCTGTGAAACAGGGTAAAAATTATGATGAATGGGAAAAAAAAAAAAAAAAAAAAAAAAAAAACCTTAAAATTTCCTTTACCATTTTGGAATCTCAATTCGATTCGACATATTTATGTTAGGCACCAATAAAAAAAAAAAAAAAAAAAAGGAATAACATCGCTTATTCATTTGATTAACTGTTACAACGACGTTTAATTCGATCTAGCTATTTTTTTTTTTTTTTTTTTTTTTTTTTTCTTCCCTCGCAAGAGTGATTTTAAAGTATGCTTTTACTTATCCCCACTTTCAACGTCTGCACATAAATCTGAACCATTTTCGCTATGCTTTAGAAATGAAAATATACACAATTGGGACAGACCCCACAATGAGAAATTTTAAAACTGAGAGGAATAATTAATGAATTTTAATAAAAGGGGAAAATGGCATAATAATAAAATTTAACATATATTATAAAAAAAAAAAAATTATGAGGCTGATAATTGGAGAACACTTCAAAATCAGTTAAGTTTTAAATAAATCTAATGAACAAAATACTATACCCAAATTAGACACCTAAATTGGGAAAGGGGGAAAAAAAAAAAAAAAAAAAAATGCACATATACATACGCAACAATGCAGCATGACGACTTGCATCTCTCTGTCACACAATTCTCCCTAACCGCAAACAACCACTGTCCAAACTTTCAACTAACAAACTTGTTGAACTGCTGAGCAACCCGATGGGCTGATGTTTTAGCATCCATAAATAGCTCATCAGCCTGCTCAATGTGTTTTATATCAATTACTGTTTTTCCTTCAAGATTAGCTATAATTCTAGATGGTTCCAACAAGAGCATAGCAAATCGTAAGGAAGATTGGCTACCAATTTTGGCTAAATAATCCATGCCTTCTTGACTAATATTTATTTTTTCTGTGTGTGCACGTAAGGCTAATATTTGTACAATTTCTTTTAATGTATAAGGAAAAGTTTTAACAATAATTAACCTATCTAGTAAATCCACTGGTATTCCATGAGGTTCAATATTATCTGTACCTTTAACTGTACATATACCTCTGTTCGTTGCCATAATAACTATTGGAGCTAATGGTGATTCTATAGCCCTGTTTAGATAAGAAAAACATTCGATGTCTAACATATGTGCTTCATCTATGTACAGAACCCCTGGAATAATTTCAGCTAACCCCATTTCTAGAAATTTATTAACAGTTTTGTTAATTTCTACTCTTAATTTTTCAGTAATTTCTGTTTTTTTGGGTCTCAGATATGAATTCAGAACAGATGCTAAATCTTCCCCTACCGTTGGATTGGCATTCGCCAAATCAATATCATGCAGAGAAATTTGTTGTACAACTTCTTTTTTTTTATGAACTTCTCCTTTAGGTAAAGATACATATTCATCAAATTCAATATCATATTCTTTGGAATAGACATTGCATCTTCCTAATCTTTTTACATGTCCTGTATTTGTTTCTATATATATAACATCTCCAATTTTTATTTTTTCTCTAACTATTTGTTCATGTATTTTTGGAGCCAATCTCAAAGTTTTCGACCCCTTAACAGTTTTCAATGTAATTATAATAGCATTAATTTGTTTTGCTTTATTTAATGAATATAAACATTCATTTTCTTCTACTACCATATCTACCACTTCTCCTTCGTACACTAATTTTTCATCTTTTATTTTTATATGTATACTTTTCCTAAATGCTTCTAAAATTACTTCCGTTTTTTTTATTTCATTACTGTACACTTCTGCACCTGATAAAAATACGAATGGCATTTTTTTGTTTATTTCTCTACTTATCCCAATTGCCAATGCACTTTTTCCGCTTCCACTTGGTCCTGCTAATAGGATACATTTACCAGCTAGCTTTTTTTGCTTTATTAAATCCACTAGAAACAAAGATGCTTCTCTCGCTTTAAATTGTCCAACTAATCCACATGAGTTATCAAAAAACATGGAATATCTTTCGTCTGTTAAATTTACATCATTTTCATGTAAGTATATGTTCGTGTTTACCCCTAGTCCTTTGATGTGGCTGTGGATATTCACTCTTTCCTTTTTCACATCACTCGACGTGTTAATGTTAGAAAGATTTATCTGCATTTTGTCCTTCCACTTCGGGTTCTACTTCTTGCTCTGCTTCTGAAGTAGTAGTAGTAGTAGTAGTAGATGAAGATTCCCACTTCTAATCAGCCGTAACAATAGAGATATGATAAACGCCTGTACCCAGCTACAGATGCCAATCCTGCAATGGATCTGAGAGCACTGGTAGAAACTATTCAAATATTCACCTCGGTCTTATTTACCATTCGTACGTTTTCCAGTCGTTGTCTCATTAAACTTGTACACATTTGCATGTATGTAATTATGAGCTGTCTCACTTCCAGGGAACAATCGAAACACTGGAATTTTTTTTTTTCACTGATTACTTTAGAAATGCTAGATTCGATTTACATAACTACATCTACTTAACAAAAGAGTTCTGTAAAAAAAAAATTCGAAAATTATTGTAACCCGATGCAAATATATCTTCCACTTTATAAAATTTAAATAAAAACCTTGAAAACTTCTACTGCACTATGTTTGGCCCTCTCCTCTTAATGTCCCAATTTTGGTACAAAAAAAAAAAAAAATATATATATTATTATCGAGACGTTTATTGAAAATAAATAAGACCATAAAAAAAAAAAAAAAAAAACAACATACACCTTTCAAATAATAAGCCACATCCCGTTCTATGTTCTATGCTTTTTTATCTCGTAAAAAAATATATATATATATATATATACTTATAATGGGGATGGGTCAAAAAGGTATGTTTTATATATCATGGGTACAAGTGTTTGTCCCTTTTAGAAAGGATTTATAGCATTCTATTTAGTATGGGGGTACAGTACACTTGAAATGATTTAATTTAAACATGTAAAATATAAAAAAAGATAATTCGAAAGAAAAAAAAAGAATCTAACTTTTTTTGGGATGCTAATCCAGGGATTTTTCTTCCATAACTTCTGTTGAGTCGTTATTTATTTATTTTTATTTTATTTTTTTTTTTTTTATTATCCAATTTTTTTTTTTTTTTTTTTTTTTTTCCTTTTCGGTTTTTACTTGTCCCAGGAAAAGTGCTACAAGTTTACTTCTTTCAAAAACTACACAGTTTCAAACGGCACAAGTTTCAAACTTGTCAGTGGTAAAACCCTCTCCCTTACACAGGAACTTCAAAAAAAAAAAAAAAAAAAAAAAAAATTGTGCTTTTTTGAAGTGTATTTCTGAATAATACTTCTTCTACAGCATCGTACAAACCGCTTCGATGCTTATACCATTTCCTTTATGTTACACATGTGGAGGTATAAAAACAAAATGGGGAGTGGTGACCCAAAGATTCGTTCCCTTACTGATATATATTCATATAAACTTCTATTCTGGCAAACGTGAAAGAAAAAAATGTGGAGAATTGTTAATACCAACTAGAGAATGGCACAGCCAATGGTGGTGTACAATCATCAAAGTGAATAATTTTCCGATCCAGAATTCTCACATTTGTTTTGTATGTAAAAAAAGTTATCCTTTTATAAGGTCTCCTTATATGGATGCAAAATAATTGGCATATGTTTATTGCAAAAATGAGAGGGAAAAAAAAAAAAAAAAAAAAAAAGAGAGAGAGAGAGAGAGAGAGAGAGAGAGAGAGAGAGGGAATAGAACCACATGGTATATTCTTGCAAAAATATGTTGTACACTTTTTTCTCATACGGGGGTTACATATACGAAAGAGTGAAACTTTTTAAATGGATTTTCTTTCTCTATTCACCCTAACTTATTCTTCATAACATTTCCACTACTTCACTTGTTTCGACTAGTGCTTCTTTTTTTTTTTTTTTTTTTTTTTGTATTATTTTTTTCTATGCCTTTTTCCTTTTGGGAAATCGATTTAATATCGTTGGTATTTTCATTTGACTATGCTGCATGACTGATGGGAGGGGAGGATATTATATGCACTAAATTTTTTTTTTTTTTTTTTTTTTTTTTTTAAAATAGTGTCATCATCGCCAATCGAAGGTTTTACCTAAAATCACCTGAACATAATTTCCAATGATGAAGCATTATCCAAAATGTGTTCAGGTAAAACAGAGTCAACTGTGTTCTTAACCCCATTTTAAGTGTAATATATGAGGCCTTTTAAGTTCAATTTTTTTTTTTTTTTTTTGCATTCCACATTTAGTAAGGAAGTAAAAAAATTAAAAAAAAGAAGAACGGAAACACATAGCCCGGTTTAGGTTTATTTTTACAAATATATATATATACTCACACATGTACACACATACATGCTTGCGTGAGCTATGTATAGAGTCTCCCTCCTCCCGAAAATGCAATTTTGTTTTGTTGTGTCCCCTGAAGGTAGGTAAGGAAAGGGAGTCCTAAAAACAGGGTGTGTAACACATTCTCCCCTTACGAAATAGTCCAATAAATTGGCATAACTAGAGAATAAATTTAATACCATGCTTTTTAACTTCACATCTCATACTAAATTCACGTCTCATACTAATTGCACTTCACGTACTAATTTCATTTCACGTACTAACTTCACATTTCACAAGCCACAACGGATAGAGCACCCAGACGAATATACACAGCATCACGGAAATTACATATCATGAGAGTGGAGATTTTTAAATGAAAACAATCAGAACATGTTTAGCCTTTCTACTAATTCTCCACGTCCACGTGCAGCTCTGTACCTCATATTGTGACACCTTCTACCTAGGTAAAATGAAACAAAAATGAGAGAATTAAAATGAAAAAATAAAGAAATATGCTGCAGTGTAGGAAAGAAATGTGCATAAAACAAACAGAAGGGAAAAGCAAATCCACCGAAACTCCATCGCACTCCCCACTTCAGTTATCTCGTAAACAAAATGCATTTAAATCTTCCCACGTGTGTCATTACACTCTACTCTAAACGCACACATTGGTTTGTTAACCACGAGGAAGTAACTACTCTAACGGTTTGGAATATGTACACATTTTTTCTTTAAATCCTTTCAACTTAACAGATAACCGAATTAACTATTCATCCCATGGGAAATGGAGCCCCTTACATAAAAAAATGTATGACATAATTAACATGTACAGAAAGACAAGTGATAACAATGCAAAGCTGAAAAAAGGCTTGCTATATGTGAAGAAAGAAATTCTCAATGAGGGAGAAAAACTGCCGGATGTTAATAAATCGATGGAATCAGAGACACAAGGAGATTTCAAGACCAGTGTAAAAAACAAATCAAAGAATGAAAAATCAGAAATTGAAGAAATTTTGAAGAAAAGTGAAAATGTAATAATGGAACGTTCCTTTTCTTTTGACAAACGTGACATAACTATTAAGCCGGTATGCGAATTTTTATCAAAATGGTTCAAATTTTCAAAAATCATATGGAAATTGGAAAAATGGAGGGAGAGGCTATGTCATAGACATTCCGTGTCACAGCCACAATGGGTGTTGCAAATAAAACGTTTAAGGTGTATCACTGCACACCGAGACACATTACTCTGCACCACGACACAATACTGCAAACTGCATATCTACCCCTCCTCCCATGCATGCTCGTGCCTTTCTAGGAACTTCTGAAAGATCTGATTACGCAAAAATATAGAAAGCTCTTTCAAAGACACCCAAAGGACTGTGGGAGTAGCGAAATACAAATTATCATTCTGACCTTCAAAATATTTTTCCTCACGGAACACATGAAGAGGAATAAAAAGGTGAGAAAAAAATTGAGAGAAAAATGGAGAAATAAATTGAGAGAAAGGAGAATAACTAAGTGACGCGAAAAGTACACTGACGCAGTTGTGGAATAACCAAGGGAGACGAGAAGATCTGTCTTTCTTACAACAGTGCACATGTTCCACACCACACATGCTAGGATTATGCTTGCCTGAGAGGACTCTTCAAATGTGTAAATAAAAGAAGAAAACTGCTAATATATCTTGGGAAGAAAAATCGGGATGTATTTAACAAAGTTACAGATTTTTTCAAAATAAAAAAACCACTGTTGCCAGGCACAGCAGAATATTACAATAAAGATCTCAAGTATGTGCATTTCAAAAACACGAAAAGGTTTAAAAATAATGCAGAACGGAAAATAAAAGTCAATACAAAAAATAGAAAAGTTCAAACGGATAAAATTCTGTTTGGAGAATAATTTAAAAAGGAAATCTTATACAATCTCATTTATCATATCTTCATGGTGATACACTCAAATTATATGCATATTTCTGAGCTATGAGAAAAAAAAAAAAAAAAAAAAAAAAAAAATTCTGAACGTTCAGAACGTTGTAACTTTTTGTGTGTATTTCTTCGTTCCTCTGACATTTTTTTTTTTTTTTTTTCTTCTTCTCCTTTTTTGTAACAATATATGCTAAGTGGTTATTTGCCCTTTTTGCATTTATTATATACACATGTATATTTGTTTTTTTCCCAACTTTATCTGCCTTTTTTTTTTTTTCTTTTTCTTTTTCTTTTTCTTCTTCTTCTCCTTTTTTACAACATACTACGTAAGCAAATCTTACACCTCATTTTTTATTCCGTTTTTTCTATAAAATAATAAATTAGAAAAGAAATTTTCTTATGGCACCTCAAATTATAAAACAGTATAAACAAACGGTTTATATGGTTGTGGTAAAATGAATGATTTAACAGTGATGACTATATGTTAATATATACATGGTATGGAATTTTTACACCTATTTTAAGGGTTTTTATTATTATTATTATTTTTTTTTTTTTCTGTGTTTTTCCTTAAAATTTGCAAATCATTCAACGCTGCTATATTACACTCTACCTCTCCATGCAGAATAAATATAATATGAGCAAATAAATATATAGTATATTTTTTACCCGTTTGAATATCCCTTTTTTTTTTTTTTTTTTTTTCCTCCCCCCCCCCCCCCTATAAGTGGTATGACATGTCCCCTCTATTTTTTGTGCATCTTTTTTTTTTTTAGAGATTTTCGATTTTTTAAATAAATCTCGTTATAATATGCCAATTGTGCTATACTTGTAATATTTTTGTACGTATCTTCAATCGACTTGAATTCTTTTCACTTTATTTTTTCCTTTTTTATTAGAATTTTCCTTTTCTCTTTTAAAACATGGCATTGACTGGGTAACATTTTTTTTTTTTTTTTTTTTTCTTTTTTCTTTTCCTTTTTTTCCCCGTTGATTTGATCATCAAAATGAGTTACATAATTAAGAACAATGTAGAACGAGGAATTTTGCAGTTTCATTTACACCTTCTACTTCATTCTGCTATTCACTCCGTCCTTCATTTTTTCTTCTACGTCGTCCCCCACTTTTTCCTACATTTTCGCTACAATTTGTCTTTTTACTTGCTTTTTTTTGCTTATACTCATGAGATAACACATTGCAAAAATGTTAACCGGGTTGAACCACCCCATGGAATCATTGCCCAGCAACCGATATTCAGTGTTATAAGTAATGACATCAAATTGAAAAATAAAGTAGACTATTCCAGAAGGGCTTTTTACCTTCAGGATGGAGTAAAAGTGTATGAACAAGTCACGAACAAATGCAAGGTGTATTTTTTGCCTCTTGTCTGGCCAAGCTCTGAAAAGGGGAATCATCAAGGGGAGCAAATTCAAGGTGATTTCAATTCTGCCCATACGGGTGATCTCACTTCTGGCCATACGGATGATCTCACTTCTGCCCACACTTCTGGCCACACTGCTGAAGAACCAAACACGGGGGGAAAAGAAACGCCGTTCGAATACTTGCAAAAAAATCTAGGAGAAATAAAAAAAAAAATTGAAATGATCGCGACGCACATTAAGAAATCAGAACTTGTTATAGTACCAATTAATTATCATGATATTTTAAACAAACATCTGCTGGATATTCCTCAATTTAGCAACTTCCTGAACGCATTAGATTTGATATTTCTTGTAAATCAAACCAGAGGTAAACACAACGTTATTTTTTTCATTTACAATTTTTATGAAAATGACGACAACTTTCTATGGCCAAGTAAAACATGGATAAGCGACCATGGAAAAAATGAAAAATTGGAAATTTCGAAAATAGTAAAGTCATTTTTACAGAATCATTGGAAGGAAAATTATCAGAAATGTGTAAATGATATGTTCATTTTTGAAAAGGAAAATTCTATCGATTTTGAAATGTTACATGATAAAATTGAGAGAAAAAAAATATACAAGTGGAAAAACATTCCAATTAGTAAAAAATTTGAAAAGAAACAAGACAGTAAATCGTCTACCACTATCCCAGAAATGAAGAAAAATGACAGAAATAGCATCTCTATTTTTTCGAATTGCAAAGTGGATACTTTAAAAAATGCAACTAGCGAAAACTATTTTGTATATAATTTTTTTTCCAATTTAAAAATTAGCATATTGCATGAATATTTAAAATTGGCTAGTCAACTAAAAATTGATGATTTTAGTCAGGAAACAGATGCGACAAAAATAAATAGGAAAATGAATGAAACAATAAAAGATATAGACATACTAATTAACAAATTTATGAGCTTTCAATTAAATAAAAAGATAATAAAAAGTGAAAAAAGCATGGAACAGATAAAAGGTGAAAAAAGCATGGAACAGAAAAAAAGTGAAAAAAGCATGGAACAGATAAAAGGTGAAAAAAGCATGGAACAGAAAAAAAGTGAAAAAAGCATGGAACAGAAAAAAAGTGAAAAAAGCATGGAACAGAGAAAAAGTGAAAAAGACTTTGAACAAATAAAAAATAAACAATATTCCTACCTAGTACACATCATCTTAACAGACATGCTGGAAAAGTATGAACACAATCTAGATTCACTTATACGATACTTATACCAGAAATACAAACAACAAATAAAGAAAATTAAAATATCATCAAATATGATAAATGAATTTAAAAAAGAAATTCATAATATTGATCAGTTATTCGATCAGTACAATTTAAGCATATCATTTATACCTTATTTTAAAACCAAGGGACGAGAATATGAATTCCAAGAAAAAGCAAATTATATTTCCTACTACATGAAAATGAAACTATTTCAAATATTAAACGAAACAACCATTGAAATTGTTAACTATTATATATCTCAAGGTTTATATATCCAACATTATGATTTCAATTCCATTTTTCTGTCACACAAAAAATATTCCATCTTTTCTTATCTTCTACATCGTCTTGCTGAGCTCCTTAAGAACAAAATAAATTTCACTTTTAATTACCTCTCCCTCAATGCTTTTGGATTATCCTCATACAAGTAAGGGCACACACAAAAGGACACTTTTCCATGGACACACATACTGCTCCTTCACCACTTTTTTTTACGCTCAACATGCATTTGTGCATAATTGGGAGAGAAGAAATAATTTCCATTCCAAAGTGAAAAAAGGAAAATGAAGAAATATAAATGACATGGAACAGCTTTCCACCATGTCACGCAAACGCAACTACTCATCCACATGTACACATGCAACTACCACACAACCCATATATACCTCCACTCTCAGGGATGACATTTCCATATCACCCAAGCGGGACCTCATGATTACAACAAGTGAAATTGATCAAGTGGAAAAAATGTACGTCCAAAAATCAATGCTCCATAAAAAAAAAAAAAAAAAAAAAAAAAAAAAAAAGGGGATCCGAACTGATATACTCTTCATAGGCGAATTATTCCAAAGGAAACTCGTTTTCACTAGGAGACTTGCTGACTTAATTACTAGCCAACTGATTTATTGATTTTAATAGACAGCTCACCATTCCACTGACTAATCATGTTGTTTTATTTACCCCATACACACACACAAACACACTCCCATTTTTTTTTTTTTTTTTTTGTCTCACTTCTTTTGTAGAAATATCCCCACAAGCCACTACTCAAAGATTCTCTTATCAATGGACTCATATAAAAAGTAAAGAAAAGGAATCCAATATGGTCTTATCCAAATTATATCAGTCTGATAGTTTGTATGTATTAAAGAAGCCTGAGGAGTGTTATAACCCGTCTATGTGTTTGTGCAAATTGTGCAAATCGTGCAAATCCATCATTCGATAGGTATTTATAATAGTGTGTTAAAAAAAAAAAAAAAAAGGGGAAATGTGGATTTTTTTTTTTTTTTTTTTTTTTCCCTTTCCATTTTTATTATTTGCTTCCACGTTTCATAAAAAATGTTTAGTGCACTTGCTCGTTTCCAAAGTTAGTATCTATGCTCTCGTCCATTCAATTCTCTATTAAAAAAAAAGGAAAAAAAAAGAGAGAAAAAAAAAAAATAAAATAATATTACACTACATTGCATTATATCACATTATGCTATATAATTATATCATATCATAAGATGCCCAAACGTACAGTGAGATTTTATGTATTTCTACTCTTCTCTACGGGTGAAAATATTCCCCCTATTTTAGTATTTTCTCCATATCCATTCAACGGGGCACCCATCCATCCACCCACCGTTCATAAGTTTGTTCATTCGTTTGTTCATTCGTTTGTTCATTCGTTTGTTCATTCGTTTGTTCGATCTTTTTTCTTTTTTTTTTCTTTTTTTTTTCTTTTTTTTTTCTTTTTTTTTTCTTTTTTTTTTTGATATCGTCTCATTCTATCACTTCTTCGAAGTTGCTGACTTTGATCATGCACCGCGTGTGGATATGCATCACTGGTAATGGTATCGCAAAATATTTTTCAACTCCAAATGTTTTACCTTAGCTTATATTTGAGCCTCGAGATTTTTTTGCTCCGAGCTGATATAATCTTGTTTATCATGTTACAATTTATGAACGGGAGGTGTACGATGTACTCCCATGTCTCTCTAAGTGATGAGTGCAAAAGCGGGGGAGGGGAAAAAAAAAATAAAACAGAGCAAAACAGAGCAAACCAGAGCAAAACAGAGCAAAACGGAGCAAAACAGAACAATACAGAACAAAATATATAGGAGCTAGGACAATAATTAGCATCGTAATAAATGTAATGGACGAGTGTTGCATGGGATGAATATCTATGCTGCTTATTCATCCCACTCGTAGATGAAGAAGAACAATGAGTTCAACCTCATTTATGGCCTTCTATCCTGACATGCAAATGTGAAAAAAATTGAATTCGTCTCTCTCTCTCGCTCTCTATCCGCATCTCCCCTCCTGCTCTTCCAAAGAAGTACTTTTTTCCATTTGGATCAATTCGAACATTTTCTGGGAAGAAGGACTTCACCTCATCTTCATCATAAATATTTCTGCAAGAGAAAATAGAAGTGGTGTATATGGCACGTGACATGCACTGAAGTTGCAAAATAGGGTGGAAAGACACGGTTGCAAATTGGGTAGAAAAACATAATTCAACTCACTTGTACTCATCTGGAAGCAGATTGTTATCCTTCTGTGGAAGTACACTGATTAGGTGAGTATAAGCTGAGTAAGGTTTTCCCTGAGAGGGGAAAAGAAGCGGAAAAGATGACGAGAAGTATGTGCATAAATACCGATTTACAAAAAAAATGCACAACACCTACACGAAACTTGTACACACTTTTAACTTCAACTAGGGCTTGGTGCAAATAGCAGTCTTGTACCTTTTCAAAAAAAAAATCGGATTTTTCAAAACTGAGCAAATCACTGCACAGTGGCGCGTAATGGTATGGATATTCCCTTTGGAGAAAAAAAAAAAAAAAAAAAAAAAAAAAAAAATCCACATATACTCATGTTGCAAATTACACGTACATACATGCTTCAAATTGCAGTTGCGAATTCCTCTTCTCCGATGTGTCTTATATAGTTGCTTATTTTATTTTATATTATTTTATATTTCTCTCGAGTTTCCCTGTCTTACCAATACCAACTTGCACAGCCGAAGTGGTAATAATGCAAGTTCCAAAAGAGACCCTCAATGTACTTCTTAACTATCTGTTGTATTTGTTTTGAATCTTGGATTCCAAATTTATGATGATAGTAGTAAGTCTTGTATGTTTTTTCATCCGTAAACTCTGTAATATTTTCGTTAATCCCTCTTTTTTTAAAATATGCAAATTCTTGTGCACTCAAAATTTTTAAAATAATTTTCAACCGTTCTATATGCACTTTATCTTTAAGAGTTATATAATTGTTATATTTATAAATATAAAATATGTACGAGTTCAGAATTTCATTCATTGATCCTTCATTTATATCTATATTTGGAATATGTGGAAGGAAATCATTCCCCACTAGAAAGGATAAAAATACAATATCATCTACTACTCTGTTTATACTGAAAATCACATTCTTTTCTTTTTTTAATTTATTTATGTATGTAGCTATTTGAGTTCTTATTGAATTTCGAAGTTTATGCACATCCAGAATTTCAAAGTCGTAGCTATTAAGCGGTTCACACCGTGAGTAGTAATCCTTCGTGTACAGATGAACTTTGCTGAATGGGTTTTTTCTCTGCTTGCACGGGAACCCATCCTTCCCCTGATCAATGGGCATTTTCTTACAGTTCTTTTCATTTGTCTTCTCCTCAGTAATTCCAAGCCGAACTAACTCTCCTTCTTCGGATATCGCCTCTCCTGCATCTCCTGTCTCTTCTTTCTGGATGGTAAAATCCTTTTGCGTCTTCTGGAAGTTTTCAACGATACTGCTGTATATCTCGTTCGTCATTTTGAACTTGTCTCGAAGAATAAAGATCTTGTTCAGATGTGTAACAAGCGACAGCATAATTAAATCTGCATCTAGCCCGTAGATGCAGTGGCTGTAGTTTCTGAATTGGGCATCTCGCCTGAAGTTCTGTGCCAGGTGAAGAAGCAGCGAATGGATGAAGCATCAAACTAATGAAGCATCAAACTGATGAAGCAGCAAACTGATGAAACAGTAGTCTAACATGTAGAAACGAATTAATTAAAGAAAAGAACTTACCTCCCTAATGAACTTCAAAATTTTGTGCTCTCCCTCGCCGGGGACATCCGAACCGGAGAAAATAACATCGAATGGGAATATTTCCTTCTTCTTCAAAATCTGAAACCATTTATTTAAAGACAAGTTAATTTTATACATGAAATCAGTACCTGTTGTAATACAATTTGGATTGAACAATTTGGAAGATGAATCAGAATTTTCATTGACTTTAAATAAACTGAGAAATCGTCTCTTCCTTTGTTGATTCATCTTGGCCTTAGGGGAGACTCCATCAACACCCACATACACTAATTTTTTGGGTTGCACTAGAAAAAAAAGATTCTTTAAATAAAGTAAAATATTTGAGAGTAATTCATGTTCGTCATGTACAGGCAATGTGTCCTTATTCGCATGTGTGCAATGGTGTATAACACCATTCATATCTACATAAAAAATGTCTATATCTTTTTGTTTGTTATTGCAAATTAATTCTTCTCTCACAGTAGGATAATAAGAAGTTAACCATTTGTACATTCTTGGTATCCCATAAATTCTATGTCTTCTGTATGTCCCTGTATCTGGATCATAATGTTTATAGATTCTTATACTTTTCATTATATTATTAGTAGAATTAATAAAATACTGTTTCTTTCTCTTAATTCTTCCACTTACAAATACCCACAATAAATATGATATCCATAAAATTACACTCATGTTATATCTCCTCTCCCGTTCTTACATTTGGCGTTTTTTTTTTTTTTTTTTTCTTTTTTTTTCCCCCACACCGTAATTGTGTCACATTTACACTTTTTTGAAAAACAGTTTCCTTGGTACACATGGCTTGCTTGCAAGGGTAGTTTTACACACTGAATATAACTTCAAATTTTATTTCCTCAAGAATATATACATGATATCGTTACTGTTGTTAGCCATGGAGTAGGATTAAGTGTGCAAATGTATGTAACAATATCCATACGAGAGAGTATGAACTGTGAACTGTTCCTAATCTTGTGGAATTCATGGAAAAATATACCTTACTATTGACGTTATGGTTTTGGTGGAGTAAGAGGAGAGAGAGATAGGGACCCTCAAAAAAAAATATAGCTGCATGAAATGACACACAAAAGAGTGGGGAATAATAGTACTTGTAAAATATAGTGTTATTAATAGAATTATTTTCTATATGATAGCATGGTATTCATATTGCAGTGCTTTTTTTTTTTTTTTTTTTTTTTTTTTTTTTATTTTTCTTTTTCTTTTTTTTTTTTTTTTTTTTTTTTTTTTTTTGTGTGAAGTTGCTTTCCCTGAATATTTTCTACTATGAAAGTGCAAATTTTTCACCTTTCCAGTTGTTTTAAAAAAAAAAAAAAAAAAAAAAACACTTCATTTTAACGCACTTATGTATTGTACTTATCCTTCGTTATGAAAGCCAACTTACAGTATTGTGTGGAAGTTAAAAGATCACTCTCTTTTTTTCATCCAGTTACTTTTCTTTCTTCTTGGGTTAGTGCTAGTATCATCGACTTCCCCAGTGTTGCTTAAACAGATAAGCTCACGTAGAAGTGATAAAAACGGGAAGAATAAAAAAAAAAAAAAAAAAAAAAAAAAAAAGAATCAAACATGTGAAGAACCCATGATCCAAATGAAGTGGCATATATTCCCGCACACACAAAATAAGAAAAAAATCCAAATATACTTTATTTCTTTTTCAACATTTCCCTTTCCACCTTTTTGCTGCTACCCCGAATTTGGCAGAAGTAGCCACACACCACTACACACACAATGATAAGAGGACAGACACATCGATAAGATCACATCACATAAGACGAACACAAGCACTAAGCGAAGATTTCTCTTTCCCGGTACACTCACACCCCAAAAATAATAAAAAAATAATAAATAAATAAATAAATAAATAAATAAATAAATAAATAAATAAATAAATAAATAACAAATGAGTAATCCCCACAAGTTCACCTCCCCTACAGCAGCAATCAGATGAAACGAATGAACAGAGATGTATGCAAGTATGTGTGCAGAAAATGCAATAATTTTATCTACTTCAATGAAGCATGTGAATTAATATATAAAGTAGCATATCCTGAATATGCAAAAATATATTACAATATGAACGAACTAAATAAAGGAAGGGAAAACAAGACTGAACCAAATCTCAAATTTTATGATAATTTATATAGACAGATTTATAATAACGGATTATGTGGCGTTAACAAACAAAGGAACGATTTTACAAACAAAGATAATGTCAATAATATTTTACATTTTCTCAACAAGGGGAATATAATGTGTACAAAATGTAGCAGCGTTAATGGGTGGTTTTTGAAGTAGCGTGTGGTGAAAAGGGGCAGAAAAGTGAAGAAAAAAAAAGTGAAGAAAAAAAAGTAAAGAAAAAAGGTAAAGAAAAAAAAGTAAAGAAAAGAAAAGGGAAAAGGAACCTACCCCCTTTGCTTTTTATTTTTTAATTTTTAGGACAACAAAATTAGAGAAGAATATGTGAGAGTTGTGTAAATGGATAAACAGGAATGTTCATAATGCGATTTTCCTTTTCAAATTTTCACCTTCTCCCCTTTTTAATTTTTTTTTTTTTTTTTCTTTTTTCAAATTTAACAAAATGTAACTGTAGTGGAACCAACGGAACCAGCCAAACGACGCAAACGAGATGAAACAAATGTGTCAAATATGATAAGCAAAGAGAAAAGCATACAAAAAAAAAAAAAATAATAAATAAAAAAAAAAAAAATAAAAAATAAATAAAATAAATAAATAATTTCAACTTTGGCTTAACTCCAAATTTGGTTTCCCATTTTGAACGTAATTCCTAAGTCCAAATAAATCATCGGTTCCAACTTTGGCTTAGCTTCAATCCAGATGCCAAGCGCAACGTCAGTTGGTGGCCTTCAAATTTTGTATGCTCAGCATAATTTTTTTCTTTTCCATATCCAAAATCTTTTCTTCTTCGACCTTTTTTATACAAATTTTAACAAACTCCTGGAAAGAAAAAAAAAAAAAAAAAATTGTGACATAGTGGAATGGCAACATAGTGGAATGGCAACATAGTGGAATGGCAACATAGTGGAATGGCGACATAGTGGAATGGCGACATAGTGGAATGGAAACATAGTGGAATGGCAAAATAGTGGAATGGCAACATAGTGGAATGGCAACATAGTGGAATGGCGACATAATGACATGGGGGTAAAATTTGCTTTGGCATAAACATGTTGAGAAAGATATATGAGTGCTAAGAACAATTCCCTGCATAAAGACATGCACAATTCGCTGGCCTTATAGTACATATCTTCAGGCCTCACAAAAACGACTCGATCCTGTTTCGATCCTGTTTCGATCCAGTTTCGATCCAGTTTCGATGCAGTTTCAATGCCGCTTCAGTGCTGCTTCTACGAGCAGAGGAGGGGAATTGAGTCTACCTTTATGATGCCTCGAGTGAATTCATCCAATGCATACACATTGCTTATGAGAGCGTATGTGTCAATAATGACATGTATGTAATTGAGAGTGCTAGGGAAACTCTTAACAATCAAACTGTATAGGTGGATTATGTCCTCGGCCATTTGGAAGTTGATTCCGTTGACTTCATCCATCTGAATCTTTTGATTTAAGAAAATGAAAAAACTGTAGATTAATTTCATAAGATCAATTATTTCAATCTTGTTCTTTTTATTTGCATTACTTATGTGAAGAACTTCATTTGAAGTAGCTTCTTGTATATAAGTTTTTTCTTTTTCCAATATGCTTGATGCATAGTTGTGTATCTTTTCCATAAGCTTGTTTAAAAATATATTTGAAAACTTTATTCTTTCGTTTTTAAATTTTAAAAAATCTTTCTTCCTCTTTACACTCTTTTCATTCCTCTTGACAGATGAACTTGCATCGTTCGTTTGTATTATATCTCCACTCGTAGGAAATACATTGTTTATCTCATCTTCACCGGGACTTTTTCTCTCACTTGCCTCTATCCCTTTTTTTCCATTATCACTTCTAACCCTTCCCACCATTTCGAACATATCGTCTTGTTCATCTACCCAAAGTGCATTACTACTCCCGTGGAGGAACATTCCAAACCGTCTTCTAACATCATCTCTTTCAGCACCTTCACATGTAGTATCGATAGAGGCCTCATCTGAAATGTGTTCATTATGAAAAACAGTATCTGACAAGGCGCTGCTATGGACATTCGCTAATGAGTACATAATGTAGGATAGCTCTTTAAGCGCGAATTGAGAAACGATATTTAAATTGTTATAAATAACATCGAAAAGAAACTTGAACCCGATTTTTATTTTTCTTGCAAAAGTATTCACATAAATACTTATAGTCATAGAATCCAATGGAAATTTAAAAAAGTGTGAATTCTCCTGTAAGAAGTCTTCATCATTATCATATTTCTTTTTCATAATATTATGCTCAATTGTGTTTCTAAACAAGTTTGGAGAATAATATACATTTCCATATTTTTCATTTAAAAAGGATTTCATGTGTAAAGAAAAGTATATTGAAAAAAAATAAAAAAAATTTAAGAAATATTTTTTCTTAATTACATGTCTGTTAAGCGAACTTATGGCCCACATTGCAGAACCCAAATTGTCATATTTAAATTCGTTAATACAAAATTGCACCCCTTTATTTTCTAAATCGTGGTTTCTTTCTTCTAAATCCAATTTGGAACTCCTAATACTCTTGATATCAACTTCACTAATATTGTCCATACTCACGACAGACGGTTTTTCTTCCATTTCTCTAATTGATCCCTTTTCCTCTTCACCTTCAATCGATTCATTATTCATCACATTGAAGTGAAAAATTTGTTCCCAATTTTGAATGTCCACATTAGCCTTCTGATATACATATAATGGAAAACGGATTTTGCTTAACAGCCAATCAAACGTGTTAAAAATGTTTTTATGTATATGTTTATATTTTGTAAGTAAATAAATAAGTTGACATATATTTGATGATTTCCATTTGTGGAAAGAATTCTCCACAATGGTACATAGAAGTGTTAACATTTTATTAACTTGCTCATTAAACAAATTAGAAGAACCTTTTTTTAATTCATAATAGTTTAATAAACCTTGTAAAAAATGAATTATATCATTTGATGTAAAATAATTAAATTTTGTTAAATTAGCATACCCTACTGAAAGGAGAAATATTTCGTTCAATTGTTTCTTCGTTTCAATTAAGTTTAAATTTCTCCCTAGATAGTTTACATAAATTGCCAACTGTTTTGGCATTATAATATTTCGAAATTTCATTTTTCTATTTTTCTGATAAAATGTTTTTGTCTCTTCATCATACAATTCTTTTATATGCTTCTCCTTAACAATATATATATCGTTAATAGATATGTATCTTGGATAATTCATTTCCTCATTACTTGTGTTGTAAATATATCCAAGCTGCTTCAAAGATTCTTCAATACTTCTCTTTACATTTTCAATTAATTTTCTCTTCATTTCTGTGCTATACAATTTTGTAAATTTGCTTAACGCTAATACATCTAGACATACATCATGTGAATTATTTTCCACATTTGAAATATCCTCTCCACAAAGACTGGACAAGGGTCTCTTCTCCAACTTCTCATCAACCTCCTTAATGTCATTCTCTATTGATGTTCTATGCAATGCCATTAACTCATCACTTCTGTTCTTATCAAAATGAGGGGCGTTATTAGGGCATCCAATTTCTCTCCCCTCATCAGATGCACAAGAAGAACTCATTCCTACACCTTTTCCTCCCTGTAGAATGTTCTCACCACTTGGATGATGATCCTCCGATGAGTCACATCTAACATTGCGTTCTTTTCGTGATGATTCGTCCAAATGTGGATTTTCCATGGTGTCGTCATCTTTTTCTACACTTTTTTCTCCACCAAGTTTTTTTGTACTTTTTTCTGCATCATTTTCTTCACTTTTTTCTGCTTTCTCCATTGACTCACCATCATAATAGAGAAAATGTTTCATTCCATTGGGGCCCACTCCTGTCTCCTCGCTAGGATTGCCAAACTGAAAGAGGTGTATGTTTTCATTTAACCATTCATACATGTACTTGTCCTTCAGATCTAGCTTAATCAGAGAAACCAGCGAACTTTTCAAACAGTTGTAAATGAAAATCAATTCATTCTTGTGTTCCATGCGTGCACGGTTCTTCAACTCAAACTTCTCCTTACTGCTCTTCCCACTCATTGAATGCCCTTCTTCCGCCTTCCCATCATGTACTACTTTACCTATCTCAACTGTGCTCGCTCCCTTCTTCCATATGTTTCCTTCATCTGTGTCTGTCACGGGGTCTGTCACGGGGTCCGTCACTAGGTCCGCGTCGATAACTTCATTCATGTCTATCTGCATGCTCGAATGCATACTCGAGTGCATGGTGGGCTGAGAGAATCCCCTTTGTTGGGTGATGAACACAAAGTAATCCAAATACTTGACCAAAGCATGATTGCATGCACTGACAAAGTCTCCCAAAACAGCCACGTCCAAACTGGTATAATTATTATGCAGATTCAAGTTTCGAATGTTTGGATTTTTCAAAGGGTAAAATATTTTGGAAATGCACTTAATCAGTTTATACACCTTGCTTAGTGTTTTTATTCTAAATATGTCGGTGTTATGTCGGTTCGTATTCTGTTTATCCGCATTTTTGTGTGCTAAATTTGTCGAATGTAACTTTTTTAACTTTTCAAAATTAAAAAGAGACAATAAAATATTTCTTTTTAGAATTACGTGAATAATTTTGTTAAGTAATAAAATACTACTTCTTAATAACAATGTCTGAGATTCAAATATGATAAATGGAATGTATATATAATATTTCTCGTTCAAAAAATTTAAGTTATTGTACAATTTTATATATATATAGTTAAAAATGTCTAGTATGTTTTTCACGCTTTCTTCATCCAGTTGAAATTTATTCATCAAGAAGGCTACTTGGTGAAAAGTGCACTCGATTTTCCCATCCTTCTCTCTGTTTCTACTTCTGTCTTCCTCTTTCAACCATACAGGTTCTTCTTTTTTTGTAAGATTTATCAACTGGTCGTTCTTCTTCCCAGTACCCTCACCGGCATTTATAGAAACAAGATTGACATTCCCCTCAGATCCACCAACTTCTTCTTCTTCTTCTTCTCTTCCTCCTCTTCTAATATTTCGATCAATTCCTACTGACAACACGTTGAAGTAAAGCAACTTGCATAAGCTCCATATAGCCCATAGTGATTCATCAATAGATAAGTGATCTTTAACCTTATTCAAATTAGAAATAATTAAAGAAAAAAATTTTCTAAAATTATGTACAAGTGTATTAGCTACCTCCTGAAATTCTGAACATGTCACACAAACGCTAGTATCTACACTACTCGAACTTTTAAACAGTTTTAACAAAATTATTGTGATTGCCCATAAAATGGAAGATAACTCATAGGAGCAAAATTTATCAATATGGTTTATCAAAATTTTTAAACATTTATTAATTTCGTTGTAGCTTAAGTGAAATTCTTTCACTCTCTTCTTATCTGAGTCGAAATATTTATTTTTTATTAAAATGTAGTTCTTTTTTATATATATTTTAATGTACTTATTGTTCAATCCTATTGACATTTTGTGTAGCCACTTTTCTACACATGTGTAATCGAACCCTTCATCTTTTATGGCTGTCACGAAATTGGAAAAATTCTTTTCCTTCCACGATTGATAGATGTAGTTCAGTAGGTTCAGGGATCTGCAGGTGGGGAAAGATAACATTGGGAATCAAAAAGGGATAAATAATAAAAAAAAAACAAAATAATAAAAAAGGGATAAATAATAAAAAAAAAACAAAATAATAAAAAAAAATAAAATAATAAAAAAAAAAAAAATAATAATAATAAAATAAGCTAATAAAATAATAAAATGAACAGTCATAATGTAGTTGCAAATGAATCCCTAACATAATCGCATGCACAACATGCAGCAGAGATCCGTAATGTGCACAGAATGTGGAATAACCTCAAACGTGACACGTTCATCTGCTTATGGGAAAATACAGTTAGATTTAACTCACCTTTTTTCATCAGGACTTAATAAATAACTTCGCACATTTGTGTTTTGTATATCTACGACTTTATGAAGATTTCCCTTTTTTCTGTAATAACCATTGTTGTTGTTCATGAGGTCACTTGTTATGCTTGTTCTTCCTTTTCTGTTTCTGTATCTCCTTCTTTCGGCATTCCCCTCTTCTCCTTCGTCTTCTTCAACTTCTTCGTCTTCTTCAACTTCTTCGTCTTCTTCGTCTTCTTCTACTTCTTCGTCTTCTTCTACTTCTTCGTCTTCTTCTACTTCTTTGTCTTCTTCTACTGCTTCGTCTCCTTCTACTGCTTCGTCTCCTACTTTTTTTTTCTTCTTCTTCTTCCCTCGAACAAGTTTTTCTATTTCAGGATACTTAACGAATCCTTTGATCAAAGGATCTTTGATTAAATTAGTTTTTCCTTTATTCCTCATTTGGCTAATTTTGATACGTTTCATGTACTTATCTGGGGATTCTTTTGTTTTGTTTTGAATACCATTTTGATAATCACCATCATCATCATCAGCCTCCTCCCCAATTATGGCTGTGCTTCCACTGTGTGTGGTGTTCTGAATTGGAGATATGGTAAGAACATCTTTCGTTTCTTTTCTCTTGGATTGAAAACATTGGAAATTTAGTTCTACAGATGATAAATATTTAGGGTTATTCCTTACTCGATCAACTATGTAACGATTAAAGGATTTCAAACCTTTTCGATAAGTTGGATTAACAAAAGTAGAAATTTCTTTTCTTCTACTTTCCCTTCCACTTTGGAGGTAACTGTTTTTCTCGTGTTGTAATATATAAGTATTCTTAAATGTATCAGTTCTTATTGAAATTATATATTTGATTTTTTCTTGTAACAATAAAAGAATGAACATCTGAATAAATATCATTTTATTTACCTCTTCTTTTTTCTTCCATAACTTTTTTTTTTTTTTTTTTTATTTTCTATCATCTCTGTAAGCTTCCCCCAACAACTTACTTTTCACAAATTATTTATTTTATTTTATTTTTCTCTCCAGTCCATCTATTATATTGAGGTTTTATCATTTTCTCTTCTCCTTTTTAACATTTTTTCCCTTTTTTCTCCTTTTTTTTTTTTTTTTTTTTTTGCCATCACCTGTACTGGAACAAAAATATACTATTCTGAAAGACGACACTGTCACACCAAGGAGGACAACACGCAAGCATTGAAAAGGAGAAAAAAAAAAAAAAAAAATAGAAGAAATAAAAAGGATACACTTAAACGATACTACAAAATGTAATTGCCAAAAAAAAAAAAAATAAATAAATAAAATAATTAAGTAAAAAAATGAATAAAATGACGGTGCGGAGGTACACCAAAGAGAATTTTTTTTTTTTTTTTCAACTGTAGTATATATAAGCATATGCATTTTACATGTATGTATATGTAACAGGTGTAATGTTGTATAGAGGAAGAAAAAAAAAAAAAAAAAAAAAAAAAAAACTCACAATTTGAGAGAAAAAAGGTGATTCTATGCATACTTCTTAACATAGCAAAAAGAAAAACAAAATTTCCACTCAAAATTTCGACCTTTTTTTAGTGAAATTGAGTGATAAAACATTTTGTGAAGAAAAATATACAAGAAGTTTTTTCAACGATATCTTATAGTAGTTCTATTTTATATGCTTCATAACAGAGTAAGGATCCCACACAATTGTCTTCTTCATACCACAACGTTGGAGTATAATATGTATTTAATAAGTGGCACCACCATAAGGCTACATCAGCATGTCTTTACACACTCTCTACAAGCTCAAATAAGTAATTCAGTTTTTTTACATCTATTTATTACAACCTTAACCCACCGTTGGGCTTACAAGCACGTGGCTACATAGGTAAAGAGAAAACTATGTAAACGTGGTCTCCACCTTGTGTACATATATATGCACATATATGCATACATATATAAGTGTTTCTTACTGCATGCTTCTATTACAAATGTAAAAGGACAAACTCAAGATAAGTACAGAATCGTTGAATCATATATTTTGTGTGTTTTCCCAGTTTGGCCCGCTCTTCCTCTTCTCATAATCATACAAATGAAGGATGCATATATACATATATATATATATATATATATATATATATATATATATAGGACAAATGTTATAATTGCAAAATGAATAGCAAATTTCTACCTCGCTGGAGTTATAACAAATGGACGAAACAATCGTGCAAACTCTACTACTTGAAAGAGGCCAAGTTTTTACGAACAAAAAGAACGACAATTTGCCTGAACGGTTCAGGCAAATTTAGTCGTTCGAACAAGGACAAATGGGATAACCTGAACGAAGAAAATATATCTTCTTCTGACATAAAGGAGAAATGGAAAAGTCAGACAATCCATGATGAGACTACAAATGCATGCCCAAGTGACAAGAAAGGTAACGCTAGCTATACACAGATGCAGAAAAAGTACGAAGAGATGAAAAAAAAAATATATCAAAAATACAACCATCAGGGGATAGAAAGTGATCCTCAAAACGTAGAGATGCATGGAAGGAACTATGGACATGTGAACGAGTTAAATATCCATCGAATGTTATTACTAGGATTAGCGAATGTAAACATACATGAACTGAACAAAATGCAAATTAACAGTTTTTTAACTATACAACAAGGAAAAGATGTTCTAATAAATTATCCTGTCGGGTCAGGTAAAACCATAGCATATTTACTACCCCTTCTGAATAACATTTATTTTGTACATGATTATTTAGAGGAACTGATTCTTGAGAACTACAACAAGGATCACAATAATAATAGTCTTATGACAAATTCAATTAAGAAAAACTACAAATTCAGTAACAATTTTGATTTATATAACGAAATGCGTAAATATTTTATCAAGTATAGTCATTATAAGAATCATGTTCTATTGGAAGATAACACAATTCAAATGAAGAAGAAAATGAAACAAAAATTTAATTTGCTTCCTCAACATTTCACTGAATTGGGGGAATACCAATCATCTGTTTTATTACATTCTCCCATAGGTAGGAAATGTCACACAAAAAAAAAAGCAGAAAAAAAAAAAAAAAAAAACTCATCAAATGAAAATCAAAATGAACATGAAGAAGTCACACATAATGAGAAGCAGAACGCAGCACTCGAAATACAGACAAAAAGTAATAATATCAGTTTGATGAATAAATTGATAGAAGTAATAAAAATTAACAATATCAATCTGAACAATTTAAATAGTGACCATATCAATAAGGAAGAGGTAACTAAATTGGAAAACTTACTAAAATACAACTTTAAAGAGGAAAGAAAACAAAGCAATTGCATTTTGACAACACAAGACAGGCACGAACCCATTTACAGATACTTAACGCGTAACCCGTTACAAATAAATAAATCCATAATTATTCTTACTATTAATAAAGATAACATAAGCCAAATTGTCAAAGTGATTAAAGAACTTGATATCCTGAACCGAATTAATATACAAACATTGAATGATGTACCATATTATGACATTCACCATTTGGAGAATGAAATTTCTGAACAAGAGACAAAATCGAATAGAAAAGAAAAAATCGATGAAAAAAAGTTCCATGATAGGAAAAATTACAACTTTGAAAATATACATGTAACAAATATCAACAGGGTAAACAATCCAATATTATGCAAAGATGAAATTATGTGGACATGTGCAGATATAGTAATTACCACGCCAGATATTTTTCTTCAAACGTATCAAAATGAAAAAAACAAACATATTCTCCCATCCATAATAATATTTGATGAAATAGACATGCTATTTCAAAATAATGCTTACAGGAATACAATGATGAATATTTTCCATATTATTAAAAAGAGACCACAAATATACAATCCACACGTTCAAATAAGCAATGATACTATAGAAAATGTGGATAAATCAATTCAAGACGTGCTAACGAACGAAACAATGGAACAACATCAAAACGATCATTCTAAAGTACCTTTCTTTGGAAAATGCCTTGTTTTGAATTCTTTTCAAGGAGAAATTTATTCGACGTCATCATATTCTTCATTGGAAAAGTCTGCAAACCTTGACATGACTCTAGTCGAAAGTTCTAGTAAGAATCCACCAAAAAATACAACTCCTAAAATGGAAAACAAAAGGAACATTACGACGAAGGAAAAAATACAAGATTTGCCACTACTCCAGATGATATATGTCAGCTCAACCCTTCCATCGGTTGGACATACCACATCTGGGAGTATGTTGACAGAGAGATTTAGCAACTTAGTTGAAATTGTCAGTAAGGAAAATTATCAAATCCCAGAAAATGTCCAAACCCAATGGATCGAGCTAAACAAGGATAAAATTTTAAGCCATTATTTGCTTACCAACGGGGGAGAAAGTAACAAAAATTGGGATACAAAGGATGAAAAATCTAGTGTTCATTATGATGGTATCAATTTGAAAGATGCTTCTATGTCCAGCAAAATTAACGAACTTGAAAATTGCTCTTTTGAACACAGATTAGACCTACTAATTCACGTTTTGAAAAAATATTATGAGCGAGATGGGAACGAGGAAATTTATGAACGGTCAGAATATTCTGATCATGATCAAAGTCAGGCAAAAAAGGAAAAAAGTGTTACCACTGAAGAAGGGAAAAAAAAAAAAAAAAAAAAAAAATTTGCAGAATCCTCAAAAGGGAAAAACTTTCATCTTATCGATAAAAAATGTATTTTCAAAACTATCATATTTGTTAATAGTATAAAAGATTGTATTAGAATATATTTTTTTTTAAAAAAACATAATTGGCCTATTTTTTGTTTTCATAAAAACATATCAATAAATTCACGAATTCAAAATTTACATAATTTTTACCACACACACCTTGCCATATTAGTAACTACGGATTTGTTAAGTAGAGGAATAGACACCAAAAACGTGGATCACATAATTAATTTTCATTTTCCTTCTGATGCTATTACTTATCTTCACAGGTTAGGAAAGATGAATAGGTATGGTAATCAACACTACAAGGAGAAACCTAACAAGGGAGAAGTGCAAACAGAATACTCATATCAGGAAAGCACAATTTCAAAACAAATTACAAATCAGTGTCCAGATGTAAACAAAACTTATCTTGTCACAAACTTCATATCATTTTCAAATCTCCCATTGGCAAATTCGATAAGATATTTTCATAAACACAACATGAGTTTGCTTCCTCTTTTTTCCAGAAAAAAATCATTCAAAATGAAAAATAAAAGAAAAGAAAATACAAATGAGACACACAACAGATACATCGACGTAGGATCTCTGGAAGATGAACAATTCAATATCGAAGGGAGGCATCACCACAACCTAAGCCCAGAACAGAGAAAGCCACAGCACACTTCTAATCAGGAAGAGGTACATCTTACCAACTACCACACGAATAAACATTCTTTTCCATGCGAAAATGACGAAAAAAATGTCTATGTCCAAGCACCTGTTTCGGTTTTTTCCATAGATAATTCAGATGATGAGTTGGAAGATGACCAGTTGGAGGATGACCAGTTGGAGGATGACCAGTTGGAAGATGACCAGTTGGTGGGAAATCAAGATGAGTGCACTAACATTCATGAGGAAGATCAAATGGGTAGTAGCAATTATCACGATTACGTGACCACAAGACAGTTAGAACTCACGAAAATAACAATGGGGAGAAAAGGTACAAATGGAGTAAAATGTAATCCACATGCTGATGGTAACCACTCGGATGAGGTTACCAATGGAGATACAATTACATGTGAAGAAGAAACATTTCTTCCAAGAAATGAAAAATCAAAATTGTACAAATATTCTTGTATGAACAATCAGATTCATGAGAAAAAAATTCCATCTTGGGATGATGTAAAATTCGATCATAAAAAATTTCTTGTTGAGCGATTCAAGAGTAAGGAGTGTTACTTGGTAGGTCAGGTTAAACGTGGGAAACTCATTTTGAATAATTTTGAAACCAAGGGAACGGATGATGAAGATTTCCTATTTTGACTCATCCCAAGCATTTCTTTATTTTATTCTATTCCATTTTTCCAAAGTCTATGTTGTTTGTACCTGTGCTTAGTATCTTATTCCGTGCCAACACTGCTAATAATGCCAAACCTGCTAACAATGCCAAAACTGCTAACAATGCCAACCTCTCAACCGTTCAGGGGTATGTTCTCCACATCAATTAACTCATTAACTAAATATACCTTTCCATAGTTGAGAATAGTCTCGTACAATTGGTTCAATATTGTGTCGTTAGATATGGTACTGGAATTCCCGACAACAACTACGTGCCGCTTGGATCTGGTAATTGCCACATTTAAACGTCGATAATCTTTCAAAAATCCAATGTTTTTAAAGTAATTTGAACACACAAGTGACAAAATCACTATTTCTTTTTCTCTGCCTTGAAAAGAATCAACTGTGGATATCTCGATTTCTTTATAATCAGATCTATAATTCTTTTCGTTATACAAATTATCATAAAATATATTTCTTAACAGATTCATTTGCTTCGAATATGGAGTTATCACGCATATATGATTCGCACTAATCCTGTCTACATGTAGCATTCTTTCGATTAACTTATATATGACATACGCTTCTCCACTGTTGCTTCTGGATTTGTTATTCAGATTTATGATGTCCTCTACATCTATTTTTATTGCATCTTCCAGGTTCTTCTCCTTGTTCTCTGCCTTCGTCCCCTCTGAAGATGCTGATTCTGATGCTGCAGATGAAAGTCCACTTTCTGAGTCAATTTCTTCATCACTTGGACTTTTTCCATTTGAACTTATTCCATTTGAACTTATTCCATTTGAACTTTTTCCATTTGAATCCTTTCCTTCTAGATGCCCCTTGTCGTCGCTCGTCATGTTCATTCCCACGATGGTACCACTTTCGTTATCGCTCCTTTTTTGGTTCATACAACAAGTGTCATTATGCGAATATCCATTCTTCTTCTTCTGATCCTGCTCCGCTGCTGCATCTATCTTAAGCGATTTCTTTTCACACTTTTCGCCACTTTGTACAGGCAAAACCTGGTCTCTCCCCGGGTCCTCTGCCAATTTTCTGTCCCTCAATTGGTGGTCTCCTAATTGGCTATCCCCTAATTGGTAATTTTTTTTTCCCTTCATTTCCAGATGTATCATGTCTAGCTCCTTGGTGTCATCAAGAAATTCATCGAACCCATCAGTTTCGATCCACGTTATTGGACAATAGCTGTAGCTCTGAATCATGGCACTATCATTTGCACACACTTCAACTTGCTTCATTTCCTCATCATTCTTTTTTTTGCTTTGTTTTTTTTTTTTCTTATCCTTCCCAACCTTTTTACGCTCACTTTGCGCCTCTATTCCTTTATTACCACCTGCTCTTTTTACATCTAATCTAGATGGGGAAAAAAGATCCCCAATCGTTATGTCCCTACAGGAATGATGAGAAACAAGACGATTTTCATAAAACATTTTGTTAGACCATCTCAAGATGAGATCATTCATCCGGTACTGAATTTTAAGGAGAAAGGATATTTTTTTTTTATACTTCTTAATAAGTCTTTCAAATAATGTAACACTTAATTTGTTACTGCCATTCTTATATTTAACCAAAGGTGCCAATTGCTTATGATCTCCGAAAAGAAAAATATTCTTTTTTGAAAGTGATATAGGAATATAACATAATGGTTCAGTACATTGACAACATTCATCAATACAAACTGCATCAAATAAGAAATTTGTATATTTGATAAATTTATTTAATTCATAATTTGAACTACTTGAACATGTTGCAAATATAACATTATTTCTATTCATCAATTCATTAAAAAATATATTTTTTTTTTTTTTTCGACTTTTATTTAATAGTCTTATTTCGTATTTTAAATTCATTATACTTTTCCTATCAAATGATGATATTTTTTCATGTTTTTTCTTATTTTTTAATTTCCCAATTTCTAATTTTAATTTTTCAATATCTTTATCAATATCTTCACATAATTTATAAGAATCACAACTTCTTATTTTCTCATCATAACTATAATTCCATAATTCCTTTCTTATTTTAGACTTCAATCCAAGTCGAACAACATTTCTTATATTCATATCTACACATTTACTTAATATGTTATCTACTGAAACATTACTTGGGCCTGTAACTAACAGCTTCTTATTCCTTTTAATAAATTGATAAATTAATTCACATAAAACTGTTGTCTTTCCAGTACCTGGAGGTCCATGAATGCAAAAGATGTCATTCGAGTACAGGCACATATATACTGCTTTTTTCTGATTGTCGTTTAAATTTTTGTTTCCCCATTCTTCCTTCGCACATTTGTAGTAATAGTTCTCTTCATTTCTCAAGTCTTCTTCCATCGGGTAGCACGCGTCTTTTTCTTCCTCGATTTGAAGTCCATTCAACTCGGATTCGCCTTTTTCATTTTTTTCTGGATTCTCAACTGGAGTTGTGGTTTCACGCTTCTCCTCCTCCTGTGCTGCCTGATGTTTGTTCTTCCCAACCAAGCGATGCCTAAAAATGGCCATAATTTTACGGAGAAATAAATCTTGGGAAGGCTTTTTTCCTAAAAACAGAATCTTCAAAATATTTGACGGTATGTCTAAACTCGTCTTCATCAAATTAATAGCATTGAGTTGCCGCATCATAGAAATTTCACTGCCAACTAAACAGACATCAAAGTAACTTTTATCTGTTAACAAATATGTGTTACTGATATTTAACTCTTTACACAATTCGTTAATACATCTGATTAGCAAATTTATTTGATTCTTTTTTATTTTATGAACAGTACATATATATATATTTACAACATCAGGAATTATGAAATTCTTATTACCAACATTGTTGTCTTTCTTCAGGGAATAATTTTTTCTCTTTTTTGAAAAATGTACAATACTTCCTTTACTGAATAAGTTATGTCTAAAGTTTTCAATATTTTCTTCATCACTTAGATCATTACTATTCGTATTTTGTTTTTTTTTCCTAACTAACTTAATAATATACGAGTTTTTATTTGCATTATGTTTTCTGGCAGTTTTTATAGTCAAGTCGTTTAATAAAATACCCTTTTCAATTAATTCTTCTTTCTTTAAATGTTCATAACATAATTCTATTTCCTTTATTTCGTACATATGTTCAAGTTTTATAAGTTCCTCAAATTTTTCCAAAACATTTGCGCGGAACTTTTCCCCCCTTCCTCTATTGGCCTCCTTTATCTCCATTTCTTGCTTTTCTTGCTTCACTTCCATTCGTTACTCCTACCATCCACGTGGTTTTCAATCACATACAGGATCAGGTCTAACTAAATTCATGGTGGTCTCTACCCCTCACTCACTACTCTCTGTGTATATATATACACTCCTTTTTATATGTGTACGAATGTGTAGCTTTATATCGGATTGGGTTCAATTTCCTTCTGCAACTGGGGAAAAAAAAAAAAAAAAAAAAAAAAAAAAAACTATAAGCTACACATAATGCTACATCTATGTGAATGTATCCATAGGCATAGGAACGTATATATGTGTGTACGTGTTCTGGTTCCTAGAGTTTGGATACCACACTCAAAATAAGAAACTCAAATACCTTTTGGGAATCCTATTTGCACACACCCCTTACATGTACATATGTAACACACAATGGTATGCAAGAACGTTTGACATCCAAGTCCCTGGGAGAATAACTCGCTCGTATAAAGGGAGCAAGGGGTGGAAAAAAAAAAAAAAAAATCAAAGGTAAAAATATGTCAAATATGGAAAAAAATTTATGTTATAAAAAATGCCTTATAAAAGCATATACGCTATAAAAAACATGCTTTATACATAAAAATTACCTTGTAACAAAAAAAAAAAAAAGAAGCAATAATGCTGCATATATATAAATATTCGGGTACCGATGCTAATGTGGCAGGAATTTTATTTTCCAATTCAAGTATATACTCATCAGGTTCCACTTTTAAAATTTGTTCGCACTATTTAGCCAAATGATGTGCTATATGGTGATAGAGAGAATGGGGTGGGACTGTGAGGTTTCCAAAAATGTAGTTCCAAGACTTTTTTGTTTGTTCGTTTGTTAAGCTGCTCTCTCTGCTCGTCTGTTGTGCTACTTCCTCGGCTCTTTTGTTAAGCTGCTTTCTCTGCTCGTCTGTTGTGCTGCTTTCTCTGCTTGTCTGTTGTGCTACTTCCTCGGCTCGTCTCTTGTGTTACTTAACCTGCTTCTCCCCTTTGCCTATTGCCTTGTGAGGACCTCCCCGAGAATATTCTACACAATCTCTGCAAATGCACCTCTGCAGGGATCTCATCAAGCAAATGACAATGTAGCAACACAAATCTGCAAATTTAATGGCATATTGCACGACTGAAATGAAGAGTGCATTCGTCCCCCTTCTCACATGTCACCATTCAAGAGTGAAAATCAAAAGTGAACAATCAACATAATTGTGTACCATGCTTCTCACCAAACCGACACCGGTTAAATTGTGCGTTAAAATAACCCAAAGGAACACACTATCTCATGGAAAAAAAAAAAAAAAAAAAAAAAAATGAGGTTTTTAAAAAGTGACACATATTATAAATATGAACAATCATTCTATCTTTATTTACTTAATTCCCTTGGTTGTTTCAATTCACTAATTTTGATTTCACAACAGCATCCACCTTCTTGTGAAGGACATATTATACCATGTAATACATTTCTACTGCTTCTCTTCTTTTTTTTCTTTTTTTTTAATTATGACACACGCATTTACATGTGTGTACGAATTGCATGAAATTAATTCCTTTTGCTTATCTTGTTGTGCAAGAATAACATAATGGGTAAAAAGTAGAGAATGTAGTTTTTATTTACACTCTCCACCGCACCCCACCAGCCCCCATTTCCAATACACTGTAGAAGAGGCTTTACTCTGTTCAGGAAATTTTGTTCTCCTTTTATATTCACTCATTTCATACTATCTACTTCTTTAAGTTATAAGCAAGTTAGTATAGTGGTCTTACATCACCACGAGTACATTATATATATACATATATATATATATATATATATATATATATATATATATAGGCCCATACGAATGTATATCCACACTTATACGCACATTTGTATATGCACGTGTGCATGTACTATCACATGAAAGAGAACAGAACAGAAATTTGTTCTAAGTAGTGATGGGTCTAAGCACGGCCTTGCGTAAGAAAAACAAGCACTTTGGTGATACCGCTGGCCATGACATATACCAATTGAGAGAGAGGGTTCTAATCGTTGCTAGATGTACACGGACGCATGGGAAATTCATTAGACAATAAGCCAATAAACGGCAAAGTGTTCAACAGCTATAGGTACATTGGTAAGTTAGATAGCGAAAATGAACCCAATGGAAAAGGGCTCATTTTACATAACTCAGGGGAATCATTTTATGGATTCTTCTTAAACGGAAAGAAAAATGGTATGGGAATATACTTAGATAAAAAACTAACAAAATATATATGCTACTGGAAAAATGATAAGGTTCATAAGGAATTAAAAATACAACCCTTCAATGTGAATAAAGTCTTTGTCTTCATATACAATAATGAGATTATCGAAGCATGTGAAATTTATCGTCATGTTCGCCGTGCTAAACAGGGATTGAGTAAAACACAAAACAGAGAAAATGTTAAAGAGGACTTTATAACCAACTCAGACAAATCGAATGAACTCAATTATTGCACTAGTCGTTGTAGTAGGAATCGTTATACTCTGCAACATGATAAACTAGGAGATGCATCTACTCCATCGATAGTAAAACAGAATCATCTAGCTATATCACGTAGAAACCGAAAGGATAGATGCACAAGTAGCGAGAATGATAATAAAGCAGATAATGACATCGAAAATGACCTTAATCATGAGTTACATAACGAATCAGATGATGAGTCGAATCACACATTAGAAGCGCTTACGAGAAAAAGAATAGATGAAAAAATAAAAAAAAGTAAAATTCAGAAAAACATTTTCTACACATCATCCGATTCTTCTACCCAGTCCATGGAATCCAATTTCATAAAAACGAGAAATATAAAAAATTCATGCAAAAACAAAGATTATTATAGCATTCAGAGTTATAATCAAATAATAACATCCGATATATCATCAGAAAAAGAAGAGAGAAAAACAAAACATATGATAAAGACATTAAGAAAGAAAAATAATAATAGTCTTAAAATTGAAAATTATGAATTGTGGTCAAGGCAACAAGTGGCTCAATGGCTATCCCTTTGTAATGTCCCCATAAAATGGATTACTGCAATTTACAAAAATAATGTTAATGGATGTATGCTTGATCACATTAATATACACATTATTAGAAATGAATTCGGAATACTTCCATATGGCCATGCAATTAAACTTTTGCAACTAATTAAAAATCTGAGGGTAATGGCGTACAACAAGAGGTTCGCTCGATGTGTCAACATACAAGAATGTGAACATTTTCTGAGGAAAAGAAAAAAAAAAAAAAAAAAAAAAAAAAAAAAAAAAAACATCCATTCAAGTCGTAGCATAAACCAAACGGACAAGATTCACCATGTGCATCAACAAGTCTTCACGCGCCAAGACTCCTCCACCTGTAGCATATTCCATAACGAACACGGAAAAAATGAACCGAATCAACCGAATCAACCGAATCAACCGAATCAACCGAATCAACCGAATCAACCGAATCAACCGAATCAGCCGAATCAACCGAATCAACCGAATCAGCCGAATCAACCGCATCAACCGGATAAACCGAATCAACTGGATGAATCGAAGGGAGGACACGCAATTACTCTCTCAAAGAAGATACTGACCAAGGAAGATCCTTCTCGTGATGCGCATGATCCCAATTCGTCCACATCCACCACATCTACCACATCTGCCACGTCCTTCAATTCTGTTCATAACTCGGAGGAGGGGAAACAAAAGGGGAGGTGGAACAAAGGGATGCCCATCGCAAGTAGTGCCCTTGATGAGAAAAGGGAAGAGTGGTTAGATGCTTCTAGGGTGGTAGAACCACACAAATATGAAGAAGTATCTCACAAATATGAAGAAGCACCTCACAAATATGAAGAAGCACCTCACAAATATGAAGAAGCACCTCACAAATATGACGAAACAAGCCAATGGGAGGAGGAGAAACTGAAAAGACCAATTGACACTCGTCGGGAAATGAAAAAACAAGTGCGAAGAGATAAAAAAAAAAAAAAAGAAAAGTTTATCCGCAACTTTCATGAAAAATTCTCCCTAATAAATAATTTTTCAAATGGACTTATCGTGAATAAATCTAGTCTTAACTCAGGAGTTGAGTCTGACACAGTCACACCAGATACTGGAAATGATGACTCACTTGCATCCCCGTCATTATCTCCCTTTTCTCTTACCACATCATCCTCTACATCTAATTTCTCGAATATCACTTCTTCATCATCCGATGGAATTGCTGCTTCATATAACTTGAAGATGTCAAGCATGTTAAATTGTGAAGGAGTCTCGAAAGAGGATCATAACACTTCTAACCACTTAAGTGGAATAGGGATTAAGAAAGTGAAGAAGAAATCATCCGACTTTGATGTTTCCACTTCTTCCACTTCCTCCGCTTCTCCCTCTACTTCCTCCGCTTCGTCCTCATCTTACTTCTCCAACAGAACAGCCAACTCACCGTTTTATGGAAGGAGTCAAATAATAAAGTACCCGAGCAACATCTACATGAACAGCAACCTAGCATTTTCCTACCTGTACAGTTTCATAATACCACATGAAGATTTAACGTTCATACAACCAATTCAAAATTATTATAAAATTAGAACACCTAGATGTATAGAAATTAGTCCAAAGATGATGGAAATGGATAAAGAAAATTATATGAACGAAGAAAGACTTAAGTCCTGTTTATCAGATGATAAGTTGAATAAATATAAAAAAATGAATGGAAAATTATCGAAATATAAAAAATTAAGAAGTACAACTTTTATAGGCAAATATTTAGGGAAACATGTAGCTATTAAAGTGTTAGTAGGGAAAATAAAAGATTTTTATAAATTACACAAAATTTTTTATAAATTACATAATTTGAGACATCCAAATATTATTTTAATAATGGGAATTTCTATTCGATATCCATTCCTTTTTATTGTTTATGAGTATTTGAAAAATTCTTGTCTCTTCTCTTATTTACATTGTGAGCCATACACACATGATTATTCAACAAAATCCTGGACACGCCAAGAAGACAGGGGTAATTTTGATTCAAGAAGACGAACAGCAGTTCACACGCGAAGCAACATCATCAGGAGGGATACATCAACAGCGAGTTCAACTAGCGATAGCTCAAGAAGTGGCATCTCTAGAAGTGATAACTCCAGAAGTGACATCTCCAGAAGTGACATCTCCAGAAGTGACAACTCCAGAAGTGACAACTCCAGAAGTGACAACTCCAGAAGTGGCAACTCCAGTGGAGGGATACCCCATGACAAGCGAAACATATACAGCTTATTCAAATATGAAAACAACTTATTTTGTGGTGTGTACGCAAACAATATGAAAGTCGACATGAGAGAGAAGAAGTTAGATCCTCGCCCTACTGATAACAAAATAACAATGACTCCTACCACCAATTTGGAAGGAAATTCTCATACATGTGTAAATGAAATGAAAGAATGGATGCAGAACACACTCAATGAACCGAACGCGAATAGGAAGAAAAAATACCCTAAAGACAGAAATGAAAAAATAAAAGAAGAAAAAAAATTACACTCGAAATTATTTTTAGAAAATAAAATTTTCTTGAACGAACCATACACATTTCCTCCATTTGAGAAAGAACTGACTTCATATTTAAAAAATCAAAAAAAAAAAAAAAAAAAAAAAATCCTATTTAGCTACCCCCAAACGCATTTACATTTTAATTATCAACAAAGCACTACCAAAGCAGATAGACCATTAAGTATCCAACGGATAATCAAAATTATAACGTAACTATAAATGGAAGAAAAACAGACTAATTTATGTCAACATATCTGTAAATGAAAAATTTGCACAACTGAAAATGACGTTTTCCCCTTGCCCCAATCATTCAATCATTCCTTTTTTTTTTTTTTTTTTTTTTTTTTTCATCCCCATTTACCCCCTGTGCATTCTTAGGGATGTAACTTTAGCATGCTCCTATTTGGAAAAGAAGCTGGTAAGTCTCTAATTCGATTACACAGTCGTGTTGGTCTATTCTGTTACAAATCTGCTGCCAATCTGCTGCCAATCTGCTGCCAATCTGCTGCCAATCTGCTGCCAATCTGCTGCCAATCTGCTGCTAATCTGCTGCTAATCTGCTGCTAATCTGCTGCTAATCTGCTGCCAATCTGCTGCTAACCTTTCGATCCCCCTACTTGGTAGACGCACCCACTGAACCTGAAGCCAACGAACATCCTCCTGGATGAAACATTGAATGCAAAAGTGACGGATTTTGGAATACACGAAATTGAAAAATGTTTGGATATGAATATAGATCACTCTTATGTTATTTATGCAAATAATTTAATAAAATTTGATAAAGAATTTATAGAAAAAGGTGTACAGAAAATGGAATATATTCCTACTCAGTGTAATGGAGTTTTATATGTTTATGATTATGAAAACAAAGTTCATATGTACAACACGGAGCTAATCGTGTCTTCTCCGAGCAGTTTATATTCTTCCGTTTTCTTTTGGACCCCACCGGAGGTTACAATGAGAGAGAGGGAGAGAAAAAAAAAAAATAAAATAAAATGCTCCCGAAAGGGAATGACTACGTAACTGCATGGTGGAATGACGTGCATTTTTAACCCATAAAAATATGTACCCCTCAAAATATTCACCTATTTTCTCAGATAATGCGAGGAAAGAAAGAAAAAGGCTTTCATGCTGATATCTATGCACTTGGAATCATTTTCTGGGAAATGGTAAACCTCTAATCAGAGAAGAAGAAGAAGAAGAAATACATTTTATAGAAAACATGATATCAATATTTTAAAAAATTGATTTTCATTTCCTCCTACCCCCACGCACTCCTTTTAGCTAACTCATAGTATCCCCTTTAACTATACTTTCAAATCACATTTGGTGGTACGTTTGATACACTTCATCTACTGTGGATGAAAAGAGTCCTACACTTTTCCATTGTTTCCATAGAACATACTCCTCCATTAAACTACGATACATGGGTATCCAAGTGTCCCCATCCAAATTTCACACAAAAAACATACAATTATACAAAATATATTTTTTTCTTTTTAGGCCTCTGTCGGATATGCTAAAGAAGAATTGTCCTACAAAAATATACCCAATCCAATTCAAGTATAACAAACAAGACGAAAAAAGAAAAAAAAAAAAAAAAAGGAGAAGTCATGTTGTGACTCTTGAACAATTAGACAAGGCTTGCAAAACAGGCATTTCTTATGTCTTCATGTTTCTATCTATCTTTCTATGTTTCTATCTTTCTATGTTTCTATCTTTCTATGTTTTCATGTTTTTACATTTTTATTTTTTCTTTTCTTTTCTTTCCTTCTCCTCTTTTGCCTTTTTTTTTTCATAGGGGTTAATTAAAGCCTGCTTACATAGGAACAAACGCAAAAGACCCACTTTTCAGCAAATTTTAATGCAGCTACCTGGATTATTTGAAAAAGTAAAATAGTTTACTTTTAGAGTTACATTTCCACTTTCACTGCAAAAATTTGATCAGTCTTAAAATTTCCTTTATTCTAACTTTTTTTTTTTTTTTTTTTTTTTTTTTACCTTTATATTCCTGGTCAGGTAAACAACAAAGCTGAAGATGCACTTATGTCCTTCATGAATGGAATTTAATGTAGACCTATTTTCAAATAAAGGAAAGAAAATAAAGTCAAATGGTAAATTTAAAAGAGATGATATATTTAAGCATTTTAAACGGTTAGCATCACGTTTTTTGCTGCCCCATATGCTGACCGTTTTGCTGCCCCATATGCTGACCGTTTTGCTGCCCCATATACTGACCTTTTTTTTTTTTTTTGGACGTGTAAGTACATCCCAAAATTCGTACAAACGAATGTGTTATGCTTCTTCTTTTCTTAAAACTCAGAGAAAAACAATAACCCATGATTTTAGAGGTGTCATTTTCCCCTACTTTTAACATTACCAGCGGTTAAAGCAGCTACAACTGCTACAACTGCTACAATTGCTACAATTGTTGTAATCGCCTAGAGTTTTTTTTTTTTTTTTTTTTTTTTTTTTTTTTTGCCATTCTGATACGCTGGCACAATAATGCGAATGCACAATAGAAAGAACATAAAAAAAAAAGGAGAAAAAAGAACGTGTCCTTTTTTACCACCCTTTTTGCCCCCACCTGAATGATGGCTGATTCGTGTGAAAACGACGAAGATGTTCTTCAAATGATACAGCAAATAAAAAAGATAACGAAGGAGAGTAAAAGAAAGTTTGAAAATGAAATTGAATATTTAGTGGAGGACACGAAATCTAATTTGCTTAGTCTAGTTAATGATGAAAAAAATCATATTAAAAAAGAGACCGAGGAAAAATTAAATCATCTTCGAGAAAATGTCATAAAATATGAAAAGGGCATTAATGAAAAAAGGAGACATTACCTGAAACTCAAAACAGAGTTAGTTACTGTAGTGAACAATTATAAAAAAAGGATAAAGGTTCGTTCATCTTCATCTTGCCATAATCTGCACGTGTATGTGGGCAAGCATGAATAATTTTCATTTCAAATTTATTCATGGAATTTTGTATTTGTTTTGTCCCAAGCGGGCAGGTCAACATACAACCTCCTTAGAACCACCTAATGCACCCCAGACACCATTACCCAGATTCCCCCTACACACACCCACACCCACACACTTGCAGGATTTCTACAAGGAGGCTGAAAATTTCATGCAAGCATACGAACATGAGAAAAAGGAACTTGAAGACTTGGAGGATAGAGAATGGTCCGAACTGAACACTCAGTGTGTTGAAATTTTAAGCAAGACGAAATCGAATATATGTGCTAAGAAAGATGAAACAAATAAAAAACTCAGAAAGGTACTTAACTCTATAATGTGACGGGGTGAAGATGTGACGAGGTGAAGATGTAAAGAGCAATTTTGCTATCCACATCCACACACACACATTTCCTCCCTCTCATATTATCACTACTACTATATTATTTTAATTTTTTTTTTCCATTTTGGGCCTTGAAATTTTCCATCTGATTTAATCCAGATGGGGGGAGGGAGAGAGGAGTAATAAAAAAAGCATAAAACATTTATATATAATGATATAACAGTTTTTTTTTTTTTTTTTATATAATAAAATACTTGGATAAAATAAAATTTATTAAAACAGTACTTCCTCTTCACTGCAACTTTTGCTATTTTTTTTTTTTTTTTTTCTGCTAAAAAGGGATATATAAGTGTATTATTTTTTATTCACAAAATAAAAATTTGTGAATATACATGGCAGTGTGACATTTTCGAATATGATATAAACATTAACACTGACGCGACTTGCAATGTAAAAGTAAAAATTATGCCAATAATATATAATATTTAAGTTGTAATTGCTCGCATGCACATCAGCACATATACACAATATAAGCATATATATGCATATCACTTCTGTATGCATGTGTCATAATATCTGTAAGCAATAGATAAATTTCATAACCACACATTTTTGGCTCTTTTATTTGACAACACATTTTCAATTCTCAAAATGAATATAGAAAACAAAGGTTAGGTTCAAAATAAGAAGCTAGATATATTATACACCCATTATGCAATTTCCCCAGAAGCTGTAGTTATAAAAAAGCACAGTGTGTTAATCGATCTTAACGCTTCAGAACATGAGATTTAGAACTTGTGTTTCATATGGAGATTGATTTTTTTTTTTTTTCCACATTCATCTTCAGTTTTTTTTTTTTTTTTCTTTTCTTTTTTTGTTTAAAAAGTAGCAATAAGTCGCACAAGTTGATAAATGTTACTTAAGTATATACATTTCACGAGGAGCACACAAGAGGACAACGATACATGAATAAATATGTAACCTTCAAACCGAGATACTCCTCTTCGCCCCTTTGATCTACTACAAGTGGAAAAGAATGTCGTTCATTGGCCTTCTTAAAAAAAAGTTTCATAATTTTTTCCTTTTTTTTTTTTTTCGAGAAGTCTCAATATAAACACTTATGTGTTAAATTAAGCAAATAAAATAATGAAAAAATGTTTTTTATGTGATAAACCGTTGTAAGCTCATCTAAGTTTTTTTTTATTTTTTTTTTTATTTTATTTTTTTTTTTTTACTGCTTTTAATAATGAGAAAATAAAATCATGGGAACGTAAAGAACTCATTTGAATTTACACTGAGCCACATTTATTTCTACCATTCCGCAATTCATACTTAGGTGAATTAAATATCCGTTCTCACACTTAAGGAGCATGTCAACAATCTTATAGTACCAATTGAAAAACCACTATCCTTTGTTCATGTTTATCCTATGCATATACATGTATAGTATATACATGTATAGTATATATATGTATACATATTCATTTAAGATTGTGTTCGTCTGCAATTTGAGGATAAGTCTCATCAAGCCTAGACCACTTTTAAGTGATGAAAACTGCTAAACAAAGGCATAAACAAAAAAATAAAATAAATGAACTGTCAAATTTAACCGAATATACACATGTAGTTAAAATCAATCAAGTCATTTGTAAAAATAGTAAAAAGTAAGTTATAAAAAAATGTCATGAGAAAAAAAAAAAAAAGCAACAATGGAAAGTGTATTGTAACGAATGATACACATTATGCACGTACATGGTACATGTGCATAGCACTTGTGTATACACCTGCTTGTTTATAAAAAAAACATATCACTCACGACAATTTATATCATTTTTCATTACTACATATACCCATCATGAGAAAAGGGCACCATGTTCTTCCATATCCCGTAATTCTATCTAGAACAAAACATGTTTAAATAACTTATTTTTTCTTTCATTTCTCTTTCTTTTTTCTTCCTTTTTTTTTTATTTTTTTTTTTTTTTACCACTCGTTCAGATTTTTTTTTTTTTTTTTTTTTTTTTTTTCTTTCACACACTAAATTAAGAGAAGTCCAATTATGGTGGTAAGAACATATAATATATTATGGGAGTAACTGTTAGTAGACAATTTGTGTTATTCCCTAAATAGTTAAGTGTGCAAAAATTTTAACGTGTTTTCTATCCTGGGAATGTAAATTAAAACGTGCACAAAATATGAAGTGTATTTTACGTGGAAATTATAAATACATTATTTATAATTTTTGAATAATTATTCATAATTATTTATAGTTATATTATATTACTTTAAATTTAAAATGTATGAATTTCTTTTTTTTTTTTTTTTTTTTTTAGTTCCCCTTAACATTGTTAAAATGTTCTCAAAATCAACCCGTGGTAAGTTATCGAGGTTAAAATATACTTTGAGTAAAGATTGATGTTGCATGCAGATCATAACATTTCTGTCCATTTCTGTCATAACCCTTGTGTTTTTGCCACTTTGCTTGTCCGCCATGAAACATTGACTGACCATACTATATTATCCCTTTTAATGTTCCAAGTGTTAAAATGAAACATACCTATAAATGTGCATATATATATACATACTGTATCTGTTTCACCTCGTTAATAATTTATGATTCGTTCAGATGGTTGAGCTAAAAAATGGAGAAACATACAGTGGCTTCCTCGTAGTTTGCGACCGTTTCATGAATTTACATATGAAAAATATAATATGCACATCAAAGGACGGGGACAAATTTTGGAAAATTTCAGAGTGTTATGTCAGGGGGAATAGTGTTAAATATATTCGAGTCCAAGACCAGGCCATAGAACAAGCCATTGAAGAAACCAACGAACGTAAGGCAGAAGCAGAAGCAGAAACAGCAGCAACAACAACAACAACAACAAAAAAAAAATAAAATAAAATAAAAAAATAAAAGAGAAAAAAAATTCTCTGCAAAATAGCTAGCTAAGCCTTACTACCCCCATAACCTGAATATTTGAGCGTTCATAAAATATCATTACCCTTTTTCGTTTATATTTATACTTTCTCCTTTCTATTTGCAGAAAAAGCAAGAAGCATGGGTAGAGGGCGCGGAGGAAGAGGTAGGGGTCGAGGCTCTATCAGGGGTACAGATAGTCGGGGTGGTAGAGGGGGACAAATGCGAGGAGCTGGAGGTGGAGGTGGAAGAAGGGGATACTAAGACCCGACAATGTTTACAGATTTTTTTTGAAAACACACACATGTACATATACATGTGTGTACACATAATTGATGTTCCTACTGGACAACACATATTTACACATGTTGACGCAAGAAAGCTTTTTCACTTAACTTATCTTTGTGATTTATTTTTTTTTATTTTTAAAATCATAATATGACATATAAAAGTAACACCCGTTTTTAACCTCATAAAAACTTTCCTTTTAAAATTATGATATTTAGAAATTGCTATACAATATATATATATATATATATATATATGTGCACATATAAAATACACAACAGTGCGTTTCAATTGTCACACCATATCTGGCTAATTCATCTTGGCTCATTTATTGACAGTTGAGCAGGGGTCACACTTCAGCGGTGAATTTCCAAACTTGCCAAATTTTTTATAAACATAAAAAATAATTAGAGAACACATGAGGGAAGGAAGAAGGTGTGATGATAAACCAGAAGCTGCAGTTCAATTCATGCACATACTGTGTAACCTATTCACAATTTGTTAAACCAGCTGGGAAACAGTTTTTCACAACTTCATTTTTGAATAATCATAAATGTCTCTTTTGTTTGCGTTAAAATGAAAAAATTATTAAACTCAAATTCGAAAAATGGGGAGCCCACAAATTGTAAGCACATGATGGTCGTGTAACGTGGTTATTCTTCCAATATACCCTCAATATATTGCATGGAAAGGATGGATAAGGAATACAGTAACTCATTTGAATGATGATAAATTTGTAATTATTCATTTTTGTGTGCAATGTGTAGCCATGATGAGATTGTAGCATATACCTGGTTCAACCATCGTCCCTTTTTATCCTTTGCTCCTTTGCCAATTTTTCACGACTAATTTTTATATTCATACATAAAACTGCTTAAATTTTATGCATTATCTATGTGTGTTACCCTTCTCCATGAGTTCAAACACAAATTGGAAAAATAGAAAAAATATATATATATTTTAACCATTTTGGGATATATTCTTCTTAATTTTAAATCGCAATTCTGTGCGAAAAAATGTGTAAAAAAAAAAAATGTTCCCTCAAGGCTTCACTAGCTCTTGCAATTTTCAAAGAGTTTTTTTGCCTTCATGGGATAATTAATTTGGAAAAGGCGAAAAAATAAAAAAAATATGCATTTTATTCGACAATCCCTTTTTGTTGTCTTATGTCAAAGGCTTTTTTTTTTTTTTTTTTCTTTTTTTAAAAATAAATAACGTAATTTCTACAAAATCAGCAACATAGCATTGAAAATGTCAACCGGAAGTTACATGTAGAAACGGTTTTTCTTACACTATATTACACTTTGGTGATTTTTCACTCAATCACTTACCTAAGCCGGTTATCTGAGTAATTACTTAACTGAATAACTGTTTAATGGAGCTACTGTTTAAACATCCAGGCGTTGTGAAAAGTTGAACTCCACACCAACACAGTATGTGTAAAAACATAAATTCTTGAACAAGCCTTTGGCTGTGGAAGAAAATGGAAGCAAAAAAAAAAAAAAAAAAAAAAAAAACATTCCTGAACTCGTAGTTGTAACTTGAACTAATTGCGTATAACATAGGTACCGTTCCTATAGGTACACGCTATATTACAACTTTGTAAAGAGTGAGCAAAATGAAAATATATATGAAAGCATATACATATTTCACATTCCACATGCATGTTCATAGTTCATAGAGACTTTGTGTTGGTATAAATATAAACTTATATTTGTTGTTTCCTCAAGATTTTCTCACATAAGGGGAGAGGAAGGTATATATGTATATATAAGTATATATATATATATATATATATATGTATGTGTTTTATATGTACATATTTACGAGGGAGGGATAGGATATCAATAATATAATCATTTGGGTACACGCCTGTGTATAGCATGGAATTAAACGCACGAGGAATATATGCATATATAAATATATATTATACATACATAAGTCACTGCTCGAGTGATATATATAACTCATATAATATGAATTCATAAAAGTTTTACTGCACGTAATATGTAAATGAATACACAGGAAGCAATGATTGAAAATGTTATTCCTATGAAAAATTACTACTCTAGCCAAGTTGGAGTTCTTTTCACTGAGCAATGTTATACTGCACAATGTGTACATGGTATATAAACTCCACAATATTTACATTTTTATGCTTTTTTTTTTTTGTTTCCTTTCGCTTTTATTGTTTTATACCTTTATCGATTTACAGCCTTACCGCCTTATCCTTTTATTATTTTATTATTATTTTTTTTTATTTTATTTTTTTTTATTTTTTTTTATTTTATTTTTTTTTATTTTAATTTTTTTTTTTTTTTTTGCTTCATTTTTGCTTCATTTTTACCCAATGTACGTTTTTTTTTCCGTGGAAACAAATGAGCACATTTCTTCTCCACGAAGCATAAATATCTTTTAAATATAAATGTATCCAAATGTAATTACATATGCGCGCATATTATCATGATTTAGAGAGAGCAATATAATTCATACACCAACAATTTCGTTATTCTCATTTGAATTCAGATAAAAGGAAGAAAAATATATAAACACCAGCAGCCCACCTCTCAACTCACATTCTTGTAAACCCCAAAATATTGCATCTCTCGTATTCGAATGAATGCAAAAATAAAACACTTCACGCCGTTAGGTTTATACATATAACGATGTCCCCATTTTAAATACTTATACATATATATATATATATATATATATATATATATAATATACATATGTATATATACGTACATAAACGCATACATATTAGTGTACAATTTATACAGCTGTAGTAGTAGCCAAAGCGATCGGGATAACAATAATAATATGTGGTATTATTACTTCATACGTATATAAATCTCCCCATTTCCTTACGCCTGAGTGTACATGTGCATATATACATAAATATATACTTATGTATATAGCTACAGTACGAGATATTTTATCACACAAACAACATATTCCTGCTGTAATGCAATCCCCCACCCCACCGGTCATACATAAAAACGAAATGAATGATTTCTCGCCTTTATTTTCAACAATTTATTTTTAATGGTTGAAATGTAATTAATTTTTTCTTTTTTCTTTTTTCTTTTTTCTTTTTTCTTTTTTCTTTTCTCTTTTTTCTTTTTTCTTTTTTCTTTTCTCTTTTCTCTTTTTTTTTTTTTTTTTTTTTTTTTTTGCTTCCCCTTTTTTACATCCCATTTTAGCTTCCCCTTTTTTACATCCCATTTTTGCGTCCCATTTTTACTTCCCTTTTTTTGCCCCTTTTGTTTGGGCCCCCTTTTTTAATTTTACTACCAACCATGAGTACGTCAAATGAAGTAAAAAAAGGACTCCCTTGCGAGGAAGGAAAATCAGATCCTAACTTTTTAAACCAAAGCAATGAAACAAGCAAAAGTTCTAGTGATGATGCCAAATTAATTCAGGGAGTTCGACATGAATTGGGTAAGGAAGGTTGTCAAGAGTACAATTTAATTTCAAATGAAAACAAATCTGAACGTGTACATATGGAAAATCGAAAGGGAGAAGAAGATGGTGATGAAAATCATCTTCACCATAATGATTATGATGTAGGAGAAAATAATAATGCTGAAAATACAACTGAAATGATTAAGGAAATGGAAGCATTGGAAGAACTCTGTTTTTTGAAAGAAGAAACGATATCATCAAATGCTGATGATGTAAGTCCAGAGATTTCTAATGATAAACAGAAATGTGTTCATATTGTAAAGAAAAACGATGCTGAAGATTGTAGTAGACAAATAACCAATGAAATTGCAACCATAGCATACAACATGGAAAATGATTCCTTACCAAATCCATCACTTGATCCGCAGCATAAGCATGCGATAAATCAAATCAAATGCAACACAATAGAACAAGGAATTGAAGAAGATACTACAAATAGTAACGCCAAGGAAAGGGGAGGAGAAAAAGAAGTTGACCAAAATCATGGAAATGTAGAAAATTGGATGCGTACAGCAAATGTTGCATTGAATTTTAAGAATGAAGTAGGTATTCAAGAAATAAATGAACAGAATAATCATAGTGATGATGCTAATCATTTAAATAAATGTAAAGGTGAAATCGATAGCAGAATTAAAAGAAAAATGCACTCATTGAAACAAAACGAAGAAAAAAAAAAAAAAAAAACAGATGCTGATAATGCTCCTTCCATTTTGTCCGATTCTTCTGATGATATCGATATCGATTCGAAAGAAAAATTCAGTGATAACAGTACCACCACTGCCTTGTGTGAAAAACAAAATAAAGATGAAAAAGAAGAAAAAAAAAAAAAAGGTTCCAAGGAAGATCATGCTGCATTTGCGGATGAGGTAAATTATTAATCGAGTGCTTTTTCCTCCGTTGGAATGGGGCATACACATGCATATGCTGTGATATATATATATTACATGTTTACATGGGTTACATTTGTGGAAAAATAATTGTATCACATATATGCCTTCCGAGTGTTATATTACACAATTTTTACTTACAATTGTTGTGCGAACCAAACATTTAGAGATATCATCATGTAAAAATGGTTGCATATAACAGTGTGCATAGTTATGAATGAAAAATATATATATATATATATACTTTTTTTTTTTTTTTTATTTTATTTTTTTTCTTTCCCCGTTCCATCCCTGTAGATCTTAAAAGGATACCCACGCATTTTCGTAACTAGATTACCATTTGAAGCTGGAAAAAAAGATTTAGAAAAATATTTTTCGAAATATGGAAAGATAATAGATATATATGTTTCAAAAAATTTATCAAATAATAAAAATAAAGGATTCGGGTTCGTTTCTTTTGAAAAACAAGGATCAATGGACAAGGTATATATAATTTAAACATTTTTTTTTTTCCTCATGAGAAACACTTTTTGCATATGTGAGGAAAAAAAAAAAAAAAAAAAAAAAAAACAATCAATCAATTAGTGAAGCAAAAAATATACCATGTTCATTTACTTTTTTATTTTAGGTCTTGAAAGATAAATTGCACATAATCTGCGGCAAGGAAATCGTTGTTGATGTTGCTTCGATGAGGGACAGTAAAACCAAGAACTTATTCCGTAAGATAAAAAATTCATAATGCTGCTTACATGTGTGTGTGTATGTGTGCATATTCGTTGTTTGAATGGTTAAGAAAGCAGACAAAAAATTTCAGGTCATTTTGTATGCTTATAATTTGAGCCAATATTTCATGGTCTTTATTAGTATCTCTCCATGTTCATGGAGGGGAGTGGCATAGGAGAAGAGGGGGCGAGGGAACTCTTTGCTGGATCATCCTGCTCATTAATCATTTTTAATGCCTTTTTATTTTTTTTTATGATAAATTTTGCCACCATTTTTAATGCCTTTTTTTTTTTTTTTATGATAAATTTTGCCACCATTTTTAATGCCTTTTTTTTTTTTTTTATGATCAATTTTGTCACCATTTTTAACCCTATTTTTTATACTCCCCCTTCGTAGACCTTCCGTCAGACCACTACCTAGCAAAGTACCCGAAGAATGACAAAAAGTTGCCTAACAAAAATCACAACAACAGCTTAGTAAATTTTAACAAGTATCATCATATATATAACAAAACAACAAACATAAGGGACGTGTCAAAGAATATCGACAACAATTTAGTTATGCAAAATTTTTATAATTTATGCCCAACATATAACATATTAGGAAATAGAATGAATAATAATAAGCATGTTTATAAAAATAATGTGCCAGTTTCATTTTTTCCACCCAATGGATATAATATGGATCCAACTTATTTTAATAATCAACAAGTTTCATATCAAAATTGTCTTGATTATATGGGAAATGATTACTATTGGAGTATGGCAAATTATTATAACTGGAATAATATGATGTTTCATAATGAAAATATATACAATGCTAAGAAAATGGAATATCCTCCCTATTATGTTTGCAACGGGCAATACATGACCCAAGGTACTCAATCAGAGCTGGTGACATTAAAAAAAATGGGGGGGGGGGGAGGGTGAAGAGGAGACATATTTTTTCCCCTCTCCATTTTTATGTTTTTTCATAGCTCTAGTTCATATTTTTTTTTTTTTATCCTATTTTGTGTCACTTTATTATGTTTTATTTTATTTCATTTCACTTTGTTCTATTTTGTTTTCTAATACCATTTGTGTGTTTTCCCATCTTCTTTCCTTATTAGGCTCTCCACCAATTGCCAAAAATAAAGTTTCTCGAAAAAATAGTGCCATCGAAGAAAATAAATTGAAGTATCCCCTAGGTGCAGCTTCAAATGGAAATTATAGATCTCCATGTAAGTTCCATTGAACTTTTTAAAGAAAATTAGTTCATTTTTTTTTCTTCATCTCATAACGTGCATGCGAAAAAAAAAAAAAAAAAAAAAACACATGCACGAGTGGTACAATTTGTTGTTCAACACAATGCTACTACCAAGGGAGAGGAAATAGCGGAAAGCTTTAAATATGCGTGTAAATGTACATGTGTGTGTATAAATGTATGTACATATATAACTCATTTGCTTATGTGCCCACCACATACACATACACACCACACCCCTTCCATTTTTACAGTTGTTCGAAAATTACCTGGTGGAGACGAGTGGAACAAACGAGGATACAAGCTATTCGTTACCAAATTAAGTAAGATTCCTCAATCCTCTTTCTATACATATATAACATTCAGAGAATACATATATATACCCATTCGTTCTTCAACCGTGAAAGAATTTGAATGAAACAAACTTTTCCAAATTCCTTCAATTTATACCTCCTTTTCATATGACACACAAAAAATTACACATTTTCCCAATTATCACCACACATACATACCATTTCAGATAGCGTAACCACAATTGAAACTCTGAGGAATTACTTCGAAGCGTTTGGCGAAATTATTGACATATACATGCCTAATGGTAACCATGAGACAACGGAAGAAATATCCAAAAAAAAAAAAAATAGGCGTTCTATTTTTTGGGGCGCATTCTAGGCTACTTGTCCAAAATTATACATTTATTTATGTATACTTTTTTATGTACGTATGGGTATATAACATGTTATAATAAAATGTTTTTCATTCCATTTCACCCGTTTCACCCTTTTTTAATTTCCCCCCCCCCCCTCTGCGCCATTCTCGTAGACGTATGTACGAACAGACCTCGTGGTATTGCCTTCGTCACGTTTCTAGACAATGATTGTGTTAAGAAAATTTTGTCAAACAAAAACTCAAAGCATATAATAGATGGAAAAGAAGTAAGTAGTGCATTTATTTTATTTTATTTATTTTTTTGTATTGATCATTTGAATACTCACGTCTTTGACCATTTCCACTTTTAGATTTTACAAAGTTTTGTTATAAAGTTGTTTATATTTGTATGTATATATATTTACAAAGTAGTGCACAATATATATGTTCATGTTAATACACCACCCCACATGGCCACTTTTTCTCCTCTTTACAGGTAGTTGTTGACCTTGCGGACCCAGAAACGAAAACCAAAAAGAATTTATGTTATCCTTGATCTTATTTATCTTAAACATTTTTAAATAATTAAAAAGAAAAAATCTTCAATTTTCTTGTAAATTTCTCAAAATTTTCCGTTTTTTTTTTTTTTTTTTTTTTTTTTCATTTTATCCTTTTATTTTTTATTTCTTTTTTTTTTTTGTTTTCATTTGTGTTGCATATACATTATAATTTTTCCCCCCCTTATGCTTGCTTACAGCATGTAACGTCGGTGCACTTCTTTAATTTTGTACAAACTGCTTATGCTTGTACAATGTAGTAACATATATCTTTTTACTCGTGTATGTATATGTGTGCAATATTCCTACCCCCGCATCCCGCATATATGTGTAATATATATATATGTATATATATTTATGTATGTATGTATATATTTTTCCTGTATTATTGCAACCCCGCCCGCACCCTTTCAACACTTGTGTTATACGCATACTTATCAGGCATATGCTGTTACATTCCCACTGTATGCACGCATCCATCGGTTTTATACATGTATATATATATATATATATATACACAACGTACATACGTACTACATACATACACTGCACACTCTTTGATACGCATAAAACTTTAACATCCTTGGGGTTAAAACGAATTTTATTTTTAGTTTTTAACCTTATTTTTGTATAAAGATTTTTTTTTAATTAACCTTTTAAGTTTCACTTAATAAAAAAAACTCTTCCTGTACGAGCCCTTTAAACTTGTGCTAAAAAACTTCCCAAATTTTCTTTTTAAATCCCACTTTTTTTTTTTTTTTTTTTTTAGAGAGTCCAATTTAAAGTAACCATTTTAACTTCCCTTAATGGACAATGTCTCGTTAACCTTTTTTCTTTTCTACATTTCCCATGTTGCGTTCACTCGAATTCTATTTTGCCACAAAAACTTTTATGCTTTGCGGATGCGTATAAGAGACTTTTTTTTTTTTTTTTTTTTTTTTTTGTATTCGAGTACACATTAGTAGAAGAAAATTTATTAACAATTGTAAAAAGATGGGAAAATTTTTTTTTTTTTTTTTTCTTTTCATTTTTTATCTTCATATTAATACTTTTTAACAAAATAACCTGAACAGTTAATATCATTTTATAATAATTCATTTGTTTTTTGCTTCACCGCCCCTGCACTACCTTATGGTTGTTTTGTTTAAGAAAAAAAAAATAATAAATTAATAATACTGAGCTTTAGTTCGAGTACAACACATGTAAAAACATTTTATACATTTGAAAAAGTAAATTTAATGATCTTTTATTTTACAACACAGGCCATGTGTACATTCAACTTCATGTGGGACCACATGCCAGCAACACTGGAAAACACGAAAAGGGAAAAACAAAAAAAAAAAAAAAAAAAAAAATGATAAGTAGCCAATCCAATATAAACACTACACAGAGAAAGATAACCATGATATTTCGATAAAAAGAAATTAACAAAACGTGGCATATAACATTAATATATGAAACGAATTAAAAAAAAAAAATAGACGAAAGGAGACTGGAACGAGGAAATGAGAAAAAAATAAAAATTCCTTATCACTGAAGTGTACACAAAAACAAATAGTCACTGTATTGTTCAGCAGAGAACAATATTTTTTTAGTTTTTTTCTTTTTTTTACTTTTTTTTAGTTTTTTTTTTTTTTTTACTTTTTTTTAGTTTTTTTCTTTTTTTTACTTTTTTTTAGTTTTTTTTTTTTTTTTACTTTTTTTTAGTTTTTTTTTTTGTTGTTTCTTTTTTTGTTTTTATTATTTTTTCCACCCATTCTTAACCTTTTGAAACAAATGGATAGAACGAAAATCGACGCCTTTTTTATTTACGATGAGGATGTGAAAAAGGATGACAAATCAGTTACTGATGAGGAGCTACAAGTATAACTTACACAACAATCAATTGTTTTGCTGAGTTGTGTTTTTTTTTTTTTTTTGTTGTTGTTGAAAATACACAATTTTTGTCCTTTTTCCACAATTTTTTTTTTTTTTTTTTTTTTCTGTATCATTTATGTAAATGCTAATAAAAAAATGTAATCATTAAAGACTTAGTCGTGGTGCGACTAGACATAAACACACACGGATACAAGAACATATACCTATTCATATCCCAATTCTTCTAAAGGCAGAGAAGGTGATATATTACTATCCGAACGAAATAGATGAAAATATAAAAGTAACACACACAAGCACTATGGAAGGTATTTCGGCATTCTTATCCCAATTCAGTAAATCACATATGGATCATATTATAACACATGAAAATTTAATTGTTATAAATAAGTGGTATAAGCATGTATTTGTGGCTATTGTTGTAAAAAACATATATAAGAACGACAAAATGGAACTGCTAATGTGCAAATTGTTACATTCAATTTTGAATAATTTCATTTCTATATTTACCCTACTACATGGTCACATTCGGACATTCTTAAAATATAAGAAATATAAAACGACAGGTGAGGAACATATGGAGGGAGCGAGACAATAAAAAGAAAACTCATAAAACTGATAAAACTGATCAATAGTGGGAGAAAACGCGTGAAAAAAAAAAAAAAAAAACGAATGAATGAATGAACAAAATGGATTTTATTTGTCTTTTTTTTTTTTTGCACACCTAGTGGATCGTTTTTCCATTTAAATATCGCTCAAAAGTTAATCTATATCTCATACCATATTAAAAAAAATTCCAGTTTAAGCAAAATTTACATACGTGTACACACAAGAGATAAGAATAAATCAAACGTCCGCAAAATTGTTTTAATAGAAATATAAAAAACAAGCCTAGTTCGACTAACTCCACATGCATGCACACATGCAACTGTTTTATATGTACAGATATAAAAAAAAAAAAAAAAAAAACACTCACACATCACGCATATACAAATGTTTGCATGCTTTTTTCGAACATTTACACAGAAAATATGAATAGAAAAACTAGCTTACAAACACTTTTAGATGACTATGTATTTACTTACATAAATACGATTAACAACGAATGCATAAGCATTCATAATGGTAAGAAGAGTATCACCACTATTTCTTTTTCGATGTGGTGTGTTCTATGTATACACCCTTTTCATATGTATACATATATACGTATGCATGTACATAACGTGGATGCATTTGATGCAAGCAAAAATGCACTTCCCTAATCCAAGATCTTTGTGTTCATTCAGTGCACATATAACCCCAGTATGCCCATTTAACCCACATAAGTTGTGTATGCCAACATAATACCAACATATGATGTACATAAAAAAAACACTTCACTCCAGATCTACAAAGTTTTCACTTTTTCCCCGTTGAAAAGCGTACCTACATTACTGTTCAGGTAATATTTTTTTACATTATCTTCAAAAGGGAATTAAAAAAATATGTTTTTTCCGCGCTTCAGTACAACCAAAATTGTTTCAACATTTTTCATTTCATTAAAAGCACATATATAAGACTGTTCGTTTTGTTAATTTTTATTTTCTTTTTTAACATTTTTTTTATTTTTTTTTTTTTTTTCCCCCTTTTCAGAACTTAATTTCATCCCTTATATTGGAACACAAACAAATAAAACATGGAAGTCTATTCTACGAAGGACATTTGATATATTCAAGTCTCGAAATGAATGAGATGAAAACGATTTACAACTATTTGGTGTCCTATAGCGGAACTGTTAGAACACACAAAAAAAAGGAAAAAACAAAAGGAAAAAATAAAAAGAGGAAAAAAAAAAAAAAAAAATACCATCATGAACATGCAACAATGTAGAGAGATACCTGGATAGTCTTTTTTTTGGCGTCCAAAAATATTCCATGTATTAACATGAATACATAATTTATACATGCACATTTTATTTTTTTTTTTTTTCGCTTATCCTCCCATTTTAGGTAAACAATTTAAAACTAAATCAGCACCCTTTTAAGAAAATCGCGTCATCCGCCGCCATCAATGTAAGTCGAAATATATATATATATATATATATATATATTTTGTTGTCGCTACCTGGAGAGTGCATTTTCTTCATATTACGAAAAATGTTAAACATGCTCAACTTAAATGTTTTTTTTTTTTTTTTATTTTTTTTTTTTGCTGACATGTTCAGGCAAATGGAGGTTTGTCTAGCTTTGCTCGATGCAACTCAATCGAGGATAAAAACTCATTCCTTTTGGGAATTAAAAAGTAAAAAAAAAAAAAACGTTGTTTAAAAAATTGAGTTGTTATGTACTACACGAATCGTATGCACATGAGAGTAACACTAGCCGGATGGTTGGCATGTAGGAGAAAAGTTGAATACCCCTTGGATATATGTACATGTACATTTTTGACAGATCGCACTTGCACAAACAAACGTTTTCGGGATTTTTCGAATAGGTCATCCGTCTTTATGCCAGTGGTAACGTTAAGCGGAGAGAAAAAACACAAACTAGTTGCATTCATTTTCAGAGGAATTTTACTTATGTTACTAATTAAGGGGAATACAATAAAAGATGAAGACTTCGATATTCTAATCGATGTGCAAAATAAATGTACAAACGAAAATTCAAGTAGTATATACAATTTGTTAAAATTGAATGAGACATTATCTGTGCATTTCAAAAAATATTTAAATCAAGATGACTCAGTAAGATATTTTTATTATAACCATTTTAACAACTGCATTAAATATTCCTTCAATAATAAAAAATTAAGTAATGAAGAACTTCTTCTTGTAGCAGATTTTCATTTCCTACTTAATGACTCAGAAACCAAGTATAACAAAATTAAACTTAATAAAAACATGTTCTCAAAAAATAAGGAAAAATCTTATTTGTCAAATGAATTGTTCAATTTTGAACACTCTTGTATTCAGAAAAATTGTTCAAAAAATGATCCAAAAAGTTGTGAACAGCAAGAAAATAAGAAACATTCCCAAAGCGTAACTCAAAATGAAGCAGCAATAAATATAAGCGAAACAGGAAAAAGTGTTTTTTCACAAAATCAGCATGAAAGGAGACAGAACAGTAATAAGACTGATATAGGAAGTGAAATAAATTCAGATAAAACAACTGAAATTAAAAGCGACCATGTGGACGAACAAAAACTAAGTAGCTACAATCTTGATAGTTCTGCTCATATAACAACTGAGGAGAAACACCAATCGGAGGGTATTCATGTGAAAACAGAAAATTCTAAAAAATACCAAAGCACTTTGTATGAAACACAAAAAAAAAACACCGCAGCAGGTGTAGAATGTAGGGAGGAAAAAAAAAAAACAAAATTAAAATTGATTCTTAATGAAGAATTAAAAAAAAAACTTTTTGAAGATACTAGTGATGATGTAAAAATAGAAAAAATATTTTTCAAAGAGGCAAACGGTCCATGGATATTTGCAAAAAAGTCCCTACAGAGAGAACTTTTTATTTTTCCCGATGATTCAAAAATTTCTCTCTCCAAAGCGCAACGCGATATCCAACATTTAATGGATGTCAACTTTTCAAATATATACATTTAGAAAAAAAAGGAGGCTGCATGGATCTCTGCTACATGCAGAGGTACATACTTTTCTGTGTGTGCACCCAATGCACTTTTCTCTAAGAAACTTGGCACAAAATAAAATACACAAAATATGTGTGCTCCTCAAGTAAAAAACATGTCAGCATTTTTGTAATCCATGTAAATGTTACCATAAACGAATGCGACAATTTCCATCGGACAAGTACGTTTTCCCATAATATAATTTTTTTTTTTTTTTTTTTTTTTTTTTGTTCATATATTTTTTTACACAGAAAGATACAACTTTCTGAACAGTAATAATTCTTTTTTTTTGTTCATATATTTTTCTACACAAAAAGATACAACTTGCTGAACTGTAATAATTTTTTTTTTTTATAGAACAAATTCTAGAATGTGCTATTATTATTTAAATGCATACACTATTTGGTATGGTTCCATCAACACAATTTCAGAGACGTTTAATGTATACAAAGTGCTACACATTATATATACATACTTCAAAAGGGATTTATTCCGTCGAATTCATAAAGCACAGGTGAACGGACGAATGAAAAAAAAAATAAAATTGCGCATGCGGGGAGTTACATATTTACATGTATAATAATGATATTATTGTAGATTCAGCGTACACATGAAGGCATATAACATGTGGTGCACACGAAACAGAGATGAAATGTGAGTGAAAAAAAATATGTGCTTCCAGAAGTTTATATGACATGGTATAAAGCACGATAGGATAAAGAACGATAGGATAATGCACGTTCGGATAAAGTATGGGATAGAAATAAAGCACGCTAGCTTTCTGTGAATATATGGAAAAAAAAAAAAAAAATAATAAATATATTTTGTTCACACTATTTGCACTTTTCATACCCCTTAATCATATAACGCTCTTCATTTGGTCTATTGTGCCAACATCGTAAAGGAGGTGATTCTTGTCATACAGCTCGATTGCTTTAATGAAATTTTTGGCGAGAAAAGGCAAAAGCGGGTAGTCCTCCTTGGTGCACTCATAACTATTTTCATCCTTTTCCAATATAAAGGATTTCCAACATGGCTTGAAGGATTCCAAGTCAATTTTATTCGACAAAACTACTGAAATCAGCCAACTGAAGTATTCGGAACTTTTTTCCACATTCTTATTGCAAGCGTACTTTTTAAGAGTAAGTTTTAAAATGTTCGTCTGTAGTTTTTCATTAAATTTAGAGGGGATATTCAACTCTTCTATTTTTTTCGTTAGTGATTCCCATTCCTCTGTGTTGGTCGATAATTCCAAAATTTCATTTACCTTTGGAAGATATTCTTCGACAAATGTGTAATCGTCATTTGTTTTTACCCCTGTGCTTGGGTTTAGGTTTGTGCTTGTGCTTATTCCAGGAGATGCAGCAGCACTATCTCCTTCCCTCATCTTCAACTCCTTCTCAGCAGAAGTATCATTGGATTGTTGTTCCTCACTCTTGTTAGTCGTATCATTATTCAAAGAAGTACCACCACCAGTTGTAGTAGTGTTCATGGACGTGCCTGTCGCTGTACCAGCAGCACCACTACTGCTACTCATGGGGCTCTTTTTGAGATTAAAATTTCTCATGAAAAATTTGCCTTCATTATTATTATTTTTCTCCTTACTTAGAAATCTTGAGTTCATATTGCTGAAAAAGCTTCCTCCTCCTGAGGTATTATTATTATTATTATTATTGTCAGTAGACGTTATTCCTCCTATTCCTCCTCCTGCTATGACGGTTGATCCATTAATGTTATTATTGCTACTTCCCATTGTAGTACTATTATTGGTCATGTTATTATTCGTCACATTAGTACTATTCGTGTTAGAGGCACTATCATTATTCATAAATGGTTGATGATGATTATTCTTGAATGGAAAATTATTTTTTGACATCATATCGAAAAAACTGTTATTACTATTATTATTATTATCTGCGGAGTCTTGTGCAGTTCCTCCAACTTTTACGTCATCTCCCATCATTTTTGAAGCACTTGAGTTTTTACTCTTCATCAGGTTTAAGGATAATTTTTTCATATTTTTATTTGCATCCATATTTTTCATTCCTCCTCCCAAAATTCTCATATTCATCATGTTGTAACTTGTGTTATTATTGTTGCTGCTGTTGTTATTACTACCAAGCACACCACCACTAGCAGTTTTTCCTCCACCCAAGCTATTGTTACTGCTATTGTTATTACTGTTCATATTAAAATTAACATTACGTAATAAATTATTTCTCATGCTACTCAAACTGCTATTCATCTTACTGTCGTGATAGTTTGTCATCATGTTACTACTGCTGTTATTAAAACTTCTGTTACTCTGGTCGATAGCTTCTTTTAAAATTTTATCGTGCAACACACTAAGAGTAGTTGGTCCTTCTAACTTATGTGCAAATTTTTTATTCCATTTTTCATTTCTATTATCAATAACATCTTTAATAAGACATCTAACACGGAATGTTATCTTTTCATCATTTATTAATGTATTTAAAGTGTTGTATAATTCTTTCACTTTTTCTTGATTAGCTTTTTCATGTGTATCTAAAATTTCTCCTACTGTATTGAGAAACATACATAAAGCTTCTAAATGTAAATTTCCTTCATTTGTGTCATTATTTATCGATATGTAACTTTCTCTCTTTTCTAATAATTGCTTAATACATACAAATACAATTGGTATCGATATGATTCCTGATTTTACTAACTCTCCTACAAATAACATATTACCTCTAACTTTATTTTTATGCATCTGTTCAAATTCAAATCTTTCTTCTTCATTTGTTAAATTACTTGGGTATTCAATTGGTTTCAAATTATTTTCAAATGAATCTTGACACTGATTAATTAAAATTTTCTTAAATTGAACTGTTGTGTTATCTTCCAATTTCATATTGTGAAAATGTACATTCAATTTTTTACATAATTGAACATACATCTGCACAAAATGATGTTGTGTTACTGCTTTCTCAAAAACTAATTTCATCAATCCTATTATTTCTTCTAATTTTGTTATTCCAACTAGTATTATTTGTTCATATAGCAGGTCAAATTTTTCAAAAGTTAACTTATTTAATATACCTCTTAACTTTCTCATCATACACGTATATTTATCTGCTTTCAACTGATTCTGTTTTAGTAACCAACTATTTTCTGCTATAGTTTTGGTTCCACTACCAATAGAAGAAGATCCACCACCACCACTTCCACTCTGGTTATTGTTATGTCTCCATGCATCTGGAGATTCAACAGCTCGAGTGGAATCAAAGAATCCCTTCAATTTATCTCCATCATTTTTTCTCCATTCTAAGTTATTTCCCTGTCCCACTTTTCCCATGGCATTATTTGCACTGTATCCATCGATGGAACCAACCATCATTCCTGCTGCTGCTGCTGCTGTTAAGCCACCTTTAACACCACCACCTGCAGCAGATATGTTGTTAGCATTACTGCTGCTGTTATTCATATCTGCATAATTCATATTCTGATTCACAGTACCAAAATTTGCAAAATTAATATTATTATTCATACCACTCTTCCCTCCTTGTGCATATCTCCAAACATCGCTGCTATTTTTGCCTCCACTACTTGCATTCATTCCAAATTGTTTACTGTTCATATTATTGTGATTATTATTACCACCAATGTAGTTATTATTAATCACTGATCCACCAATATTAGCATTGTTACCATGTACATGACCAGAAGAAGCACCACCACCAATTCCTCCTGCATTCATATACCTCTTATTACTGTATATACTACTACTACTACTACTACCCTTAGGATCGTGAGAATTACTATTATGTGTATTTGAAACACTGCTGCCAATATAACTGCTTGAATGCATACCGGTAGTACCTGCATTATAATCACTTCCTGTGTTCATCATATCCATATGGTTTATATTACATGAACCTGTCATGCCATTATCAAATTTGCTGCACTCTATATCTGGGTTGTAAGATAAAACAAAATTGAATTTCTCTGCACCAATATTCCAATTATTTCCTACAAATATTTCTAGCAAGTCAATTTTTGAGTATATTTTACTTTTTTGCATTTTTTCAAGTTTCATCTGTTTTTGCATTTCTTTCTCCTTCTCCATCTGCTTCTGCTTCTCTTTCTCTTCATTATCTTTATCATTTTGTGGGATCAACATTTCTTCAATTTTTTCATTCCCCAATTCATCATCCACTCGTTTTTCTAACGTACGTAATATCCCTTCAGCGTTGCTCTTTGTCTGAACCGTTGCTTCTTCCATTTTATGATTAGCACTTTTCTCCTTTTCAATTTCTCCACCTACAACTGTTTCTTTTTGGATACCCAACTTGGCTGCATCACTCGATTTTGATGGGTCACTCGATTTTGATGCATCACTCAACTTCGAGCTATCCACCTTTTTTGCAACATCTCTTTTATCATCTGCAACTGGTGCTTTACTTCCACCACCTTCTTCACTATTCACAATGTGATTGTCCTTACTTATAGTATCATTTGTGTTCGAATCTCCTTTCTTTTTCTTCAGAGAGTCATCATCTTTTTTCCTTCCTTCATTTTTCAATTTCTCTTTATTAATAGTAGCTCTAGTAACATCTGTCATGGAAACTGGCAATGCAGTGGCAGCTTCTTCCTCCTCTGTATCTGCCAATTTTTCCTTGGCCCATTTCATAATATCCCTAAATGATCCATACTTTTTCTTTTCTCCCTTATTATTTTCATTTTTTTCAGAAGTAAAATTTTCATTATATGATTTTGTTACATCATTTTTTGCAACAGATTCATTCATTTCTTCCTGTGCTAAACATTTTCCTGCACTCCTATTCTCTCCATCATTATTACTCGTTTCATTATTTCCTGCTCGAATCTTAACATCTATTTCATTATTTGAATTTTTCAATTCGCCCTTTTCTCCAATATTACCATTATTGCTTACCCCACGTGGGTATTTTTTTCTATCCCTAATCGATTCCTCCGATTTGTCATGTCCCACTGATGCGTTAGATTTATTGTTATGCATAATAGGATGAACATTATTTTCCTTCTTATCAATGAAATTCTCATTAGCATTACTTGTCTGAATTTTTCTAATTCCTGACATGTTATTATCGCCACCTCTTCGTTCTGCTCCTTCAGGAGCCATCATTTCTAATTCCTTATTTTCGAATTTCTTTTTTGTGTATGTTGATAAACGTTCTTCTGCCAACACTTTTCTACCACTTTCTTTCATTTCACACTTCTTTGCATTTTTCTCTTTCCATTCTGTGTCTATGTTCATACCATGTGCATGAGCCAATTGTGCATCAGTCGATGATATAAACTTAGCATTACTCTTAGAAGCACTATCATCTGTTGTGTTATTCTTGTTTCTCGTTTTTCTATTTCCTTCAATGATTTCTCCATCTTCCAAATCTTCATCAACAATGGTATTTTTAGTGCTCTTTTCAGGATTTCTATGAATCATTTTTCTTGTATTTTCCTTTTGTGATCCATAATGTACATCACTGTGCGCATGCACATCTGATGAAACTTCACCATGTACATTATCGTTTTTACCTCTTTCCTCCATATTATCATACTCAACAATTGTATTTCCTTTGTTCATTTCATTATCTCCTCCCTTTTCTTCTCCCCGTGTATTGTCGTTGTTCCTCGAGCTAATAATATTCTTAACTTCCACCCCATCATCCTGCTCCTTCTCTTTGGATTTGTGATTCATATTATTCGATTCTTCTGCATCTGAAAATACAACACTTTCATTCATTCTTAAATTTTTCAACGTATCTTCTTCTCTGCAATTTCTGCCATTTCTGCCATCTCTTCCAATTCTGCCTTCTCTGCCATTTCTGCTATCTCTTCCATCTCTGCCATCTTTGCCATCTTTGCCATCTCTTCCATCTCTTCCATCTCTTCCATCTCTTCCATCTCTTCCATCTCTTCCATCTCTTCCATCTCTTCCATCTCTTCCATCTCTTCCATCTCTTCCATCTCTTCCATCTCTGCCATCTCTTCCATCTCTTCCATCTCTTCCATCTCTTCCATCTCTTCCATCTCTGCCATCTTTTCCATCTCTACCTTTTCTACCATCTCTTCCATCTCTGCCTTTAATATAACCCTTTGACGACACATCAATTCTTCCGTATCGTTTCGGTTCCTTCCCATTTGATAACGCACTTCCATCATCATACCCCTTTATCCTCTGTTCTGTCGATTCGGTTCTTTTTCTCATATGACTTGCACCACCAGAACTATCAACTCTCGCAACACCATTCTCCTTACTCGTACTACCCCTACTACCATGATTATTACTATAATTACTACTATGGTTATTATTATTATTATTATAACTATTGTTGTTACTTCTTTTATCACCGGCAAGTCCTCTATTATGTACTGATGATGATGATGACATTGGCTTATCCCTCATTGTGTTGTTGGAACCATCGCTCTTAACACGCTGATCTCTTCTCTTAGAAGATTTTTCACCCTTATGACTAGAACCGTGATGAGTTGAATTCTTTCTATCATTAAATGAAAACTCATTTTTGGCATTTTTCGAATCTCCTCCTCCACTTCTTGTTTCTTTGGATTGTTTCTTTGGCTTTCTCTTTGCCATTTCTGCAAAGGAAATTTTTCCATCCCAAACGGAATTTTTTGAATTAGAATAAGTCGACACTGAGCGATTATCATTTGTATTCGACATATTGCTCCTGTACTCATTTCCTACAGTTTTTGCTTCTTCTTCTCCTGCTACTGTTCCTGCTGCTACAGTTTTTGCTTCTTCTTCTTCTCCTGCTGCTGTTCCTCCATATTTGTAACTATTTTCTTTATTCATATTAAAATCTTCTCCCTTATTCATCATGCTATTGTTGTCTTGATCGCTACTGCTCGTACCATCCCCCACACCTTTGCTCATGCTATTATTATTGTCCTTCATGATTTTGCTTAGATATGCTTCTTCTTTATGGCTTTCCTTATTCCTCCTTGAGGCTTCATTTCTTACATCGTTTAATGATGCATTTGTTAGATTGCTCTTTTTAGTGCCATCTTTCTTGTCACCAAAATCATCTCTTATAACAGATGGTAATACACCTCCTGCTCCTCCTCCCCTTGCTCCTTCAACCTTGCTGCTATAGTCGTCATTCACCCTTTTATTATTACTTTTATAACTTTCTACATTACTAGATTCATCACCCTCATGTGCTTTTATTCTACTACCTTCATATGGACGATTCTCATTTGGTTTCTTCACTGAATCAGATTGATCCTCCTTATCTGAATGCTTGTTGATACTTGATCCGATTTTTTCTCCATCCTCCTCTTCATCCCCTTTATTTTGTGATACATTTTTATAATCATCATTCCTTCGTTTCATAACCTTTTCGTTTATCTGCTTAACCTCCACATTTTGAATTTTCATTTTTTCTCTTTGTCTATGCGATGCATAGATGTTACCTGATGTATTTGTTACGTTTCCATCACCACTTCTTCCCACTGCACCTCCCTTTCGATTATTCATTACTTCGCTTTTCTTCATACTGCTGTTGATGTTGATGTTGATGTTGCTGTTGAGGTTGCTATTACCGCTGCTGTTCTTGTTACTGCTATTATTGCTGTTATTATTATTACTCTTATTTTTATTCTTATTATTATTGCTACCATTCATATTGTTACTGCTGCTGCTCTTATTATTATTACCACTATGATCATACTTCATCTTTCCTCCTCTTTCCTTGTTGATCTCCTTGTCATGATAACCGCTATTTTTATCATTCGGGTAAAATGGTAACTTTTTATTTTTTGCATTGTTATTCATCATTATATCGTTTTTCTCTTCGACACATTTTTTGTTCGTTTTGTTATAACGTAAGTTGTTATTACTACTATTGTTCAGCCCCCCACCCATCACTGCATCTTTATTCATTTCTCCTGCATCTTTACTCATTCCTTTATTGTGTCTCTCTCCTCTGTGTACTTCTTCATCCTTTCGCTTTTTTGCATCTCTTCCACTGCTTAATGTACTAACAATGGGCCCATTTTCATGATTCATATTAATTCCTGGGTTGCTGCTCATCACACCTCCTCTACTACTACTACCTCCTCCTCCTCCTCCTCCTCCTCTTCCTCCTCCCTTGTAATAAGACATTACATTTTCATTATTGTGATTTTTAACTTTTCCATTATCATTATAATCTTTGGTGTTCCTAAATCCATTACATGGGTCATCATCATCATCTTCTCCTTCGATTGTTACTCCAACTGTAGCTGTTGTTACTTCTACACTGTTGTTATTATTACCATTTCCCTTTTGTGTCTTATTACCTGTATGCTTTCCAGATATATCACCATAACGCTGTTTATTATTAGCATTCATCACTGAAGTAGTGGTTGGTATATCCATATTGTCCATATCTGGATTATTATTGTTACTATCCTGTTGCTGATTGGCCAAATTGTTTTTTTCTGCTCCTCCTACTGCTCCTTGTTTTTTATTCGGGTTCATTTTTGCTATCTTTACCCAAGAAGAAAATTCCATATTCTTCTTATCATAATTTTTTGCATTTTTCACGTTTCCATAATTTGCATTCTTATTATTCATCACAATTCCATTATAATTGTTATTGGAATAACCGCTCACAGCTTCATTACTTAATGTTCCTACAATAACTCCCGATGTGTTCTTACTATTTGCACTTTCGCTATTTCCTTTCATATTCTGGTCATGCACATTCGTCGAGTTGTTAAAATTGTTTCCATTTCCTCCACTTCTCTTTGCTATGGAAGATGGTGATACTCCTCCTTCTTTAGCATCATCTACAACATTTTCCACTCCTAAAATGTTGTTTCCATCGCTACTACCATTGCTATCATGGATATTACTATCGTTATTATTACTATCCTTTTCCTTAAATTTCTTAACACCTTCATTTTTTAATTTTTTTTCATTTTCCATCTTATTCCCTTCAACATTTCCTCTATGACTCAATCGCTTGTCACCATTGCTTTGATATTTGCTATTACTTGTTGTGCAATTTCCATGGTGCTTACTGTTGCTTGCCGTGCCATGATTACCCATAGCGCTACTCCCATTTGCCATTAAATCGTTGTATGGTTTTTTCAAATGGGCACTCGTTTTCATGTTGTTCTTATTACTGTTGTTATCTTTTGATACATCTTTCTTCGAACCTGCTCCTGCTGTTCCTGCGACATGCATGTTATTATAATTGCCCTTTTCCTCATTCGATTTGTTATTACTTCCATAGTTTTTATTCATTTTATACTCTTCCTTGTTTTTTTCATGTTTATTAAAAAATCGTTTTTCGCTAGCTACAACAGCTCCTCCTCCTCCTTCATTATTATTATGGCTCTGTGCATGGTTGTTATTACTACTACTCAAAATGCCATGACTTCCCCCTCCTCCCATATTGTTTGCATTAGAACTACTATTATTCATACCCTTGCTGTTTCTGGCACTAATTGAATTATTAGAATTATATGTCTTTCCTTTAAAACCATATTTCATTCCTTCATTCCCAGTATTGTACGAATGATTCTTTTCTTTAGAATCATCTGGACCTGCTTTTGTAATACTACTTAACTTTGATTCTTTCAAAGACACATTATTGCTCATGTTAATGTTACTACTCGTGTTATTGTTTCCTGAACCACTGTTAGATGTAATGCCTTTGTTGTTATTACCCACGGTTGATGCTTTTGCATAACAAATGTTACTTGATGATAAAGGAGAAGACATAGCTACACTTCCATTTTCCGTTTTGCCATGCAATAGTACTTCCTGCTTTGCCATCTTACCACTCATATACACATTTTTCGATCCATTAGATATATTATTATTCACACTGTTACTAGAATGAGAGTTAAAATTTGAAACTGCATTGTTTCCTCCGATTGAACTATTTTTGTTATATTTATTGCCTTTCTTGTTTTCTTGTTTTGCATAAGAAGGCAAATTTGTCACATCCACACCACTTGTGTGATTATTTATAATGTTGTTATTATTGCTACTGCTGATATGGTTGCTATTGCTTCTATTATTGCTGTGCAATCCTCCACCCCCTTTGCTGTCTCGATGCACGCTAAGCTTATTACCACTGTTACTGCCACTGTTATTGTTTCCATTGCTACTGTTATTGTTATTGTTATTATTATGATTGTTATTGTTATTATTATTATTATTATTATTATTATTACTGTTACTGTTGTTGTTGCTGCTGCTAGAACCGTTGTTGTTTCTTTCGTTATATGTATTATTGTTCCTCTTCTGATGTTTCTTCATTCCTGTTCCTGTTCCTCCTGCTGCTGTTGCTGCTGTTGCCGCTGCTCCTACACCACCTCCCATGGGATCTGCAACTTCTTCCCTCATGTTCATCATCATGTTATGATTCATGTGCATTCCAGCTCCAACAGCTGATGGCATAACATTGTTCATATGATTCATATGATGATGTGCTATTACTGGTACATTACTAGAGCTTACGTTGTTCATTTGCAATGAGCCATTTAGACACATAACATTTCCACTAGTACTTATTCCCATGTTATTTCCTAATCCTGTATTTAAATGTATACCACTCGTATTACTGCTCGTGCCAGTGTTATTACTATTGTTATTATCGCTGTTCGAGAGCAGATTTCCATATCCGTAATTTACATTTGCTGCTCCTATTGGTCCGATTGTTCCTATTGGTCCTACTGATCCTACCGGCCCGACTACTCCTCCTACTGCTGCCATTACTGAATTCATGGAATTATTACTGTTACTTACATTATGTTCAAAATTATTATCACTCATGTTACTACTTCCTCCTGCATGAACATTGGCAATGTTAAAATGATTAAATATGTTCCTTCTATTTTGTTGATTCACATGATTGTATGGAATTTTCAAAGGTGGTGGTGCATTACCTGAATTCGAAATAAAATGTGCTTCTAACGGTGCAGTTAAATTTAACGGGTTATTATGTTGTAACTGAGGAGGTGGGGGGTGCGTAGGTAAGCCACATGACATAAAATTATATGGATTTATATTCATATTTCCATTTTTTGCCGATGGTGGTAAAGTGCTAGTACTGTTTCCAATTAAATTAGTATTACTTCCAAATGTACCATATACAGCTGATGGTGCTTGAGGAAATGGAAATTCATGATGAACATTTCCTGGCCCTATAGCATTTCCATACGACATTGGTGTAAATATGGTATGGGGAGGGGGAGGACCTGGCAAGCCATTTGGATGTGGATGATGAGGATGCCCATGAGGGGGATTATTCATCATGTATGGATGATTTACATAAAAATTATGTGGATGAATCATGGTTCCATTTGATTGAAAAGATTGATGAGGTCCATTATTATTGTTATGTGCATCTAATGGATGATGAAATGGTGGAGGAGCAGAATTTTCTGAACCATTCATAAAATTATTATTTCTTATATTTTTCATTCCATGCATCATATTACTCTGATTTAGAAAATTAGAATCAGAACCCATATTATTATTTCCACCTCCTTTTCCCACTAAAGCAACTGTTGATGTGTGCATCAAGTTCGAACCTGTCTTCATATTATTTTCATGACCACTAAAATTTGTTCCACCGTTACTGTTACTATTATTATTATTTGTAGTACTACTACTATTACACAACTTCGCACTGTTCAGAGATTTATTACTAGGATGATTGTTCATATTCCCACCAGCAGTATCATTTACGCTGCTATTACCATTCCCTTTTTCGTTATTATGATTCTCTATATTGTTCATACTCGTCACACTGGTCATATTATTCACATTGTTCATACTCGTCACATTGGTCATATTATTTACATTATTCCCTTGCGTTCGAATTGCATTACTGCCGCTGGGCATGCTTAAATTTATAGGACCATTCGATGGGGGAATATGATTCGCATTAGCTAAATTTAAAAGTTCACTTGGACTGTGGCCCATTCCGTTAAGGGGATTCAGCAACGGGTTCGAAGGATTCAACATACTAATTCCTCCCACGTTTCCAAATCCTCCAGTAGGAATATCTTGGTAATAATGATTCCACATGAATTTATTAAATGATAAATTTCCTTGCATGCTTTTCGTTGATGGGACAAATTCTGGTGCATCTGCATTTAGCGAACTTACTGACGCTGTAACATTTATATTACTCGACTTAGATGTTGATACTGATGAATGTATTTTATCATTTCCATTTTTTTCTTCACTATTATAGCTCAATTTTGTCTTCTTCTTTTTCTCATTACTGTTACTATTTTTATTGGCATCATCTGAATATTTCTCCTTATTCTTACCATCATCATCATCATTATTATTATTATTATTATTATTATTATTACTATTATTATTATTATTATTATTATTATTATTATTATTATTATTATTATTATTATTATTATTATTATTACTATTATTACTATTATTACTATTATTACTATTATTACTATTATTATTATTATTATTACTATTATTATTATTACTATTATTACTATTATTATTATTACTATTATTATTATTATTATTACTATTATTATTATTACTATTATTATTATTATTATTATTATTATTACTATTATTATTATTACTATTATTATTATTACTATTATTATTATTATTACTACTATTATTATTATTTCTTTTTTCTGGATCCTCATCCACATTTCCTTTTTTTTCTGCTATGCCATTTTCTTCATTCTTTCTATCATTGGAATTCACACGAGATTCGTTACCTTCGCTACTTCCTCCTGCACCATCTTTATGATTGCTTACTTTCCTGTGCTTGTCTCCATCCCCATCATCATCATCTCCTCCATTTTCACAATTGTTACTGCTTTCGGTGTTTGCTCCTCCTTGCCCATTCTCTGAATTTCCCTTGCAGTTTCTGTTGCCACTGTTATTGCCTCTATTGCTATTGTTACCGTTATTGGAATTATCTCCACCTGACGAACTCTCGTTGCTTCTACCTCCACTGACACGGACATTACCACTTGTGCTATGGTCATTGATACTGCGAGTGCAATTATACTTATTACTGCTACAACAACTAGTGCTTCCTTCCCCTACAATTCCAGAATCCAAATTATCACTTTTCTTACTTATCTCCTTGCATTTTGTTACACTACCATTGCAATAATGGGTCGTAGTAGCATCCTTCTGGATGTACTCTAAACCCGTTTCATTTTGGTTCTTATCATTGACGTGCCTCTCATTTTCATTACTCTCTGCCACTTTGTTAGACACAACTATGTCCTTCAAATTCACATTATTTTCATTTGTGGGTTCTAAAAAGGGGCTCAATTTTCTCACTTCTGTAGGAGAAGCGGATCTCGTATCCTTAACACTATTTTTGCCTTTCAAAATATGAAAGGTGTTCGATTCATTTTTGTTATTGTCTAGAAGGGAGTTCCTTTGTGCATAACACGAATCAGCGTTATTATTCTTGGAACAGCAATCATTGCTGAACTCATTTACACCTGAACATTTTGCATCTGAGCTTTTCACATCTGAGCATTTTGCATCTGAGCATTTTGCATCTGAGATTTTCGCATCTAAGCATTTCGCATCTGCGCATCTTTTATACGAATCCCTCATCTCTGAACCCTTTTCGCACGAACTATCAGCCTCCTCATACATGCATTCCTTTTTAATTGTATCATTAAACGTAACACCCTTGATATCACTAACAACTGGGAACGATTGGTATCCGGGCGAATTTAAATTTGTATCTCTACCAGCAACAATCTCGTAACTATGCAACGTACAGGAGATCTTCTTACTCAAGTCATCTGTGCAATCAACACTGTACAACATACCCTCATCGGTAAGCTGACACAAGTTATTTTTACTTTTCATTTTTGAATCATTTTGCATACAGTTTTCAGTATTCATATATTGATTGTTATTATTCTGAACATTATCATAATTTTTATTCAATAAAGAATTAGTTATCATCTGTGCTGTATCAATAAAATTACTCTCCTTATGTTCATTTGCGAATGAGCTAGTTATGTTTACCTCAGATGAAAAATTATTACTACTTGTAATGTTATCTGTATAACTAACATTCTTTACATCATCATAATCGGTTATTTTTTCCTTTCCATATTTCCTGTATTTATCATTTTCGTTTATTTCACTCCTGAACTCAGGGTTACTATTGGTACTATAAGAACTTATATTTAACATACTGTTTATTCTGTTTTTACTATATTCATGTATATCTTTACTCACGATTATATCACTTTGCATTTTTGCATATATTTATTTACGTTCAAATAGGGTGATTTAGAGAGGTTATATTACAGAGACGTACAACGCGAAGGGTTCTAGTATATATTTTATATGCGCATATGATATATATTATATGCACATATATATATATTATATGCACATATATATATATATTATATGCACATATATATATTACAAACTATATACAAACATAAAAATAGTCTTTACATATACATGCGGGGGGAGTTCACACCTTGGGGGTCTTGCTGCAATACAAAAATATGTTATAAATATGTGATGAAGAAAAAACGTTCAGATGGAAGCTGAAAGAGCACATACACGTGTGCTTCGTGGATGTCGAGAAAAAGAAGGCAAAATCAAGTTCCAATGGGTGAACACTCGACGAGACATGCAAATAAAATAGATCCCTCGAAGAATGAACGAAATGTGGACGAAATCGCTCTCTCTCTCTATATATATATATATATATATATATATATATATACATGTATATGTATATACATACACTGTAGCACTTATCTTGACCTACTCGTTTTGTGACGAGATCATAAAAATACATAAACTTGCAAACTCAAAAATAAACTATTAACTAGGGTCAAATTTTACACAGACACTATTGCATATATGTGAATATATATAAGTATATATTTGTACGGTTAATTGCTTCTATTTACTATTACACATGCAAGACAAACGAGGGTCGAATATATATAAAACTTCACATACACACAAGTTTTCTTACACTTTTGCAAATTAATTATTTCTATACACAAACGCATGGAGAAAAACTCCTATAGTCCATTTTTTTTTAAAATGTAAAAAATAAAAGCTAATAAATATGATATGCTTATTTTTACACTCATTCAATTCATATATTTATATATATGGTATCGTTTATATAGAGTAACAATTTACAAAAGGTATTTTATTTTTCAAATTACATTATTCATAATAGTTAAAAAAAGGCAAATGAATGTGGAAAATAAAAAGTGTATATGAACTGACAGAAATATGCAACTGCGTAAATGGGTGCTTAAGTATTCATGAGTTCCTGCCTTTTCATTCGTGTATTCTAATTCATATGTGCGTGCATAAATGTGTATAAATATATATGTATCTATTTGCATATATGTATCTATTTGCATATATGTACCTATTTGCATATATGGAGCAGTTTAAGATTGTACATATTCCTAATCTGCTGCAAATAAAAAATAGGCCCTATTTTACGCCCACTATTTTTTTGGGGAGAAAAAATTATAAATGACTATACTTTGTGTGCACAAAGATTCATATGTAAAATTACGTGAACACAATTGCACATGTAGCTGAGGGTGTATAATATCTTTTAAATGAAAATAAATAAAAAGGAAATAAACACAACGTTGTCATAATGATGTCATATAATAATAATAAAACGATCACACTGAGATAGCGAAATTATCATAATGTGATAGCAAAATTATCATAATGTGGTGATAAACCAACATAATGTGATCGTAAAATGTTCAAACAAGTAAAATAAAGTATAAAAATAAAATCAGTTTTCCATACAATATATCCTTAAATCATTATTTACAATAACTCTAAAATAACAACTGTGTACTAAATATAGGAAGGACGTGCAAAAAAAAAAAAAATATAAACATAAAAATAAAAAATAATATTAATACAAAAGAAAAAAACACATGCATATGTGCATAAGCACAAAAAAAAAAAAAAAAAAAAAAAAAAAAAAAAAAAAAAAAAAAAAAAAAAAAAAAAAAAAAAAAAAAAAAAAAAAAAAAAAAAAAAAAAAAAAAAAAAAAAAAAAAAAAAAAAAAAAAAAAAAAAAAAAAAAAAAAAAAAAAAAAAAAAAAAAAAAAAAAAAAAAAAAAAAAAAAAAAAAAAAAAAAAAAAAAAAAAACACGTCTGCAGGTTGTAAAAAAGGACGAATCTTCTACATACAAAATAATACAAAAGAAGAAGAAAAAAAAAATATATATAAAATAAAATAATAAAACTGATAAAAAAAAAATAGAAACGTTTTACTTATAAGGTCACATGCATATTTAATTCTCAACACATAGAGGAAAAAAAAAAAAAAAAAAAAAAAAAAAAAAAAAAAAAACACGCGGGAATGAGAGAACATGGGAGAGAATGAGAGAGAGGGGAGTGGGGCTTCCTCCTTAAACATACCAATACATTACACATAAAGGAAGCCACATGAAAAAGGTGAAACTCAGATTCTCTAATCTTACAAGTGATGTATATTGTTCAATACAAAATAAAGGACACAAATATATTTCTTAAAAAAATGGAAATATAAATTCCAGGAAAATATGCATGTCAAAATATAATACATGAAAAAAAAAGAAAAAAAAGTTACAAAATTCTCCCCTAATAACAAACAGTCGAACTTGTGTTCTCACAATAAGCTCGAAACATTTTATAGGATATATGGAAACTTGCAAAAATGAAATATGTGCATATATATACATTCATGCAGTTATAAACACACTTGCGCACAACGGTTCACAGATATATGTGGAATTTTTTGTTTCTTATATTTACCTGGAGTATAATATACTACTTTAGAAAAATTTTCATGAGCATGCTTTTTAATGTTGCTTCTCCCAATAATTCTTACATATGTAATATATATATATTTATATATGCATATATATTATCTTCTTTTTTTTTTTTCTTTTTTTTTTTTTTTTTCTTGTTTTCTGTTTTCTGTTTTCTTCTTATATAATATCCTTCCTACAGCCGTTCTGAAGTTATATCTTCTGAGTGATCCAAAACAACGTTTGTATGGGTTGGGTTACATAAATGTACAAATATGTAGTTGTACATATATTTACATATACGCAACTGTAAGAGTTACGCATGCGTTAGAGAGAAAAAAAAAAAAAAAAAAAAAGAGAAAGTGCAAACTATGCGATGACGATCTAACTAGGCCAATAAAAAGACCACGTAACTGAAAGCAATATTTAAAATTAAAGGGAAGAAGTGAAAGAAAAAAAAAAAAAAAAAAAATGTACTTTGACATGCGTAGCATTATAAATAGGATCTTTTATTCTGTTCAAGTATATTAACATGTATTAATATTTATTAACATGGGATTAACACGTATTAACATGTATTAACATGGATTAACATGGATTAACATGGATTAACATATATAATAATGTGAATGTTTCTCGTGTGCTATAAAAATAGACAAGTATCTCAGCACGTAACACGTTTTGGCATGCAACGTTTAGTCTCGTACACTTCAGTATAATTGAGTCGACAATAAACAACACATGTTTTGTTCATATGTGTATATGTGCGTATGTGTGTGTGTATGTGTGTACATATGTGTATGCGTGTGCGTTCTTAGGAGGTACTTGAAGAAGCACATAGGGGATTGCGAGCACATATAAGTACATATAAGTTTATATCTTTACATGCATGCATAAGTGCAAGTTTGTATAATCATATATTGGTAACATGCATGATAAAACTTCAGAACGATTGTGATGAAAAGGGAAAAAAAAAAAAAAAAATAAAGATCGCCTTATTATTTTGTTCTCTCAATTGCGCACAGTTTCTGGTTGTGTTCGCAATACAAATAAGAAACATAAAATATGAAATATAAAATATGAAATATAAAATATGAAATATAAAATATGAAATAAGAAATATGAAATATGAAATATGAAATAAGAAATAAGAAATATGACATATGAAATATGATATAATAATAAATAAATAATAATAACGCGAAAGGGGGAAAAAAATAAAGAGGTGCGAACTCGCTTTTTTTTTTTTTTTTTTGCACCTTTTTTTTGCTTCTTAATTCTTTACTCACTACATATGTGTACATATATGGAGACTAAGCTAACATATGGATAAGGATGGAATGAACAGGTATGTCGTTAAGTTGATTTTCCCTGAAGCTGTTTTTCCGTTTGGTCGCATTCACTAGGTTTCTATTCACGATATGACTAGAGATGGAACTGAGGATAGCGAAAAACACAGAATGCAGATTGCAAAACACGTAAACTGATAGTGTTAAGTAGGTAAAAATCAAAAAAAAATCCTGTTCCTCTTGATACTAAGTTAAACATAAGAACTATCATCTATTTGTGACTTCATATGTATGTATGTATATATATACACTACATTTAATATGTACAATTGGTCAAGTGAATTTTTTTCTTCACTATACTCACTTATTTTACACTTGAAATAATTTCTTCACTTTTTTCTTACAAGTAAAATGTATATATTATTTCTTGTTTGATTGAAAAGTCTATATATATGCATATATACATATGTATAACATATAATAAAATATGCGCTATATATTGGCTTACATATGTATGTATACATATATATATATATATTATATATATAAATAAACATATACTCTTATGTAGCTTCACATACATATAACTGCGATAAAACATACTTATTTTGTCGTGTGAAAATTTAAATGTTTTATGCATGTATAAAAATATATTTTAATAGGTGACATGTATATGTATAATACACAAGTACATAACAAATGTGGCTATGGCTCATGGATGTATATTCCATGTATTTAAATATATTAAATAGTAAGTAAATATAATATACATAAGAACAAATAATGCATTAAGTGTACATATGTATATAATAAGTACATATATTTAAGTATATAAATATATACAATTATATATAAATGCAGCAATATATATGCATGTATTTAATGTAACATGCACGTTTACGTATGCATATGCATGGGTTGGAGTACCTTTTTAATAAGTATATATTTTTTCTTTATTATATCATAACAAATATGGTATTATACCACGTTTGCGCATGTAAGTAATATGCTGTATATATATATATATATATATATATATATATATATAATATATATGTAAACATTTTTCTTTTTTCATTATACATTTATCACATTTTGTGCTTTTTTTTTTTTTTTTTTTTTTTTTTCGCTTCACTTTATTTTGCTTTTTTTATATTTTAAAAATAAAACACCTTATTTCTCTATAAATCCTGTTGGTATTTTTTTTCTTTTCTTCCCCCCACATTCACAGGTTGTGTACTATAAAAAGATAAAAAAAAGGGGAAAAAAAAAAAAAAAAATGTTGAGCACCTTTTTTAATTTTTTTTATGTTACGTTTCTGCGATATTTTTGGCACAGATCGGGTATTTCCTAAGTGTATGGCTTGAAAAAATACATTTACGTGATGAATTTTGTATATATATATATGTTGAAAAATATATGAGTATGTTATAACGTGTAAATAATCGTACAAGTGCATTTATTTATGTAAAATTGTATACAAATAATATATGTTCATATGTATTGCATATATATATATATATATATATATATATTGGCACTGAGCGTGGAAAATGTATACATGTTCGTAGCCAATATGTTTTTCTTTTTACAGCTCCTTACTTTTTTTTTTTTTGTTACCTGTAAATCTGTATGCAAAAATACATACAAAAAATGTACTTATAATATATGTAGTATTACTTAGGGCACTTAAAGAGGAGTAGTAAGTAGGTTTACATATAATATATTACTATGCACGTGCTTATACTAGCGTGTATATTTGGGCTTATTCCTCATACATTAAAACTCCATATATCGACAGGATATTATACATTGTTTTACCAAATGCAAAAATTGTCATAACATTCGCTCACAGCCCATAAACATTTTTATTTCATTTATAAAAGAAACTCTCTTTTTATACATTGGTAAGAGAAAGAGCCAATTTAGTTGTAACTGCTTTGGAAGGCTTTTATTCAAAGTTTTTTTCAAAGTTTTTTTTTTTTTTTTTTATATCTCATTTTATACAGAAAATTGCATGTTACATCTTATGTATCCACATACTTAACCTTTTTTATATACATTCAGCGAAAGAAGAAGAAATTTTTTTCCTGTTTTGTAGATTAATATCGCAACATATTCGCCATGGTGTGCTATTGTGTTGATTGAAGTTTAAATCTTCCCTAACTTGTTTGTATGAGAATGCAAGAGTTACAACATTCAGAATGCATACATATATACGTACCTATTCGCACATCTATGCACCTCCATTTCTCCTTCTTCATTGCACGAACTACTCTGCATAATTGTTAAAGTGGGAAAATACGAGAACAATCTTGTGTGTGATTATAGGCCACTAATAAATCCCAAACAACACTTCAATCAACTCGTTCAACTAGTGGAGTTCAACTAAGCAGATAATATTTGTATTATCATTTGTACAAACATTTCTAAAAAGGTCATAGAAGGTGCGCATAAAAGAGATGCGAACAAAAAGCTTATACCATGCACAACCCAATATCCCAACGCTGCTTATCGAATCCATATCTGTCTCATTGAACCTTGATTTTGCATTAAGCAAAAAAAAAAAAAAAAAATAAAAAAAAATAGAACTTTTGTTTTATGTAGTTTTTACGCACCATGTACCTTAATAGAATATGCATATAATATATATATATATATATATATACAAGCAACACATATAATATTAAACAGACTTAGATATCATTAAATCAACAATTTTGCTACCAATTAATGACCAAATAAAATTTTTATCATGCAGCAACGATCCTTTCACGATTGTATTCATATATACATACTAGCAATACGTTTGTATAATCCTTTTTTTTTTTTTGAAGTTTCTTCCATTTCAATTTCAATCATGTTTTGCAAAAAAAGGGGGATAGAAAAAAAAAAAAAAAAAATAATAATAAATTATATTACCGTTTTCTACTAAGGACACCTAGAAAGGAAAGGCAATCTTAATGTATTTTCATAATATAAAATACGTCTCACAAAATTATATTATAAACAACATAGTGTATCCACGTGTTTCCACATTTTAAGTATTTATGGAATTGCTCCTTTGGAAAACAAGTATATTTCCAAATTATAAAAGAAAAAAAAAAATCCCCTTTAAATTTTATATCTGCTCATTACACAAAATGTATTGCAGGCAAAAAGAACGCGTGTAAACCGCACGGTATCCTCGTACTATCTATTTCTATCAAATCCTCAAACTATTTTATGCCTATGTAATTTACATACTCCATTGCAAGCTACTTACTTGTGTGTGACGACTTAGGATCGTTTAGATAAGAGGTTCTTATTTAATGGTATTTCTAAATTGAATCACCTGCCCCCTACCCCCGTCACAAAATGTCGCAAATGCGCTAACATTAAGGCTATAACAAAAATAAATAAATAAATAAATAAATAAAACATAAACGAATAGACACATACACATGTTAACACATGTATAACATGATATACAACAAAAAAAAAAAAAAAATACGCCACGTTCAACACATACTATATACTTGTACCTGTGTACATACTAACGCATATATTCACACATCAAGAGAAAGAATATCCCACCCGCATACACCTATTATACACACAGCATTATGAACAAATAAATCTTTAGAAGTACACAAAAGTGAGTAGTAACAGATAAAGACCTACGCATGGTCACTATGTTACACACATTGCAAAAATACAAATAATTCCCGCATGTTAACACATAATACCATTGTAAGATCAGCAACAAAAAAAAAAAAAAAAAATGAAATAGCTGTCTTTTTTTGTTGTTAATAAAAAATTAATTAGTACAATTAGGTGTAAAAACAGAGCGTTTTTATTTTATTTTATTTTATTTTTTAATTGTAAACAAAAAACATTTTCCTTTCAACATTTCAGTCTCACTTTTTCCTTCCCTCCCTTTTAAACAAATAAAAAAAAATGAAATAAAAAAAAAATAATAAAGTGGTAAAATAATAATAATACAACAAGAACATAACAAGAACATAACAATAGCATAATAATAGCATAATAATAGCATAATAATAGCATAATAATAGCATAATAATAGCATAATAATAGCATAATAATAGCATAATAATAGCATAATAATAGCATAATAATAACATAATAATTGCATAACAATTGCATAATAATAGCATAACAATTGCATAACAATTGAATAATAATTGAATAATAATAAAAAAAAGCAAAAACACATGACTTACAATAAGACATGTAAAAAGTTCACTTAAAACTAAAAATTGGATTGTCATCATAATGTGTGCACGTGAATATACAACATGAACAAAAAAGATACTGATTTGAAATAATTCGCCCATGCGTATACATAGATGTATTATTCACGTGTACAAATGGACTTCAATAACTTGAAAAATATGAAATTTTTAAGAAAAGAAGCACACACAAACAGGTGCCTCCACATATGAACCTCCACAAATGTACCCCCATTCATATATAAATACACGCGTGTGTCCCGCTACATAGCCCTGTCTCACTTTTCTTCATAATCTGCTATACCTCCTTCTGTGATAGCAAAGACGGCTTCTCCCTCAGGCAACACAGGGGAATCGTAAATTTTGCAAATTCTGCTTTCAGCTCTTCCCTTTCGTAAATATAGACGAGTTTGGCTAGCATGTGCTATTATATTTCCCCCTATGGGTATTTTTTCATGACCACCAAACATACTCATTGCATCGACCTTTGCGACAACCTGATTGGTTATTATAACAGCAACGCCATAAATGTCTGCAATTCTTTGTAATCCTCTTAAGAATCTACACAAGTGAGACTGTCTACTAGCTAGCTCACCCCTACCTATGTACTCAGATCTATACAAAGCTGTTGCAGAATCTACAATTAACAAAGCAAATCTGGCATCAGCCATCATTGCACTTGCATCTATCAATAATTCTGTCTGGTGATCACAATTGTACGCTTTGGCATATGCTATATTATTTAAGCAATCTGTTGGATGTAAACCATACCTTTTCGCTATGGCTACAATACGTTCTGGACGAAAAGTTCCTTCTGTATCTATCCATAAACATTTTCCTTCACCACCAGATTGCTCGATTGGCAATTGGCACGTTATGGCTAAAGTGTGACATAGTTGACTTTTACCTGTACGAAATTCTCCAAATAATTCTGTAATTCCTCCAGTTTCTATTCCACCTTTTAGTAAAGCATCTAACTGTTTCGATCCAGTTGTAAATTTTATTAAATTTTGTCTGGCATCATGATAATCAATCGCATTACAAAAGCCGGAATTACATAATTCTTTACATGCTTTTTTTAATTTTTCAGCCTTTTGTTCACTTATTCCTTTTATAGCACATAATGTACGCATCGGTGCGTAAGCCACACATTCCACTGTTTGTAACCCACCTTCTTTCAGTAATTCCAAATCTCTTTTTACAAATCCCTTGGCTAGCAACTGTTCTATTTTTAGTGGCCCTGAATATAGCTGCTCTTCTTCAGTTTCATCTACAGTACTGTTATTCGAAGTCCTATGGGTTACATCTTCCTTAGTGTTTGCTGGTTTCATTGTTAGACATAACAGAAAAGTATGCCGTGTGTGAGAGGGGAATGGCGAAGGTAAGAAATAAGAATTAAAAAATAAAATAAATACTGTGTAAAGCTCTACTTGCGATTTGTATGCTAAAAAGTATTTTTACAGCTGCTTTAAATAAATAAGCAACCAACTATATGAACTGAAGAAAACAAGACCCCATATCATACATTTTCTTCACTTGGGATATTTTATATTTTATTTTTTTTTTTCTTCCTAAATGTAAATCTTATCCTTTTGCTCTATTCTATTTGTCATTCATCAACCATGTACCCTATTTTGTCATATTTGCAATGGGGATACAGGGAAGTTCACTTATATTAGTCAAAAACACATGTGCAGTTAAAAATGTTTAAAAAACAAACAAACAAACTTTAACTATAGGAATAAAATTAAAAAATAAAATAAAATAAAAAAAAAAAAACATACAGTCAAATTGAGTTTAATATTAGTAGTAGTAACATTTCAATATTGAAAAAAAGAAAAAAAAAAGAAAACAGTGATTAAAGGGATAAATAAAATAAAAATGAAAAATACTCAAAAAGCATACAAAATTGAAAAGCTAATTCTCAAATTTTTTTTTTTTTTTTTTTTTTTTTTTTTTGCAAAATGAATAAGAAGTTAAACACATTTTTAAGTAAAAAGATGAATGTGTAAGAACAATACTATATTTTTTACAAAAAATAATGAACAAATCATTTAAAATAAAAAAAAAAAAAAAAAAAAAAAAAAAAAAAAAAAAAAAAAAAAAAAAAAAAAAAAAAAAAAAAAAAAAAAAAAAAAAAAACATTACATATGGCTAGCACTGTTCAGGTAAAAAAATATGGAAAAGAAAAAAAAAAAAAAAAAACATCATATAATTTATTCTTTTTATTTTTCCTTTTTATTATTACTACTACACTTCCTTAAACGTAGAATAATATAAACGATGGGGTAAATGTACAAATCAGTGATGTGTAAAATGACTACTTTTTTAAAGGTATACTTTTGATCTCTTTTATGAACAAAGAGTTTTGTGCTCTATAAGCACACACATTTATTTATTGTATGAATTTTAAAGTGTGAGTGACTTTAGGAAATATACATAGTGATATAGCTTAAAGTTTGGAATACAATATGACTAAGTATACATGTACAAATGTAGAATGGCTTCTTTTTATCAACAAAAAAAAAGAAAAAAAAACACACATAGACAGAAAAGCAGACATGGAAGCACACACAGAAAAAAAAGAGGACATGCGGAAAAAAGGGAGGTAAAAGTGTATTAATTAACAAAAACTTCCACCTATTGAAGATTCTTTTATAAGTTCCTTTTCTGTAAGGATTTCAGGCTAAATTTGAAATAGCTCTCATTAACTGTATTCAGGGATAGGGGAGGGAAGAGAAATAAAAAAAACAAAAGTTAGCAATATTGATATGACTTGTAAACTTAAAAAAAAAAAAAAAAAAATTAAAATGAATCATTCATCATTTCGAAAAGATTAATATTGTGGAATATAAAATGTCTCAGATTAATTACTATTTGTATGTGCGCCTTCACGCGTGATATTTGTTTGTTCCAGTAGGTCACTTTGCTATATTAGGGAAAGAGAAGGTACGAACTGGTTATAAGGAAGACAAAATGACTCTGTGAAAATATAATTATTATTAAAAAATCTCATGTCCCTCTCTGAACTTGAAATTGTTCTTGGGGATACGGTATATAATGTAAATCCAAATGCACGTTAAAATATATGCCCACATGTCTACAGAGCAAACAATGCGTGGGAATGAGATATCTCTCTTTTTACTCTTGGTAAAGATTTATCTTCTTTTTCAGGAACATTATGGCATCCTCAAGGGGCATTTCCAAATAAAACTCATACCCTATTTGTATGAAAATTTTGTTCTTGTCTAATCTGTTAAAAGAAAGGGGCAAGATGTGTGGGCACGTGTTCCTGAAGTTCGTTATACATGTGAGCGGTTGCATTTACTAGGTCGTGCATATATAACTAGATAAATAGATAAATATATGTATGCATATGCATCAAAAAAGAAAAAAAAAAAAAAAAAAAAAAACTACAAACGTGGAATAATAATCGGTATTTTTCATCTTTTTCCGTTAATTACATGTCAGCATAAACATAACTGTCACAACCTAGCGAGGTAAGGGTCTCTATTTCTTTTTGGTCTTTAATGTTAATAAAAAGTTTAAGATTTTCAACAAGAATTTCCCTGAAGAAATAAACAGTAGCGTTGGTGTTAAAGAAAATGTGCTGTAGTTATTACCAATTTGAGCAAATGTATAAAAGTATTATGATACATTTTCATGTAGAAAAAAGATACTACGACACACACACATACACACACCTCTTCCCTTTAAATCGAAATAAACTTCAAAGTATATAATAAATAAAAGCTCAAACAAACAGAAATGGCGAAAGAAAGATAAAGGGATATATATATCCTCCTGCCGAAACGAAAAAAAAAATTTTTTTTTTTCTTTTTTTTAGTGTAGCTCACATGTCAAAAATATCCTGCAGAATTTCATCCCTCTTTTTTTGTCGTTCTCTAAGTTGCTCGTGTAGCACATCATCGATAAAACTCTCACTTTTCAGAATTAGTTTTCTGAACTCCTCCTTATTTTCCTCATCCATTGCAGCGCTTCCTAATTCTCCATACAAACTCATTTTTATCACATTTCACTATTATTTTTAAAAATAGAGTAAAAGATTAAATAATACACAAAATTAGGAGAACACAGGGGAGTGCACGAAGTTGTAAAAGGATAAGATGATTACGACTGAGAAATCTTACACTCCAATGAACCCTTTTTGTGCTACTTAAATTGAGTATCGTGTTTTCTTCCAATTCATCTACTTTGTTAAGGAGGCAAAAACATATGGTGTCATTTTTTCCTTATTAGGGAAATTTATAATTTTTTATATTGTTATATATGATCCTCCTTCCTATAGCTTATTACGTGTGTTCACACCTTTCTTTTTTTAAATTGAAAAATTTTGATTTTTTGCAAATATCGCTTCTTCCAGAAAAAAAGAGAACGTTGTTAAAAGTGTTGCTCGAATGTAACATTAAAAAAAAAAAAATAAAAAAAAAAAAAATAACATATATTCGGATAACTATTAAAGCAATTCTTTAGGATAATTTTCGCGCAATTTTCTCTATGCAGTATGTTAATAAGCACATAGATATACGCAGGAAGGAATGAAACTTTAAAAAAAAAAAAAAAAAAGAAAAACAAACAAAAATTTCACATCAAGTAGTGTTGCAAAACAAAATCTTACTTATGTCAATGTAAGAAAAAGCAAAGCTAAATGCATAAAAAAGAAAAAAAAAAAAAAAAATGTACATATTGTGTTAGTCTTATTTGGTTAATAATTAAAAAAGTTGGAAAAAGCAGAAATTTCAAATAAAAGTCTAAAGTGTATGAAAAACAAAAAAGAAAAATCTGCTTGTCTGCCATATTACATGATACAACAATAGGAGAGCCCAAAAGTCTACCTTTTTTAAAAAAAAAAAAAAAAAAAAAAAAATAGCAATGATGGGGAAATATGGCAAAATCTTAAAAGACAAGGTTAAGCCCTGAACCTTATGCTGTGCTACTACGCTTTAGTTAACAACCCACTCTAGTATGACAGAAATAAATTTAGCTAAATTTTCATCGGCCGTATTTACTGTTCGTATTTTTTTTTCAATGGCAAGGAGTCTTTTCTTGTAGGAAAAACAAGTTTTCCGTACATGGTCATACGGCTTCTTCGAGTTTGCAAGTGTGGTAATATTTTTTACTGCATTTTGAAATTTTAATAATTCTTGAAAACGATGTTTTTTTTCAAAACTGTGAACTTTTAGCATTCCTTCAAATATGTTACATTCTCTATTAACATTTATGAGTTTCGTCTGTTCATGTTCCGCCTGACTGGTCAGGTTGTCATATGTGTTTGTTAATTCGTTCAAATAATTAGCTAGAGATAATTTTTTATTTTTAATATCCTTTACATTTTTCTTTATGAATGAAATTTCGTGCTGTATTTTAAAGGAGACATTAACACCATTGTCATAATGTTTTTGAAAAACTTCCTTCTTGTTATCCAATTCATTTCTTTTGTTTAATGCCAATTTGATGTTAGCTAAGAGAACATTTTGCTGTTTTTTAACATTTTCTATAAGAGTATTTTTGGTTTGTATTTGCTTCTTTAAAAATAGAATATCCTTATTATCTGTGTACTGTTTAATAACGCCCTGTAATTTTTTTTGTTCAGAAAATTGATTTTCCAAAAGGAGTATTTTATTTTCATAGTTTACGAGATCTTGTTGATATTTCTCTTTTTCATTCTTCAAGTTAGTAATATCATTTTTTAAATTTTCTTTTTTATGTTTATATTCTTCACACTTTATGTTTTTTTTTTCATTTCTTCTTAATATGGCATCTTCAATTTTGTTAATTTCTGCCAAGGTATCTGTATTTTTGGAAGAAAATTTTTCAAGTTGTAAACGTATGTACATAATATTTTTATTTATTTTTTTAAGCACATTTTCTATAGTTTTAAAATTTTCTTGTAATTCACATTTTTTTTGACTCAGAATTAATCGCAAATCTTTCCCTCTTAACATTTCTTCACTGATTTTTTGATTTTCATTTTGTATTTTTATCATTTCTGATTGCTTCATGAACCAGTCTTTTTCTAATTCTCTGCTTTGTTTTAGTACGTCTATTATTTGTTTATTCAATTTTTGTATTTTCATATTTAATGTAACTGGCATACCATGATCATCACAATTTTTTCTTTTTTTTTTATCAAATTCTTCATTTAATCTGTCTACTTCTAATTGTTTGTTTTCAATTAAGTAATGATTTTTTTTTATGATATTACCATAATTAGAAAATTTTTCATTCTTTTCATTAAACTCTTCATTTAATTTTTTTACTTTTTTTTGGATATTTTCTATTTTAGTGCTTTCTAAAATTTGTTGTATTTTAATTCTGACAATTCCATTTTTGTAATTTTCAATTTCGTTTTCCTTTTTTGTTATATTTTCCTTAACAATGCCTAGGTCATTTTTCAGTTTTGAAGAAAAATGACTTACTTTAATTTCTTCCGTGTACAAATTAATAATTTTCTCAATATTTTTGTTAATATCATTTTTTACAATTTTTATTTTGTTTCCTCTATTTTGCATGTCTTTATTCAATTTCGCTATTTCTTCTTTCATTTCTGCACATTTTTCTCTTTCATTTTGTATTTCTACTTTCGCCTTTGCATTTTCCTCTATAATTTTATCAATTTTTTTTTCTAAATTTTCTTTCCCCTTTTGAACTCGTTTAGACTCTTTTTCTAACGCATCAAGCTCTATTTGCAATTTTTCTTTTTTATCTTTTTCTGCCATATGTTCCTTGGTTAAAACGTCTTTTTCTATTTCCAAATCATGTATAATAGATTTTAGCTCATTCAATTTTATGTTCATTAAATCAATTGCTTCATCCCTTTGTTTCATTTTATTTATCGATTCGTTCAACTCTTTCATCAAATTGTTTTTCCCATTTTTTAAATTTCCATACTCATCCTTTTCATCTCTTATTAGCCTTTCCAAATTGGAAGATTCCATTTTTTCGTTCTCCTCAATTTCCTTTTTTGTGTTAATGTCGTTTTGTATTTTGTTTATCTCGTGGTTCATTTTGCTTATGATGCTTTGTTTTTTGTTGATTTCAGATCCTACAAGAAATGATGATGAACTGTCATTAAGGGAATCCACTTTTGAGTGAATATCATCTCTGTTCCTCCAGTTTGCATTGCTTCTCACGTTTGTATCTGGAACGATTGGAGAACCAGTCTCAGATTCTTCCTGTGTGAACTCCTTCCCTCCCAATTTGCCCAAACCAGAGGAGAACATGTTTTCACTAATCTTCGAATTTGCATTAACCAAATCGAAATATTTTTTCAAGTTGTTGAATTCTAGGAGACTATTATTAAATTTGTTGAAGATTTCGGTTTGGTAATTTAGCTCCTTCTTCAAGCTCATCATTTGGTTTTTGTAATTTTTCTTCAACTCTACATTCTCACATAGCTGTTTATCCTTTCTACATTTAATATTTTTTATAGACATGCTTAATTCATGTTTTTTTTTGTTCAAAAATTCATTTTCTTTATTTATTCGAAAGAGTTCTACTCCTGCATTTTTAACATCTTCTTCTAGTTTACTTTTTTCATACTGTCTGACCCGTAATTTTTCTTCTAAAATTTTTTTTTTTTTTTTTAGCTGATCATGCAAAATACCTTTCAAGTTATCCATTTTCTCATCTCGCTTATTATTATTCGCAATTATATCAGCAGTTATCCCTCTTCCAGTATTTTTTCTGATTGGAACCTTCTTTTCTTTATATTTAGTTTCAGCGCATATACTACTTTCCATATGAGAAGATCTACCACCTGATTCATTTTCATGCTTCTCAAGAGTATTTTTCCCCATAACACTTTCTTCATCTGTGTGTTCTCTCTCTGTCTCACATTTAATCACATCAATAGATGTATTAACTGTCATATAGTCTGTTCTTTCATAATCATTTTCGTCACGTCCTTCATCCGTAGAATGATCCACATGAGTTCTACAGCCACCTGCCATTTCCTCAACCCCAGAATCTTCTTTTTTTCCTCTCCTAGAGCACATATTCACATGCGCACTTCCAATAATGGATTCATCTTCCTTATTCTCCCCTGAGCTTATTACTGTTTCGTTTATCCCAAATGATCCAAAATTAGAGGATGCCTCTTCCACACATGTGTCACTTATGGTTTTCGATATATCTCCAACTTTTTTAGTAGCAACTTCTTCAGTCGCAACTTCTGCAGTTGCAACTTCTTTATCATCACTGAGGCGATTCACGCATTTGTCAAGTGTGGAATGTGTGCTGGAGTAAATTCCAACTGTGTTGGACTCAAAAGAGGTATCAAGACTACACTTATTATTTTCATTTCTAATAGATTTATTTTCTCCAACAATATTATTTTCGTCATTCTTATAATTTTTTTTTTTTCTTTGTGTTTTCTTCATTCTTCATCTACAGGAAACACAATGGTTCTTATAAACCATATTTTACACCTTCAACCTTTTACTGATAAAAAAAATATTCCAAAAAATAAATTCCCGAAAACACAGTCGAATAAGAAAAAAAAAAAAAATAAATAATAATAATTCTTAACTTAATGTATCCTCTTAACCTTTTTTTTTTTTTTTTTTTTTTTTTTTTTTTTCCTTTTACACTTCCTATATCTGTAATCTTATTACTTATGATCATTTACACACATCAACTGTCTTTCTAACAATTTTATCGTAACAACAAAATTCGCATTATTCCTTTTTTTTTTTTTTTTTTTAAACAAATTTAAAAAAAAATTGCTCATTTTCTATATATGAAGTAAATTTGCCTATTTCATCATTGGCGCATTTAAATTCGCAAAAAGTTAGACAAAAAAAAAAAAAAAAAAAAAAAAAAAAAAAAAAAAAAAGAAGCGAATTTGTGGATATCCACTACAATGAATTAGGAATTTTTTTCTCCATTTTTCAAATTTAGGTGAATTATTAAAATATTTTAAAAAAAAAAAAAAAAAAAAAAAAAAAAGTAAATAAAAAGAGATAATGAACTGTATTTGAGATTGAACAAAAAGAAGGATGGTTAGTAAACCCTGCTAAAATGAACCCTAATAAACCATTTTTAACGAAAACAAAATGCCATCTTGGGCTTCTCATAAAATTCATTAAAATGGTATTTTTTCAAGTATCTCCACAAAATCCCCCTCCTCCTCTCCCTTTTTATTCTTTTTTTCGACCTTAATAAACTTCTTCGACTTTAATGTAAAAATATAACGTTAGAAAAATCATTTACGAGTAGCAAAAGCTTTACGATCAATTTTATATGGAAATTGGGGGTGGGGGGTTAGGTAGGTAGGTAATTCGTTCCTATTTTTCATATCAAGCAAATAATTCTATTTATTATTGGACACCAATATGTGAGAGGAACTTATATCATTTTGGCAACTTTTTTCCCCCTCTCCCTCCAACTATGTGTGGTTTTCCTCATTCATTACACAATTGGAAATTATCCCATAGACATATGGAAACGTATAATGCATCCTTATTCACATGTGAAGGTACATATGTATAAGATTGTTGAAAAATAAAATAATTGCTAACAAGGATGGGCAACCTTTCACATTCCTCTTCTCATGATTGAATGTTCTGTTGTAGCACACAATGAGGACGTGGAAAAAAAAAAAAAAAAAAAAAAAAAAAAAAAAAAAACATGCAAAATTACTTAGCAAAAGTTGAAATTATTATTTGTAGTAGCCCCGGATTTGTGTCCATAATGGGGAAGGCGGCATAAGTGAAAGATTGAAAAGGGAAAAATAATAGAGAAAAAAAAGGAAATAGAATAGAGAAAATAAAAGAAAATACTTCATTCACCTTCACCCATGCATGTCGATTGGATGGGTAGCCTAAAAAAAAAAATCTATGCATAAAATGTATATTCAAAAAAATGGAATTCTTTTAACAGGTGAATTGGGAGGCAAATATATTAATTATATTCTACATACAACTCTCCTTTGAAAGGATTCAAAATTTTCCCCTTTTTTTTTTATTTTTTCTTTAATTCACAAAATTTGAGCTATCCCCCACCGACATCACATATATAAAAAATGTTGCATATTCCATATGTACATAGTACATGGCATTTATTTTCTCATCCCCAAGGAATAAAAAAAAAAAAAAAAAAAAATGTTATAATATAGTTACGTCTTCCTTTGTTCACAAAAAATAAATAATAAGTTGTTAAGTAGCCTTTTTTTTTTATGGTCATTAAAAAAAAATACTCATAGCAAAACTGTATACATATTTTTATACAGAATTAGAAGAGAATGAGGGGAAGGTTTGGAACAGTTAAAACAAAATAATACATAACATATGTAACCGAGAATGTATATTCAAAAGATTTTAACTATATATAAAAAAAAAAAAAAAAAAAAAAAAAATCAAAAGATTGTTCCCTTCATCCCATCTAGGATAAATATTCTTAAATTGTAGGTTTTTTTTAAAAAAGTTTCCAAGTGTATAAAATTTAGAGTTCATCAAAACAAGCCCCGTTCTTTTCAGTTGCCAGAAATAATTTTGCACGTTATCTTATATTTTCATATCGTATAGTTTAAATTTACCATTCCCTTTTAAATTTTTCTTTTTTTTTAAATTTTCACTCCCATTCGCTTATAAATTTTCACTCCCATTCGCTTATAAATTTTCACTCCCATTCGCTTATAAATTTTCACTCTCGTTCTCTTAAAAATTTTCACTCTCGTTCTCTTAAAAATTTTCACTCTCGTTCTCTTAAAAATTTTCACTCTCGTTCTCTTAAAAATTTTTTCTTTTTTTTAAATTTTTTTTTTCGTTTCCATTTTCCAGCCCTTTTTTCCACCTTTATTCCATAAATGAGCCCCAAAAAGTTGACAGCCCTTTTTCTTCACTAAGTAAAGAACGAAGAAAAGGAGTTTTCTACCATTTTCTTCGCACGGGAGAGAAATAAATTTACCATTTTGAAGGTTCACTCACAGGTGGATAATTACACCTCTGTATAATATAGCATATCCAGGAGAGGTAAAAAAAAAAAAAAAAAAAGTGCTTTCAGAATGAGAATGCATACAAACATATATTCATGTCAGTATTGGTAGAATAAATTATCTGTATAAAAAAAGAAGCCACAAAAAGCCCTAAATCAGGTGTAACTCAGAAAAATCCCCAAATCGGGTGTCACTCAAAACAACAAGGAAGCAATATAAACCTAATCCCAACAGACATAATGCATATCCACAAGCTGAGGAAAAAAATAAAAAAGAAAAAAGAGGGGAAATATCTCACGAAAAAGTACATATTGAAAAAGCTCTACTTGAAGGAAAAAGAATTTCGAAAGTTATGCATATTCAAAGGAATATATCCAAAAGATTTTAAAGAAATTCCATTAAAATATAGAAAAAAGTTTTACAAACATAAAGTATACTATTCAAAGAATGATTATAAAAGTTTATCGCATGAAAAAATTATCCAAGATTTTCGAAAAATAACAACATGCTTGAAAAAATATAAAAAATATAAAATAGCATTAGAAGATGAAGAAAAATGTAAAAAAATAATAAAAAATTTTCCTACCTACTCATTGGATCACATAATTAAAGAAAGATTTCCCATATTTTCTTATGCAATAGAACAGTTAGATGATGCACTAAGTTCAGTAATTGCTTACTCATTGTTACCATCAGATGAAACATTTGGAATTAAGAATAATTTTGTAAAAAATTGCCAAATGCTAAAAAATCAGTTTCACTATTATATTTACAAAACCAGTAAAATAAAAAAAGGTTTTATAAGTGTAAAGGGATATTATTTACAAGCACAAATATTGCAAAAGAAAGTTACTTGGCTTATCCCTCATGTTTTTACACCATATTTAGATAAATCTATAGACTTCTCCATCATAACAACTTTTATTGAATACTACATTTCTTTTTTAAAATTTGTATTATTCAAGTTGTACAAAATGGACAATATGACCTATCCCCCTGAACAAAATGAAAAATTAAAAAATGAAAAATTAAATCATCTTTCCTATGATGAATATTTCATTTCTTTTTGTAAATCCAAGCTGGTATCAGAAGATGACCAGCTTCAGATTGAAAAAACAAATAATGAGAAGAATAGCAATGGTGGAATGGACCATACCAATGTCAGCTTGATTGCACAAGCGGTAGGAGAATTAACTCAAGAGAATAATCGAGTCATGAGAAAAAAACAAATCAAACATCATTTGGAAAATCTGGAGAATCTATCTACTAAAGAACAAGAATCAAGTGAACAAAGGACAGAAGAACAAGTAAACCATAACATAAACAATGAACATGATAATTTGAAGGAACTATTCACAAATCAAGTATATTACATCCACACCGATATGCCATTTGACATATTGTCAATTATCATTCTTTCATGTGGAGGTTCCATAGCTTGGAATTCCCCTTATTCTCCATATACACTGGATGATGAAAAAATTACACATGAAATTTTAGAATCACGTGAAGTTTTAGAATCACATGAAGGGCAAGAAGGTATTACACAAGTCATTAAACAAAATTATCAAAGGATGTATATACAACCACAATACATATTTGATTGTTTGAATCGAAAAAAAATACTCCCATGTAGTGATTACTCCACGGATGTTAAGAAATTGCCTGTACATTTATCTCCATTTATTGAAGATGACAATTTTAAAAATTTTGTAAAAAAAGAGGAATATACAATAAATAAAATTTTGAACCAAGACGCGGAAATTTACAATAATGGTAATAATGCTTCTCCTAATGCAGCAACTAATTATGACCATGCTGAACGAACAAATAATGATAACGAACTTTTAAAATCAGATGATGAGATTAATAATGTAAACCTACAGAAATTTAGAAATGCTTGTTTAAATAATCAAATGGAGTTAGAAAATGAAGATAATTACATGCCCAAAATGCTGAACTCCACAAACGGTTCGCAAAATGATAACAGAATCAGCCAATTAGATGAAACCAGGCAAAACGTACACAGGCAAAAAATGGCTTTGAGTAAAAAAAAAAGAAAATTGTATGCAAGAATAGAACGATCGGAAAAAAAACAAAAAGCCACAATTGAAAAGTTTATTAATAAGGCCAAGTGGAAAAAGCAAAAGGCCAAAAAATAGGCGAAGCGTGTTATACATATATGTATGATCATGTTCCTGTGTGAGGTTGAAAAAAAAAAAAAAAAAAAAAAAAAAATCCCTTTTGCGTCTTCAGTTCCACTGCTTCCCTTGATGAGACATAATTCTGGTGCGGGAATATTACACATTCTGTGCGTTACAATTTTGCTTGTGTTGATCTTGATTCTGTACTATGATTTTATATGGGCATCATGTTTATTGCTGAAAATGTAACCCATCCGTATGACATTCTTATAAAATGGGAAGAAGAGGCTGCTACCATCATGTAAAAATTAACACGTATCATATAGGATATAAAAAAAAAAAAAATATACCAAAACGGGGTAAAAAAAGGCAAGTGCAGAAAACATGTATCCTTTTTAAGTACATATTTTTTTTTTTTTTCCCAGCCTCCATAATCCATAAATCATGTTTTTACACATTCTTTTTGCATTACTTTTTTTTTCGAAAAAGAAAAAAAAAAAAAAAAAAAAATTTATTTCTTATTTTTAATAGTACATATGTGCTTAATATCGTGATGACTTATATTTGAGTTGTTCTAACAAAAAATATTTAATAAAAACACACTTGCAAAAGGAGCGAGATTTCACGAATTGAAAAAAAGGAAAAAGAAAAAATGTTTGCACATATGAGCATGCATATATATATATATATACATATACACGCTTAATACTACACGTATGTAATAAATATATGTGACATATTATACCCAAAGTGAAAACGCAAAAAAAAGAAAAAAAATAAAATAACATGTTTAGTCTATATAGAAACACAATCGTGATGGAGACAAAAATATACTTTTTAAAAAGCTGGCAAAAAAAAAAAAAAAAAAAGAGAATTCCCATTTTGGGCTTCAAATATGGGAGATAAAAAAATGTACACAAAATTTTATTGTTGTGTGTTTTTGTATTTTCTCTTTCTTCCCCTTCATCCTTTTTTCTCTTATTCTTATTTTTAAAAATGGGAATAAAATCGAAAAGACACACACACGGACGCAAATTATTAACGCGTATAGTTTGAAATTAAAAAAGAAGTTTTAGAAAAACATGTGCATATAAGCTTTATGGCCGTACACACACATGCACAAAAAAAGCGGAGGGGCGGGTGGGGGAAAAATAAATAAAATAAATAAAATAAAATAAAATAAAATAAATAAAATAAAATAAATAAAATAAAATAAATAAAATAAAGTAAACCCAAAACGCAAAAAATATAACCACAACATAAGCATAAAACATGCGTAATGCAAAAATGAACAACTGTAATTATTATGGAAAATGTCTACCCACCTAGCGATGGAGAGGTAGTAAAACAAGAAAAATAAAATAAAATAAAAAAATAAAATCCGAGCATATGGTTCAATTAAAAAAAAATAAAGTCTGCGCATATGTTCGATTAAAAGAAATAAAGTCCGAGCATATAATTGATTAAAAATAAAAAAACAAGCTACATATACAAGTGCAAAAGCATCCCCAAATGGGGATGGTTGCCCGATGAAATTTCATCCACATTTTTTTCAGGTTTAATATATATTTAACCTCCACACACATACACACCCTTAACACAGTTAATTCGAATGTTATGTGTGTGTGTGTCTCTCTCTCTTTCCCTCTATATATCTCTCTTTCTTTCTCTCTCTCTCTCTCTCTCTCTCTCTATCATCATCATCATCATCATAATCTTACTTCACCACCACTACCCACCTTTAGGAGGAAATTTTCTGATCATCTGTCACGGCTTCCAAAAAATTACTTACAGTATGGGAATCGATCGTTGGAAAGCGCAAATTTCTTATGTACTTATTCGATATCCCTATAGAGTTCGACAGTATCTTCGAAGAGTTCAAAGGTTGCTTGTTGTCCATTGTATTTCCATAAGAATTCAAGAATGAATTCGATGAAGAGCTATTGTTATTGTTTGTATGCTTTCTGTTGCTATTGCTTCCGGCACTAACATTATTTCCATCGCTGACATTGTTACTAGTATTGTCCCCCTCGTCCTCTCCAACATTCAGACTGGATCGAAGTAAATCCATGGAATTAAAATCATCATTATCATTCTTCGAACATTCGATAAAGAAATTTAGATTGTCTTCTACGTCTATATCTTCATCCCCACTGACACTCATATTGTTATTATTATCATTGTTATTATTAGCACTGATATTATTAGCATTGTTATTACTAGCACTGTTATTAATAGTACTGTTATTATTAACATTGTGCATATTCATCTTATTCATTTTTTTGGTACTGCTAGTAGTACCTGTAAAAATATGGGAATCATTCAATTCGTTGATATCATTTAAATCGCTAGAAATATCTGCTGTATTAATTTTACTACTAATCAAACGGTCATCTTCATTATCATTTGAATATAATACACTACTTTCTTCCTTCATTTTATTATCCTTTCCATAAGTTAGGGAATCATCACTATTTGAATTAACACAATGATTCATATTATTATTATTACTCTTTGAAATATTTTTAACACCATTCTTAACTAAGCTGCTACTTCCAACAATATGATGACTTGTCTTTTTTTTCCCTTTTTTAACATCAGAATATTTTAAATCAGTATGATGCTTATATTCCTTTTCCCATTCAGTTCTTTTCAGTATAGATAATTTTCTTGCTTCATTATACCCATATTTACTTACACTAAAACTTGTAAACAGTCTTTTATTATTTGCTATTTGAAAATATGCATTCCATTTTCCAACTCCTCTAGGAGATTTTGAGAAATATACTCCTTTTACTTTATCATCATTTGGATTTACACCTACAGGCATTTCATACTTTAATTTCCCAATTCCATAATTACTTGAAGAAACTGATGTTGCGATAGTTGATGAATTCTTTAAATTTTTTATATTCTTATTATTACTATTATTTGTATTGTTAATTTCGGAACCTTTTCCATTATCATTCTTGTTATGTTTATTATACATGCCCATACCAGCTCCTCCTCCACTTGAAGTAGCAGATACATCCGATGAAGTTCCACTTCCAGCAGTTCCAGAACCAATAGCACCAATAGTGCCAATAGCACTGTTACCACCACCTATACTATTTTCCATTTTACCATTATTCAATACCAATTCATTGCTATTATCATGATTACTTAGGGATAAATCAGATTCGTTAGCATGCATCTTAGAATTGTAATCAACACTGAAATCATAACTATTCTTTTTCTGTACACCATGTGATATTATACTGCTCGACCCAGCAGTACTTCTAATATTATATCCCACCTTCATATTCATTGAACCCGTGTTGTTGTTCTTTCCTTCATTGCTGTTTCCTCCATGATTTCCATGCTGGTTTTTATTATCATTCCTATTATTTCTACACATGCTGTTCATTAGTAAACTGTTCGAGTGCTGTGACGAATTGTCCAAAAATGCATTGGATTTATTATTCGTGTTCATAATAAAATCATACAAAGTGCTCGGGTCTATATGGTGATACACGTGTGATGGTTGATGGAAAGGAAAATGACGATGCTGGTGGTGGTGCACATCGCGCTCACGGTCATTTGAAATTCTGTTGGACGATGCTGAAGCACCAGTTATAGTGCCAGAAGAAGTACCAACAACTCCTGCTGTCTTTTTGTTAAAATTCTCCTGTGATAAATTCAAAATATCTTTGTAATTTTTTATATTATTCATAAGATTGTTTTTGTTAGAAACACCTTTTCTCGTGTTCATGTAAGAGTTGTTATTATCATCCAAAGAATAATCGTTCGAATCTTTCTTCATAAAATCCAACATTCCAATAATATTGTTATTATATTCTGTTCCATTTCCACTGATGTGATTATTATTGTTACTATTTATAATATTATTAGTGCCATTATTGTTAGCCCCTGTACCGCTACTACTACTACAAGTACTTCCAGTCTTCTTATTTTCTAGCAAATTGTACTTCAACTTTTTAAGAATGTTTGTGTTGCATAAAAGATAGTTTATATCGTTTCCTTCCATAATTACTCCTGATCCTCCATTTGAGTTCATCAAAACGTGGTTTTTCACATTCGTATCAGCATTATTACCATTCACACTGTTTCCAATGTTTGCAATATTCACAATAGCACTAACTGAATTTCCCAATCCAGCAGATGTATTGTTGACTGAAATTCCATTCAGATTACTACTTCCTCCTACTACACTACCTTTAACCGAATGATGGTGATTGTTAAGATGATATGCAGCAGTATTATCTCTTAATTTTCTCTTCCTCATTACATTTTGAATATTACTTGATAAATAATTCATGTTGTTATTATCACAACTATTAGGAACCACTCCTTTGTTATTCTCTCGATCATATTTCACAAAATAATCCTTTTCATCATAATTCTCTTCATCATTCAATTTTATCTCTTGAAGCAGTTTATTCATATCACCATTGCTACTCAAGTCTATGTTCGACTTACCTTCAAAATAATTTTTCTCGTCCTTTGAGTCACTGTCTTGGTTGCTGGGGGCGTTTGCACCTTTGCCCTAACATAGTGAATGGAGGGGAACGGGATAATGTAAAATTGGCACGGAAACGGTGCAATAAGAAGCAAAACAGTATAGCGGTGAAAAAAAAAATGGAAACTGCATGCAACAAAATGGACAACAAATAGATGGGGCGCGCACTCACCTCATGCCCTCCGGTATTGCACAAATGCGTGTAAAGGTAACGCAAGAAACACAAATCGCTAGAACTAAAATCGGTGTCCTTTAATTTGGTCTTTCCAGTAGTACCCTGACCCTTGCGCATATTTGCACACTCAGAAATAAAGGATTTGAAATGCAAATATGCATTGGTATTAAAACTACTAACATCCTGAATGCTCGATTGATGACATGTGGTGTACATATTTTCACTATCCTTGGAATTAAGTTTGCATAAATTTTTATATTTCTCTACTACTTTTTCTGCCTCTTGAATGTAGTTGTTGCTATAATCATTATATGAATGGTAATCAATGCTTACGTTTAATTTATTTAAAATATTTTCATCTGAATAACTACATTTTTTCTTACATAAATTGGACGAACCACTGTAATTACTGCTATAATTTAAAGCGTTATTATTATTTCCATTTAATCCAAGCACATTCCCATTGTAACTGTTGTTCTGATGATTCCTTTTATTATTGCAAATAGCGCTTCTATCACTACTACTACTGCCACTTCCAATACAACAATTATGGTGCATATGACCACTGTGACACGCAACATTAGTACAAGACAAATGGTTATTTCCATGTAAACTGTAACCATGATTTATAAAATTCTCACCTCCTCCTGGTCTAAGTCCAATTCCAGCTATGTCTACTCCGCCTTCACAATTGCTTGCCATGGGGCACTGATTCTTTCCATTAGACATTTGAACTTCTTTTCCTTTTTTCAAATCCATAAAAGTATTTGAATCATTGCACATGTGATGATTTCCATTACTCATAGGATTGTACTGTACACAGCTGTATAAAGATAATACACTCGGTTCCCCATCCCCTGCATGCACAACAGACGATAAGACGTTAGCATTGTTATTTCCATGATAGGTACTACTAAAATATGGATTTTTCAAAGACAAATCATAAATTTCTTCAACTATCTCTTTAGATAAATTACCTTGTACTTCTTCTATAATATCTTTTACAATTTCATTTTTATTATTTTTATTATACGTTGTTGTGGATGAGCTCATTAAAGATGTGTTTTCATTTGGCTTCTTCTTTTCTTCTCCCTTAGATTGCATACTTTTTAATTTTCTTATTATTTCTAATTCATCAATACATTCAATGATCGAATCAAGAAAAATATTTTTTGATGCAAATATTTTTATATTCGAAAAGCAACACATATAGAGATCCAAATTATTCGACTCTACATTATTTAAGAGATTTACAAAATGATATTCAAATGATTTATTCTGTTCACTCCAAATAGAAGTTAAACGTTTCAAAATACGTAAATAACTCAGACAAATAATTTTTGATTTTCTAATACATTCATTCTTCATAAAAGATTCATTATTCCTCATTTCACAACCATCAAATGGAACACTGTTATTACTTTCACCATTTCCATGAGTAGTAGTAGTACTACTACTACTACCACTTCTACTACTTTGGCAACTATGTCTACCACCATGAGGAGTGGAGGCATTAGGACATCCAAGACTCTTGTTATTGCACGAATTAGATTCATCATTATTAATGGTCTTATTTAAAACGTTCTGAGAAATGCAACCATTACTTGTACTTTGATGATTCATATAAGTGACACATGTTATATTCCTTAGATCATTACCATGTGCATCATGAAAAAAAGGCTCGTTTATTACTGCACCTTCACATTTCGCTCCAATTCCCATATATGGTGTACTATCCACACCCACCTCTAATGAATTCACATTAGCTATTGGAGCATATATATTATTAATCATATTTTTCTTGTCTTCCGTATACATTTTGCCTACATTATTATTTATTCTATTATTCTCTTTAATGGTATGTAAAATGTTTATTGAAACATGTGATTTGTTATGATTCATGGATGATGCTTCCTCAATCTCATTACCATTATCTGTCATCATATCCTTAATTAACGAATTCTTAGAATGTTCACTATTTTTCTCTTTACACTCTTCATTACTTATATTCATTTTTGCATTTAATTTTCCATCCACGTAATTTTCCGTTTCATTAAATTCATTAAAAGAAGAATTTTCGGATTTCATTTCTTCCTTCTTGTTGTACAAACAAATGTCATTATTTCCATTAAATGTTTCTTTCGACTCTTCATTTTCACGCATATTCTTATCATCTACGTGGGCATCTCTACCATCTGTGTTTGAATTTGTCTTACAAACCTCTGATTTATTTTCGTTATATTCAGACATCTTATCATTATTATGACTTTTTTGTTTGTCCATTTCTGCAAAGTCCACTTGTGTAGCCCCCACTTGTGAATCATTCGATTGTTCATCCTCCTCATCCTCATTCTCTTCACATTCGACAAACTTGATAAGCTCATCATCTTGGACAGCATCAGCACTTTCCACTTTTTCAACAATCTCACTTTTACAATTTTGAAAAAATCCATTTCTCCCCATATCATTCTCGTTATCATGCTCATTACCATTCTGCGAGCTACGTACCGCTTCTAATGCTTCACTGCTGCAACAATTCTGCCTCTTCTCATTTAATCCTGATTTTACAACACCTGAATCAAACTTTAGAATCGATTCTTCGCTCTGTTCACCATCATTATTGTATTTATTTTTATTTCTACTTCTATCCTTTCTCCAAACTGATTCTTGCTCGTTTTCATTTTCATCTGCATTCTCATTTTCGCTAATATGTTTTGCCAATTCTTCTTCATCGTGTGATATCAATGTAGCTGATTTGGCAATGTGGTTAAAAGAACCTTCAACATTTACACTTTCCATACTTCCAATGTTTATTTGATGTGGTGTGGTTGTTCTACTAATTGGATATGTTTGTGTCGAATGTTCACCATAATTCATATAATTATCTATTTTTATTAACGAGTCTTCATTATACAAATTCTGTACTTTTTCATCTTCACCATTTTCATCTTCCATCTTCGCACACATGGTATATTCTTTACTTTTTTCAGATATTTCATTTGTTTCCTGCTTATTCATGATTGAACTATTTCTCAAGGGAAGCATTGGTAAGGAGGGAAGTTTTTGTTATAGAACAAACAAGAAATAAAATAGACACAAATACAGGAATGACAAGAAAATAAATAAAAAAAAAAAAAATAAAATATATATATGATAAATAATCAAATATATTTAGATGCACTAAAAAGATAAAAAAAAAAAAAAAAATTCGAACAAAAAATGGATAAAAAAACAAAACATAAAAATACAAATAAATTGTTTGGAAGGAGGCAAATAAAAAAAAACTCCTGATTTATGTAAAATTTTCAAAAAAAAATATTTTAACTTAAAAAATGAAGTTGATATAAAATTTAAAACAAAATAATATTAGATGTGTATTCTCCTTTCCTCAAAAGTGTAATATGCATGCAATTATTTTGTGAAGTATATTTGTTTATCTTAAAATATGGATTTTCTTCTGCGAGCATTATTAATTTTGTTATTTATTTTGTTATTTATTTTGTTATTAATTTTAATTGTTTTTTTTTTTCTCTCACTCACTCTCTTAATGTGCAAATATGCATAAAATATATATATATATATATATATATATATTGTGTACATATATTCACGACGGATAGGTTCTAAAATATATAAACACACAAACACAACGTTCACTATAGGAACATGCACTATTAGGAATGAACGTACATGCGTTCAAATATGAAATGTTCTTATTCAATTTCAATAAAGATAAGCATATGTCTTAAAAAATGTGAGGGAAAGTAATACACAAAATGAAGTATGCTCTTAATTATTGCAATGTATATCTTGTGCCTTTGTACTATTTAAAATTACAAAGGAAAAAAAAAAAAAAAAAATTGCAAATTCAAAAATGAGAAAATTAGGATAATTAAACAAAATGGAAAAATTATACGAAATGGAAAAATTAAACGAAATGGAAAAATTAAACGAAATGGAAAAATTAAACGAAATGGAAAAATTAAACGAAATGACAAAATTAAATGAAATGACAAAATTAAACAAAATGACAAAATTAAACGAAATGACAAAATTAAACAAAATGGCAAAATTAAACAAAATGGAAAAATTAAACAAAATAGAAAAATTAAACAAAATGGAAAAATTACAATGATTAGGAAAAATAGGATATTAAACAAAAGAAAAGATAAACGACGCGATGATTAAACAAGGAATAAATTAAACAGGAAAAATTAAGGATTTCAAATTAAACAAGGTATATTATGACAGTCAAATTATGGAAGTCAAATTAAGTAGGTCAAATTAAGTCAAATTAAACATGGAATAAATAAACAACTATAACGTAAACAAACTACTAGGGACATGTAAATATACGTGTACGTAATTATACATACAACCAACAAAACATACTATTGATCTTGTTTCTTGTTGTGAATATCTATGAACGGGATATGCTACTTAAATGCCGCATGTCTAAACGGTCGTCTTAGGATTCTCATATATTCTGTTCTCACAAACATGCACAAACGTATATTTAAATACATAAATGCTCATGCACAAGCATATGTATGCACAATCAAACTCATATAATTTTGTGTACTGTTCCACAGATACCTATCTTGTATGAATTATGAACGCGGGAGGGGATACTCACACGTATAGGTTAATTTCATAAAGTTCAACCTTTTTCTTAAACTCTATGACACACCTATAAATGCACGGCACATGTATACAAAAAATACACATAACTCGATAAATCTTTTACGTGACACTGAACTTAACTGTTCATGATACGGATTTTTTTATTTTATTTTTTTTATGTAGCATATATCCTTAAGGGGTAATGCAATGAAGTGTGAAAAAAAAAAAAAACAAAAAACAAAAATACGAATATGAATAGGAATCGGGACACAGAACAGCCTGGAACGTCTCGTTCTAATATATATATATATATGCTTATAATAAATGGTTCAAAAACGTTTAGAAATTCGAGTAATTTTTCAACACTCAAGCAGGCTTGATTTTATAGCTTCTTTACTATTTCAAAGGGTGCAAAAAAAAGAAAAAAAATAAATAAATTATGTATTTTTCCGTATAAGCGTATATATTGTGTTACAAGACTTATTTCTGCATGTGTGTGTATGTATGTATAATACTATTTACACCATACACCCTGTGTCGTGCTATGCATTACGTACTGTGTCAGAACACTCATACGCAACATTAAGGCGATACACAAACAAAAATAATTCTTAATTTCTAAATGTATTCACAAAACATAAAAAAAGGGATAGAAAAATGATGTAACAAAAAGGGGCAAAAAAAAGGGGCAAAAAAAAAAAGGGGGCAAAAAAAAAAAGAGGCAAAAAAAAAAAGAGGCAAAAAAAAAAAGGGGGCAAAAAAAAAAAGGGGTAAAAAAAAAAGGGGTAAAAAAAAAGGGGTAAAAAAAAGGGATAAAATTTTTTTTTTTTTTTTACTTTTTTTATATACTATTATATGCCATGAAAAAAAAAATTTTTTTTTCCTCGCATGTAATAAATTTTCATTAAGTTTTTAAAAATGTATGCTTTTAATTTATGTGTGTTTATTGTTATCCTCTATATCTATATGCGCATAAGGTGCTCAGTATTTACATAATGTAGTATTTCTTATATACCTATATAAATGTAAGCCACTTCCATATGTATATATACATATATATGCATACAAAAATAATACCACGGATACAACTTCAATAACAAACAAACTCTACGAGGCCCTAAAAAGGCACGTAAATACGTATATTTTTAAACCTTCTCTTTTTATTTATACAAACTTATCTTTTACTTAAAAAAAAAAGGGGAAAAGAATACTTCAAACATTGGGTAAATATAGAATTATGTTATTTCTCATATATACATATGAAAAATATATATATATATATATATATTAATGCATACATATAAATGTAAATGTTATATATAGATATACTGTATATATTTACAACTCATATATACATATATACTTTTAAAACAATTAAAAAATCATAAGTATAAAAAAAAAAAAAAAAGAAAAAAAAGTATATCTTTTTTAAAGTAAAAAAAAGTATAACAAAAAAAAAAAAAATAAAATAAAATAATAAAATATTTTGAAGTGTATGTTTCAGCTCATGTCATAAAATGGTAAATAAGAAAATTATATATTTGCATGTATTATAAATACATGTAATATATATACATATTTATGTAAATCTGAATACATGTATTTTTACATATATATATATATATATATATAGATACTTACGAGTATTCCCATCACGGAAATAAAATGATATAAATACGGGGCATACATGTAATAATTTTTATCTATCTTCATTAATACTTTGATCTCATTACATGTTTATTTTAATTTTGTAGCTCTCGTATTTTTATGCCTTGTTTTGGACTACTTTCTACTTATTCGTATATTCTTTTTTTCTCAACACTATGTTTTTTACATTATTTAAATTATTTATATATCTTTTTTTTTTAATATAGTTTTCTACTCTTTTTGTGTATTAAATGTAGAATATATGTAAACATACAGGGGTAAAAAAATATGTAATGTTTTAAATAATAATTGAGCGGGAATAATTTATGAAAAATAAAAATACACCATGTATCAATAGAATGTTATATGGAATTTTTTATTTAGAGAAAATGAAAAATTACATATACAAGAAAAATTAACTACCGTAAAAGGATTTTTTTAATGTATGACGCTGATTAAAGCATTATGTCACTTTTTTTTTTTTTTTTTTTCCCACCCGTTCGGGTTAAATAAATACGATTAAGACTAAAAACGATTAAGGATAGAGGAAAAACGGATCATAAAATATGGATAACATATATTCACACGCATGTACATGTGTTCATTAAGTATGTGGAAGAAAAGTACAGAGTTGTGAACAAAAAAAAGTGTGCTATTTTGCGGTGTTTGCAAATAGTGAAGGCACAGACGCAGGAAAAATTTCCATTTATGTTATGTACATAAATTATGTCATTACACTATTAAACTCATGCATAATCATTTCTCATTTTTGCGCAGGTATATAAATCTGTGTATATGTGAACTTGTATGCATACACGTTTTATATTTAGGTATTTGTAATGCATAAATAGGAAATCGCGTAATCTTAAAAAATGTCCAAATGAAGGGTTATCAAAAAAAAATGGATTAACAAAAAAGGGTTAACGGGAAATGCGATTTCTCGATGTCACAATAAATCGGCAGAAATGTTCGAAATTCAAAAAATGCTGCAATCCAAAATGAAATTTTGGAATAGATCTTTTCTTTTTGCATATATGTATTCATGAATGCGATATGCATTTGTATTCATAAACATAAAACACTCCACAATCCGTATTTAAGAGTGGATTATTTATATGTGTTTATATTTCATGCACACGTACAAATATATATAACGTAAAAAAAATATATACACATGTAGATTTGTGCAAGCATGTGTGGGAAAATAGCAAATGAAGTGAATTTTTATATAATATAAAAATGTAACACAAAAAGCGTTGTGCGGGATGTTCCTTTTGTTATTTATATATATATATTTATTTATGTATACAGTTTTGTGTATTTTTGTGCATATATTTTTGCATACATTTGTTCGTGTATTTGTGTATGTATTTATATATATATATATATATATTTTTATTTTGCACAATTATGGTTATATCAGTAACACTACATAAATGACAAAAACGAGTTTTTTATTCAAACAAGTGCATGTTCAAGATGCTTGGGAGAAGTGATAAATGAATGTAGGTATGAATGTATGTAGATTTCTCTGCATGTATGTATATATATATGTACGTATGTATATACGCATGCGTGCTTGTTTTATGCGCATGTACGATGTACGAAAATATGCATCCTCAAGTATACACATTTACACATGTACAAATTAACACATAAATGCATTCACTTATGTCCGCATTTTCGCATGTGTATGACAAAACGAGTTGATATCTGGAACACATAAAGTAAACAAAAAAAAAAAAAAAAGTAGCATAAGTAAAAAAATAGAAATG